TTTGCTATGCGTGCGTACGCTTTTAATATCTGAATCGCCCGACCCCAGGACACGATATTGGAATAACCATCTACGTTGAGGCCAATCTCGGGCCGAATGCGCTCCGCAAGAAGAATGGTGGCAGCGGTGTAAACATCTAGAGATAGTTAGAAAGATTCACAGGAGGACAGGCCATGAGTAGACATCATACAAAGAACGGAATACCACCAGGCCGGCACAGGACCAAAAACAGTGGTGAGATCCAGATGCGAATAAATCAATTCTATTGAGTGATGGGCCGTTTGAAGGCATAGACTGGAGCATTGTATGGTCATTCTGCTGGAGAGACTATCAACTGACGTTGCCGGATTTATTGGTAGACAGTATAGAGCCAGAATTGGCCGCAGCAGTAACATTCTTGCATGGAGAAATCTAATACGCATCAGTGAGTAAATTCTAATCTGTCGTCTCACCATTTCAAGGAGCCGTACCGAGTATGGTTCACAACGGCCAGACGCTTGCGCAAAGAGCCCAGATGCCCGACTGGTGCATCTAACTTAAGCTCATCTGAAAGACCGCGTGTCCATTCCGTGAGCTTTTCGTCTAGTTTGAAAACCGTAACTACATCAGCGTGGGTTTTGTGGCCATCTTGTACCATGTAAAGCTCGAGCAGAATGTCGTCCATAATGTCATGAAGTTTCAGTTGCGACACGAAGAACACCATGAGGCATGATTTGTTGTCGGGCCTTTCGAATGATCCTTCAACTTGGACGTCTAGGAACTCATCATCTATCATCTTGGGTAGCGGAACAACTGCCGAGAGCCATTTTGGTATCATTGCAGGACGCCCAAATGTCATCGCAAGAACTCTGAGATCCAAGTTAGCGAGAGGAGGACGAGTGTCGAAATATCCGCTTTGCTTGCCTGTCCATTAGAATGCAGCCGTGCCAGATGCGGCGTGAAACTTCCTTCTCTCGCCGAGACCGAAGGGTATTTCGTTCGGGCAGATGAAGGCCCAAGCTTTGCGCTATTCTGATGGCATGTCCAACAACCATCCAGCATCTCTGTGGAATGTTCGCACTTTGAAGATAGATTCCCATGAGAAGCAGACATGAGACCGACTCAACCGTCCCATCATCCCACGGACCATCAGAGCGAAGATTTTCTGCTCGCTTGAAATAAATTTGCGCTCTGTCGCGACGTTCTTCAGGGCGCACTATATCTGAAACCTGGACCCCGAGAGCAAACATTACATTCATCGTAGACAGCAATATGCATTCATCAGCCATCGTGTTGGCGCCTGTCCAGATTGATTCATAGCCTGTTGTGAAAGAAATGCGATCGACAAAGGGATAAAGAGGATAGACAAGCTCCCAATAGGCATCAACAAGCTCATTCGCTATCTTTCGCGGTGGAAGAACATATTCGATAGCTGGTTGACGTGGCAAGATAGTCTTTGCAACAGGTCGTTCAGATAGAGATATTCCAGCCATGTCGGAGTCTGAACTTTGGCTGGTAACTCCCATCTTGGAATCGATGGCATGTTGCATGTGCCGCATAAATGAGCCCGCGCTGCTGCTACCGAAGAACTCACGGCTTTTCGATAGCTCACCGACCACTCCGGTCATGGAATCAGCCACTTCCTGGTGATCATTGCGTAGGGAGGGGAAGGAAGTCGGTGAGCTCCACGAATGTTCTTTAGATCCCTCCCTCCGCAAAGAGACACTCCTTGCATCGCACGACCCTGGCATACGAGGAAACTCGGTGTTAGTCATGAAGCAACGAGGACTCAACTGCTGGGCTGCAGCTCCATTTGCATGAGAGGCAAGCGCCTCGGCCGTTTGTGGGGGAGAATCCAATGTGCTGGGCTGTGGCACCTGCACGTCGGAGGAGTTTTCACGGCCGAGCGAGCCGACCCCAGGTCGTTGATTTGGTACCCATTCGCCTCTTTCACTTCCATAAGAGCACATAACAGAGGAATCTTTTCTCTTATTGCACACATCACATACTGGATGTTACCATTAGATGAATCTTGTTTTTGCGTTCACCTTCAGTACGAAATGAAGACGCACCTGGTCGAGCCCCGTTGCATTTCACTTTTCGAGATCGACATGTGTCACAAGCCATAGATACTTTGAGGCGCTTCCTCATTGTGGTCCGGCAAATATTGGGATCTCTGAAGTCGTACGTTAGCTCGATGTCTTCAAATGATCAACGCGAAGGACATGTAGGTGAATCCTAGGCCTCGCCAAACCCGCCCCAACACCCACGAAGATCCCAGGTCTTGGCGGACCTTAGTCAGCAGGCATAGAAACCTTGCCCCCGGATATGTGGAGGTGCCTACCTACTCTGTACCTACATATGTACCTACATAGGTACATAGGTAGGCAGGTATGCCAGAAGTGTAATGATGTCAACTGGGAAAGATAAGCTCCGGTCAATCGGAATTCTGCCCGTAGTGAAGGCATACCGCCCGGGCCAAATTCAAGCCTATCCCACGATCTTCATCGCTTGCATACTCCGTATAGATCTAGAGATTGGGACTGGGACCGAGATTAGGTAGCGAGATCCCAAAGTGTGTCCCATGCCTTACGCTGTGGACAGTTAAGCCGATAAGCAGGGTACTCCACATGCGAAGGCTTTGTGAGATGCTGTGTACGAGTAAAGAAAGTAATAGTCTGCTGCCAGGGTACGAGATACTGGGCTTCATATAGGCCTGAAGCGGACGAAAAGGGGTCTGACCAAGCTCAGTACGGACAACTTCAACCCGAATTAAATGCCCACATCGTCCAGAAATATGCTGGGCTGTGAGAGCCATGCTACCCATCGCTTCGCGAATAACACTAATTGGATCTGATTCATCTGAAGGGTCTGATATTAGTGCCTCTATCAAGGCAAAAAGGGTCTCAGGGGGTTGTCCACAAAGGTAATGACTCCATCTTGTACGACGTAACCATGGGGTTGCCTCATTGATTACCACGGGCAGAATTTCCATTCAGAATAAATCGAGCCAATGATTTCCTCCCATCAAGTTTCAGTGGCGCGTCTGCGTGCATTGCGCCGGCGACGCTTTTCGTCTCGATGGACAGGCCTAGAAATTTGGCGTGCGCTTCTATTTGGCCCGGCACGTAGGCAGGTATGACCTCGTCTTTTTCTGCAGAAAGGAGCAAGATAGGTGGGATCGATTCAGATCTTGTTTTGGTCGCTTCCAACTGAAGGTCTCCGTTTGTGGATTGACTGTTGAACGTGTCCCCATCTTGATCTCTCCAGGAGGCCATGTGTCTCAGACTCGCCTTAATGTCCCAATTGTTCCAAGAAAATGGCCAAAGGTATCGATATGGAAGCCACTTTTGCGGATAAAGACTGATAAGCATGTCCTTGATGCTGGACGTCGGTGCTTCTAGAATCAGTCTGGTAACAGGCGCCAGGGGTTGGCCATCTTCCCGATTGCCTTGTGCTTGACTACATCGAGCAATGTAAGCAGGAGTAACCGACGCTGCAACTGCAGCACCTAAGCTGTGTCCCCAAAGGACGATCTCCAGATCGGTTTCCGGGCCTCCGTATGTTTCCGATATCCATATCAAACATGCTTGAGCATCCAATTCGAGGCCAGATTGCGTGGCGCGACCAGCAGATGTCCAGTAGCCGCGATATGACAGCGCCAAGACTGTGTATTCAGTGTTCTGGGAATCAGAATGAAGACCCGATGAGGTCGACGTTTCAGAAATCGTCCGCAAGACCTGAGAAAGGATAGGTAGTCGCATAGGAAGCGATCCACCATTTCCCTGGAAATAGCATATTACCACAGCTTTCTTGCGGTTCGAGTTTGATGCCTGCGCTGGCTTTTTGAAGTCACTGCCGCTCGTCAAGGACTGGCTCTTGCAACCCACGACTGGAATGCGACCCTCGCAAATCGCCAATTTAGTTCCATCCAGACTGCGAATCTGCCTCTCCCGCCATTGTACCGGCTTACATTCATTTTGGTAGTCGGCAATGACCTCTGACCGCGTAAACGGCGGTAACCAAGTGAGGTAGAGAAGTTTGTTCTGGAGAACAATAATCCAGAAGCATTTCCAAGTCCAGAGGCCCACCAAGAGTCCGACAAACATTAAAGGCGGCACAAGAACACTGGGAATAGCTGTTGTTGCCAGACCTCGCGGCCTGGCTCCATATCTCAGACTGTGAATCCTTGGTGGTTGGTGCCGTTGCGGCGCGGGAAGGGGCGCGCGTAGCACGCGTCGCAAGGCCTGGTTTCGGAGCATCAACTGCGAAAGGCTTGAGGTTGATCTGGGATATGGATATCAGAAACCATGACGATACTGAGATGTATCTTTGCAACGGTCCTTGGAGGTGCCGGCCAAAAGGTTAGTAAGCTGCCTTGACGCGGGCCCGCGGGCCCGCCCCGGGGGCGTCCACCAGTTGGCGGGTTAACTGGTGCAGGTATACAGCCCTACACTTCCACTTCTACTTGGACACTAAGCTCACGCAAGTTTCGTGATGAGTGCTCCTCAGACTACACGATACTGATCGGACTCCCTTGGCCTTTTATTTCAACAATTCAGAGGGAAAGGCAAAACACAGTCCAGGCCAGAAGAAAGATCTGGAAACCTTCCTAGATTGGTATGTAAATTTGATCAGGTTACATATTTGCAACATGTTCATTAACTTCGGGAGTTAGATCGTGTGCTTCCGAGGTTCAGACACCCAGAAGCATGGAATATAACATAGCCCAGGAACGTTCATCCAGGCCCGACACCCGTAATCAAACGTAAACTCCTTAATCCCCGCGTTCGTCGTTGTTCTTCTCGTCAAAACAGATACAGAGAGCGACGATGAGAGCAGCGTCTACCCCGGGAGCCACAACCACCGCGTAGGTCTGCTGGCCGAACGCGAGGTCACGCCCGCTAAGCAGCTTTCGGTCAATGCGAGCCACTGTTTGGCCAGTGTTATGGTCGACAATATCCGCAGTGTGATCGAACCAGCCTCCCTTCATCTTGAGGCTCACAGCCTTGCCATAACGGTCAGTGAAACTGGCTGTGGCCTTGGAGCCAAGCACTAATACGGTCAATGATCTGTTCCAGGGCCCACGGGTCTCCTTTCCTTTCTGGAATGAGAATGCTTTCGACGAAATACTCACGTGTAAGATTGCTCTTGACCTCACAGATTTTCTTGCGGTGGCTGTCTTCAATTGCATATGTCGAATGGATATGCAAGAGCTCCTTGGTAATGTCAAATAGATGTTTGCCACTGGTGTCCTCCACCTTCTTGCGACCCGAGAGCGATACCCAGGCTCCATGCACTTTCAGAAATGGCTGGCCCTCGGCGGTTTTGATATCGAAGCTATCCCCCGATACGGAGAGCACCTTTTCTTTCAGGACTAGTGTCTGCGGCTCCTTGGCAACATATTGTTCGAATAAGGCGATAGGCTCGACGACGGGGTCGAGCTTGTGGTGACCCAGGAATCCCATGGCTGCGTGTGAACTTCGTTCAACTGAAAAGCTCTGCGATGGGAGAAGATGCAATATTTACAGATTCACCGGGCGATTCTCCAGCGCGGGGTCAGTCGATCGTCCATGTCACGTGATATATCTTTGCGACTCGCATCGTCTTTGTCTTGACCAGTGTTGTTTCGCTCGTTTCTGTCAAGTTGAGGACAACCACAGAGCGTTCATCAAATAGGAACCAACTTGGGAGTGGTCTTGGAGGAGAGTTCAATGCGCAAAAGTACTGGCACAAGCCAAACTGACTTTGATCGGACTACCCTGTACCTACATTCGAGAATTCCTCTGGGTGGGTAAAACCGAGTGATATCCATGGCTTCTGTCGACTTGTTAGAAACAAGTGGGTTTCTAGGGTGATCGTGAAGTTGTGTCCTGAGCAGGGATATCAAACACCGGTAATGGTATTACGATACTGTATCATCTAGTCAAACAATATCCAATTGGAAGAGGAATCCATATAAAAGGCCCTTGGAGAACGTTATGATCGATTGTCATAAGAAAATCTGAATTCGCAAGACTATGGCTGGACAGAGTATAGTGCAGCCGGGTGTGCAACTGCATCACAAATTGGGGAATCCAGTGAGAAGCTCCAATTGCAATCTAGATCTGTCGTGGACTGAGCATCTTTTCAGGCGCCTTTAGGTATGGGTGGCTTTGCTACGACGCTTTTGACTCTATCACTCGCCATGATGGAATTCCGCGGTGTTTCCGTCCAAACTGTCTTCATTGGGAACTTCTGCTTCATTGGTTGCGTTGCACTACTTGTTTCAGCGCAATGGGAGGTGGTGAGAGGGAACACATTTGGCTATACGGTGTTTAGTGCGTTCGGTTCGTGACTCATGTCCTCATCTTGATTTCTCCGCCAATTTTGTGCAGGGAGTATATGATCATCCTGCTAATTCGAACCACCGGATTTCCCCTATTAGGTCTCTTTTACGGTGGTTATGGTGCTATCCTGCTACCGACACTTGGCATATCTGATTCCTACGGGGGCAAAACGAGCGAATACTATAATGCGATGGGATTCTTTGTTCTGAGTAGGTTCATAGCATTCGAGACATACCATGATCACTCATCTCGCAATACAGTTTGGACCGTACTCAACACAATCTTCCTTGTTGCGAGTTTTTCAAGGTCGGTGCTTACTCTGCCTTCGCTCATGATTCTCTCTAACATCTGACGAAATTCCTAGAAACATGGTCTACTTTGGAACGTTTCTCGCTATCGAAATATGCTTTGGCCTCGATGCCACAGCAAATTTTATTCGAGCGGACGGAGATATTGTCACGAGTGCGATGATCATGAAAATAGGCGGCGTATTTGGATTTATTGCTGGGCTGCTTGGCTTCTATATCACGGCCCACGATCTCTGCCATGACAGTTTGCCTTTTCGTCTTCCAATGGGTGATGTAACGTCTTTGGCGAAGGCAGAAAGACATATCGCAGAGGAAGCTTAGAACCTTGGAAGCTTTGGAGCCACTGGAGAGCTCCATACTAGGTAGCCCATTCAAATCCGATTCAAGTGCGCGCAAGACCTGGCTGGGTCTCGTCTCTTTCCTCTTCTTATGTACAACTTGGAAGCATCATGCCCCTTGAATGCCCAAATCATCGGGTCTCAACATACGAGATCGTCTAATGCATACTAGCAGGTATTACTTTACAAGTCTTGATCAATACGTATGGCCATTCATCCACGATGATCAACTACATTCCGATGTCCAAGCCTGCGTTTAGGGGATATGAAGATGGCCATCTATTCAAACGGCTGGAAATTGAATCATCGCATAGAAAATACACTTTTCTTCGAAGAATTAAGAAAGTACATCACTCACAAAGTGCGCTGAACCCCCTAAGTAGATCCTTCCTCAGGTCACCTGGGTCCTCCACGCCGCAGCTGATTCGGAGAAGCGTTGTATCGCAGGTAAAGTCACTCATGGCTCTCCATTCAATCAAACTCTCAACATCGCCAAGGCTGGTTGCATGCTGAAACAACTGCAATTTGCTTGGCAGTGACTTCGCTTGTTCGGTGGTTTTTAGCCAAATTGCAAACACCGGTCCAAATCCTCCAGCCATTTGCCGCTTCAGCCACCCTTCCTCAAGATCTTTCTGCTGCAGCGAGGCATGTCGAATAGAGCGAACTACTCGACCAACCACAGAGGATGAGTCACGCATCTCATCATGAATCCAGCTAACAAGGCTTGTAGCAGTTTCTGACTGACGTCTCACGCGAAGTTCAAGGGTTCGGAGGGAGCGAATCCCCAGCCAGCCTTCAAGATTCCCCATGACGTTCCCCATAACAAGTCTCTCTGAATACAGGGTGTTCATCCATCCTTCCCGAGCACGCTCAGGGTGAACGACCAGAATACCACACATCATATCCGAGTGCCCTCCGATATACTTTGTTCCGCTGTGGAGAACAATATCGGCACCAAACTGCAGTGGATCTTGCAAGGGGGGAGGCCCGAATGTTGCATCCACTGTGAGGAATGCACCAACGGCATGTGCCATCTCACCGTAATAGGAGAGATTACGTGCTTCCCCTGTCGGATTGAGGGGTGTTTCGATGTGTATGATGTCCCCTGGGCCAATCTGGTCAAGGTCATCGAGAGACAGTTTTTGAACGCCAGTAAGCTTGGTCATGAGATCGATATTCCCGTGAACGCCATGGTATCCATCACCGATGAAAATGCGCTTCGGATTTAGCAATACCATGATCGCGTGAAAAGCGGCAAGACCCGTGGAGTATGTCATGATCTCTCCATGGAAAATGCTTTTCAAGACAACCTCGAAGCGATGACTGTTGGGTGCAGAGTATCTTGAATAAACGAATGATTCCTGGGGAGCATTTGGCTGCCACCCCCGTCAGCGAAAGATCTTCTTAGACCAGTTACAAACACTCACGTTTTTGTTTTCTCCTGGAACCAAATCATCGGGGTCTCTTGCATATCTATAATTGACAGCAACATGCATCGCGGGTGCAATAGCCCGATGAGAGCTGACGAGGTCATCCGCATGTACACTCTGAGTTGACATAGCCATTGTGGACAGAGCCTCGGCAAGATTGTCGGATGTGAGAGCATGAGAACTCATTTCTGCAGTCGAGGAGATTCTGTGCTTGGACAAAGTAAGGAACCAAAAAGGGAAAGAGAATGAACATTTCCAACCCCAGGACTCCCAGGGTTGATATTCGAGATTCCTTTCTGCGTATCGTATCCATGGTAAATGTGACAATACGGCGTACGCCGGTGGAAACCCGGGATGCCGAAAGATACCGGGGTTGTTCGTGGACACCGGTTCCTTTTGTCATGCATTTTCAATGGTAAGCCGGTTTTTTTAATTTCGCTCTGCTTGGACTGGAGAGCATGCACGTAGTACTGCTTGGGGGCAAGCATTGGTCACTCGTTCAACCCTCCAGGGCTGTAGCACGGGCCGAATTCCATTATGAAATTGCATTCAAGACCAACCGTCCTGATTGTCGTCGTGTCAAGAAATATTTATCAATCGCTTTGTTTTGAATTTGGCACCAGATTGGCCGATTTTTGAAGGATTACTTCCGGATGTTGGGCTTCAGGCCGCGTAGTCCCTCGACCTCGGGACCTTGGATCGGCTTAAGATGAGCAATCCAAATATCAAATGGCTGGCCCCAGCACCCGAGGACCCTGGTGCAGAAGTGCGGCTTCTGGTTTCAGTAACGCAGACATTAGCAGCTAATAAAAGCCGACTGATATGCAATCCGAATCTCTTTGCTCATGCTGGCTACCCCTTCAAACATTTGAGCCCCTTTCATCGCGTCAAGAACTGACTTAAGTCCATCTTGAATCTCTCGCATTAGCCTTTGTGCATCTTGAGCCTCAGAGCTCTTCTCTGGGTTGCTGAGAAGGTGGTAACATGACGACAGATCATCAGACACTAATGCCCCCCTCAATCGATAAAGAGACATGAGTAGGGCATATGAACACTGCATCGCCGAGCACACGAAGAATGGTAACAGAAATGGTAGCGGGCTATCGGTCGTTATTTGTTGCTGCTTTTCCGTGCGAGGGTGGCTTGGGTGTAGTCCGTCCATTGAGAGGGATTTGAGGGCGCGAGATATGGCAAGCGCTGATTTCAAGCATATCAGTGACGATTTCTCTTCGGTGAATGGGAAAGCCAAATCAATATCGGGAGAAGGAAGTGAGCCCATTGCCGAATATTCGTCTCTTTCGTTCTCGATCGCGGTGAGCCCGCAATACTTTCTTGAGAACATGGGGATGTCCATGAATGCACGAGCCCGATGTAGTCGTATGCGGGCACTTGGAACAAATGTTAGATTCTTCGGTGTTTCATGCCATTTGACCTTTTTATTATCCCAGGCTTACCAATGAATGAATAATCCCGCGATCGACGATAAATTTCGTGCTGCGATTGCATCGGCTCCCATTTTTGACGTACGTTGTGGTAAGCAAGCTGATCTTTCACTCAATGCTGATAAGTGCGAGTCAATCTGCAAAGTTTTCTCGGAGACCTCGGACGACAAATGGCAGGCTGAAAAGGTGTCAAAAGGATTGGCGAATGGTCTAGGGAGAGAAACGAATGCTTGTTCGGCTTCTAGAAGCAATGACCACGGCTGATATGAGGTTAGCGAAATTTCCAAGGGCAAGTATGAGCGGCATTCACAAGGGAATCAGTATTGAGTACCTCGGATGAATCTTGGATTGAAGGAAACGGCGTCGTTATCCTTGGGTCATGAATATGTATGAATGGTGTCTGGTGTCGTTCGGTTATTGGTGAAACTCAGAAGCATTTCTCATCTCAGTCAACTCACTGTTTGTTGATCGATAGAAGACAAATAAAGTACCATCATCTATGAGCACATTCAGCAAATCCCAAAGAAGCAAAGATTTTGGACAAAGCTTACAGCGCTCCACCATGTCCGCCGTTCTGCCTCCGTCGATCCATGTCCGAGGGAATCCAGCGAAAGATCCATGGCCGCTGTGACTGCCTGGTTTGCACGACTTCGCATTCGGGAGATGCTAGCTCTTTGGCAATACTCATATACACTGAGTAGCGAAAGAGCCAGGATGGGATATAGTCGTGTTTGTCTATTGAAGTCCAATGACTCGCCGATACCACCGCTGGTGCGAGATGATTCTTTGATGATTCCATCAATCTCATCCTCTGCTCCATTGAATGCCGCCTCTGCAAGGACATGCGCCTGTGATCGTCGCAACAGAACTTGGGCTTCGGCAAAGGGATGCGAGATTTGGGGGTGTGGTATTAAAGTCAGGATGGCAGCAATGGCAAGGGTCAGCGATTGTTTTGGCCAATGCGGTAGATAGGATTGATTGGTGGAGCCTTCGGTGCAATGCTGGAAGTCGATTAGAAGAGGCGAGTCATCACATTGACTCGACACGGGAGCTGGCAGTATTGGCAAAAACTTATGGATGTGAACATAGTAGGCATTCAATCTGCATGCTCGGGAATTCCACGTTAGGCCAAGTCAGATAATAGTAGAATCATGATGTAAGACCCACATGGCTTCATCGGATGCATATGCGCGTATTGATGGTGATTCAACCAGTTCGTTGCTTTCATTGGAAGACAACAGAGACCCCGGATTGATCTCAGTATCTGAGTGGACCCCCAGGCTATGTATATCGCTCAAGGGAGCCAGCAAATTGATGACATTCTGCAGATCATATGCCGCCGGAACTTGGGCCGCAGGGAAGGAGCTCTGCTCCTGGGTTGGGATTGTTTGATGTGGCTCATCTCCGGTTTGGAGAAACGATGGGTCTGTATAAGCAGGAGGTTGTGCATGTGCAACAGCGTATTGTGAGGCATGTTTGGGCCCCCGCCGAATACCGCCCCGCTGGCTTGGACGATAGGAGCACGTGAGATTTTTGGATGAGCACTAGGCACATAGTTAAACGGCTGAGTTTCGGCCAGAACGAACATAGCTCGAGGTCTTACTCTGCTGCAGGGTTGTCTTCCGTCGCATCGAATTTTACCTTCGCGGCTGATTGGTTGATGTCAGAAGATCATCCATACTCAGAACGTCGATTGTGGACATACCAGGTTAAACAGGCTGCTCTGGTTGGTGGTTTGCGATTAGATGGCATATTGTCACAGCCAGAGGATTCGGGGTGAAAGTTGAATACCTGAAGTTCTGGTAATGTTCACTGCCAGATTTCCGAGGCCAACTTCCACGTCCATGATGTAATAGATTACCTGACTCCGGTATTTCGGTATTTCAGTGTTTCAATATTTCAAGGCCGGGAGCCCAAACACCGGAAGTCGAATGTGTTCGCTGCCCCCACTGTTAGTTGAATGCTAGCTGCCCTCATGATTGCTCAGTGATAGAGGCGATGACTCCTGAGTGGAGGGGCCACCAGAGCTTGAGATGGACTACGTTGAGAATGGGATCGTTCCCAGCCCTGCGGGGAGGGTCTCCGGTGAATCTTGAAGGGCGGTTGAAATGATTGCCAATTCAATTTGAAATCTGTTCCATGTATGTAAAGGTGATTCAATTCCAGTAAAACCGGAGATATGTACTGCCGCAAAGCTTTCAAAATAAGCATACAGCCTCAACGCGCAATATAAAATGAATTCAAATGGGTATTGTGGTCGTCATCTGGAGTCGTCATATGAAACAAAAAGAACAGAAGGGGAATGAATGCCTAAAGACACCAAAGTCGGCTGTGCAAGTCCTTACAGAATTTTGGGTCTCATCCACTCACTTGTACCAACCCCGAGGTTGAGCCCATTGCGCTCCCACCATCGTCGAACACGACCCTCAGCCCCGGAAGACGGATCAGCATCTTCAAGCGCTTCCTCGATATCACAGGTTTTGAACTCCACCCGCATGCCGCAGGTTTTCCACCATTGCAGAACCTGATCGTGGCCGTTTTTCGTCGGACCGACCAGGACCTGGTTATCGAAGATCATTTTGGGCCCTTTGAGCTTGTACCAGAATTCGAGGACGTGCACATGGCCATGTGTGCTCGCGATACGGGCGACATTTTCGGCATGGCTGTATGGAATCCCTGAGGCGTCCCACCAGCCAAGCGAGGCGATGCGGCCCATTTGAGCCGCGAGGAGAACGCTTTTGCCAACTTTCAGTGGCATGGGCATGTGTGATGGGGGGTTGGCGCATGCGCGTTTCCACCAGTCGAGTACTTCCACGCGGCCTTCTGCGCTGGCAGCTTCGAGGGCTCGCTCGCTGTATCGCAGCGGAAGTCCTGAATGAAGCCACCAGTCAAGCACGGTGATGAAACCTGCTCGAGAGGCGCCGTCCATGGCGTCTGCGCCGTATTCTTTGTTGGGGAGGGCGGGGGCATCACGCCACCAGGTGAGAACGTTCGGGTTGCCGTAAATGGCAGATGCCCGGTAAGGGATACTTGTGAGTCGAGAGGTCGTCCAAAGGAGGTCGAGGTGATTTTCGGTCAGATATGAGAGGATGTCTGTTCGGGAGAACTTCACGATGAGATGGCAGGCGAGGTCGGAAAGGGGTTTCCAGCGAGGAAGCGCTTCGATGCGCTTTTTAATCGCAGCAAAGGATCCTCGGAGGATGGTGTATTCGAGAGTAGCAGGCGTCGACATTTTCGGTAGATGACTCTGCCATTCTTGGGGTACTGGGATATTGACCGGAAGTCCTACGGCTTTTGCCGTTTCCCAATCTCCGAGGTGGTCTTCAAACACGCTGAGCCAGATCTCGAGTGGTAGAAAGTCGGCACTCCCTGCGGACTTTGTATGTGTGGATCCGGTAGCACCGCGGTTCAGGGGAGGTGCGTATAATGAGTTTGATGGGCCTTGATCCGGCGTCGCAGAGCCATGGGGACCTGCCCCAGTAGCCCGGGAAGCGTTCCAAGGCGGGATCTGTAGTGTTTTTTCCAGTGTAGCGTGTAACTTCCCCAACCCATCCCAAGGCAAGATTTCCAGTTCCTCCGGGCCATTAGATCTCCAAAGGACGGGCTTGACGATTCGAATCCACGGCCAAAAGCGACCGATTTCGTCCAACTGTCGGGCGCTCAAGGGATGATCCCATTCGGACACCGTCATGCCAGGGATGAGAATCACCGGCTTTTTCGAGACCCAGCCGCGAAGAAGTGCTAGTGTGAGGGTGTTGGTCAAGCCTGCCAGCATCGCCCCCAGAGCTCCGGCATCGATAGGCGCAACCAACAGCATGTCCGCCCACTCGCAAAGCTCCGCCGTTTTGGCCTGCAGCCATTTTCGAGCCCCAGTTTTCTTGTCGAAGGTTTGGCTATCCACTGTGTCCATGTAATGTGGGATCTTGTTCGTGCCCGTGAGCAAAGCGGAGGGTTCGTCGGTGATCAGGCGCAGTTCGATGGACGGATTTTGCACGAGGGAGGGAAGAACTGTGTCGGCAAACGCGCTATCGGTAGAGAGAAGCAGGCGCCGGCGCCGCGGTTGGGACTGATTTCCATCGCGAGCCGTGCTGTCGGATTCCCGGCAACCTTTGTTTCCGATCAGTGTTTCCGAGCCGCCACCATCCACCTCCATCTCACTAGACCTCGTCTTCTTTGGGAGGCCGTTGCTAGTGACGGGCGCCACAGTCAAGGTCCACGGGCCAACTGCCATATATTGCCCAGTGAAGTGCCCGGTTGATTTGAGACAAAACGGACGGTCGAGATATCAGGGTGGGAAAAAACGCTCCCAAGCTGCCCAGGTGAGGATTTGAAAGGCGATGATCAATTGGGGGAAGCAGCGCTGTACCAACGAGCCGGGCGTACAAATATGCGAGAGACGGTGGTCTGATCCAAAGTCATGCAACCCCCCAAGATTGTATTCGAGACTGCGGTCGAGCGGTGAAGTCGGACCCGTCGCCACGTCGCCACGCTATGTAGTTCGCTCGAGACGATGCCGAGAATCTTTGAAGGAGTAGATCCGCCAATGAACGGAGGTCAAAGTGTTAGTTCGAGGGTCTCAGACGGTTAGAGGCCAAGAAGTTGGGTTTGATTGGCAGAGGAGGTACTTTTGGCGATGATCAAGGCCTTGACCGCCCAGGAAACTCCACTATGATTCTACGAGCTGAACAGATCTTTGCAGTGTTTAAGTCTACTCTATGATTCTATTAGTATAGTGAGGTTGGACACGCTTGGTGCTTGAGTTTCCACGAGTCTTCACCCTTTTAACCCAAGTATAACCAGGACAAACTGATACATACTTCATATGCGCCAGACAAGGTAGCTCATAGAGATGAATACAATAGGCTGGAACAGCGCATAGAGCTGAATAGACGTCACACTCCGAAGGCCCTTTATAAAGTAGGCCACAGCAACAGCAAGGGATGCAGACACCTAAGCTGTGAGTAGATAGCCTCGTTCTGAGGCCCCTCGCCTAAAGGTGGGGGGCAGTTGGGCGGTCAACAATCCACCGTAATGCTTGACTTCATACTTCTCTTCAGCTTCTTTCTTCCCATATTGACTCGTATTCACATTACTATTTCCCTCTCTCTCCTCCTCCTATCTTCCACCATGGCATCCTACAGCGCATCCTCTGGCGCCAAAGAGCAGACCGCGAATGTCGAACAGCTCCAAGACACCCAAAACCAAGATCCCACTGTGCCACGAAGCGAGGTTACCGATGAGCTCGAATCCTCCAACCAGGCCCTTCAGCTTAAGCTCCAAGCTTTACAAAAAGAACTCGAGCAAACCAAAGCTGAAATCTCCGCTGTCGACCATGTTCTAGAAGTGGCCAACAATGATAAACCTTGAGATGTATTGGAAGCTTGAAGCTGCTTGACATTCCCCCTTGGTTTTCGATCGGGTCTGCTGTATCCAAGAGAATATTATCTGCCCAGACGACGTTTCAGTACAGTCATCAATCAGATCGCTGCGTGCTGGTAGTCTCGTAGGCGTGATTCCGTCAAATACCTACCTAGGTACTTCCCGAGTCGTAGTTTGAACCAGCCGAGGTTGTGGAAGGGCATGGAGACAGGGTGCCCAAGTGCGTTTCAGATATATACCTAGGTATTACAAACTTCGGGACTGATTCATGGCGCATCCACATAATGGATGATTTGGCTACCTAGACATCAATTCAATCTATATACAACCTGGATAGGGTATTCTACCCAAATAGGATCTGGAGAATCCCATGAGATCTATATCAAGTCACGCACCTTTAGGCCTAGCGCCGGGACAAGTTGTTGTGCAAGGTATGCTCCCGCATGGCAAGACTCGAAAGGGAACCTAAGATGGTGAGGCCGAATAAAGTCAAAAACACTGCCCGCAAGGAATCCATGTAAGCGTCAAGAACCCCGGGTGTCCAGTCCGCGGGCAACTTCCAGATCTCATCCAAGCTATCACGCAGGCGTCCAATCATATCCGCGGCATGTTCACGCTCACCAAACCGACCCCAAAGCCCAATCTTGAGGGTGTTTTGGAAGACCGCGGACGCGATCGTGATTCCGATGGTGCTCCCGGTGCTGCGGAAAGCATATGAAGCAGAGGTCACCACGGCGTGGTGCGTGTGGTCAACAGCCGAGATGAGAGCAACCAATGTGATAGTCAACATGCTGCCGTAGGATGCACCGCCCAAGAAGAAATACAGGAAGGGCAGCCCGACAGGGGTGTACAAGCCCAACGTGCAAATCAGCCCAGCAGACAGGACCTGTAGGCCCATAGTGACATGGTTCAGCACCTTGTATCGACCGCTGGCACGCATGATGATGCCCGATCCCAGAGACCCAATCGAGGTACCAACAGCCTGCGGGATCAAGCGCGCCCCAGCGGCGGTGGCCGAAAGTCCTTGTACCTGGAAGAACACGGGAAGGTAGAATAGGAGGCCGAAGACGGCCATCGTCGTGAACCAGTTGGTCAAGCAAGCGGCTGCCACAGTGCGGTCGAGCAGAAGGCGCACCGGGATGACAGGCTCGGTCGCAACCTTAGCCTCCACGTAGATGAACAAGGCTAGGAAAATGCCAGCCATGATCAACGATCCCAGAACCAATGGGTGGGTCCAGGGCACCTGGTTTCCGCCTGTATTGAGGCCAAGCAACAGGGTAACCAATGTCAGGACCAGCGTGATAGCTCCGAGGAAGTCAACCCGTTTGATACGTGCTGTGTCGGAGTCCTTAACGGGAATATCCACCTTCACCGCTACCAGCACACAGGAAACCACTAGGAAAGGCACCTGAAGTAGGAAGGCCCATCGCCAACCCAGGGTATCGTTGATCCAACCACCGAACACACCCCCCAAACCCATTCCGGCACCAAAGCAGATATTCCCAATGCCTTGCCAGATCCCGCGCTTACGCAAAGGGACCAGGTCGGAGGTGACGAAGGTCGAAATCGCGGTCAGACCCCCTCCGCCAACACCTGCCACCACGCGACCCAGAATGATGACCCATTGCGCCCTCGCCAACCCACAGATCAAGTTGCCGATCGCGAAGAAGATATTAGAGAAAACCAGTCCCCAGCGACGAGAGTAGATGTCCGTCAATCGGCCGCTGAGTGGTTGGCAGGCGGCATTGGAAATCAGGTACGAGGTTGCGAGCCACGAGAGCAGCGAGAAGGAATTGAAGGAAGATGAGATGGGCGCGGAGAGAGTGGCGACAATGGTCGTGTCTGTACAGAGTGGATATTAGCCTCGAACGTGGAACCTTGGAATGAGGGATGCAGCTTACCTAGTGCCGCCAGGAATACTCCCAGCCAGATGCTCCCGAGGATCCAAATCAGCTCCTTGGTGGTGGCTTCTTTGGGGAGCGGAGGATCTCCATCGGCCCGCAGCAGAGGTGTTTGCTCTGATGCGGACTCTCTCGCGTCTTCTGTGGTCATGTTGAGGGTTGAGCAGAGAAGGAAGTTCCGAGCTCGGGAGCGGGGACCAACGCGGAGAATGTGCCCTCTCCGCGGAGTGCTGACTTCCTACTCCACGCACTGCGACGCCCGTTTATTGGACTTTGTATACTCCATTTTATCGACTAGGGTAGTACGAATTCCCTAGCTTTATTCAGATTGTTATCTGAACATGATAGCGATGTCGGGATCTCTGCTGCTGTCTACATATATACATATAGAGACGAACTCAAGCTTTGATGCACAGGTTGGAATGCAAGATGTTAGTGCTTACTCTGGATTGTTCTGCACATGAGAACGCTTGTGTAGAGATGTAGGGATAGCAGAATTGTCTATCACAGTTCATAGTACGGAGTACGGAGTACCCTATAAATTGCCTCGAGGCTTGCCTCGATGAAGCCAGAGACCGTGTGGATAGAGCCACAACTTCCGTGTCCTTTGCTGTCAGTTCGGATTTAGGCTAGTATTTGGTTCGGGGATATCGAGGACAACTGAACACACTATACCTAGTCGATGTCTAGTAATGTAAAACGGGCAATACAGGTACTGTGAAGTGCCGAGATTCAAAGCCAGAGTCGATGCTCCCCACACTTGTGGGGAGCACCCCGGATTCCCCTCATTTCACCCCTGCAACTTCAATGTTACAGGAAGTTCGTTTAGCCAAGGATTCCTGCATTCCAAGGTTCTGGGGTGTATGGTCAATAGATTAGGCAATGATTGTGTTCGAGTACTACCTAGGGAGTCCAGAAATAGTGCATCTAGTATTATATGTAGACAACTTTAGCTACTGTAGGACATCTACTGTATAGTAACTATACCTACATAGGTAGTAGTTCTACTACTACTACTACTAATACTGCCCAGTGTATTCCGTAGACACCCCCTCGTGGAGCCGGGTCAACGTCGGAAAATTAAAGGATCGGCAATGACGATCCCCGGAGCTCCCAAGGCTCATCTGCCGTTAGTATTTGTGACGGTATGATGTCAATGGAGCCGCGGCATGAAAAGGAGTATTTAGTCTCGTCGCTTCGCAGCTAGATCCATTCCATCCCAAGATGACTCGCTTTTTGGTACCACTTGTAGCCCTGAGCTCGGTTGCTTTGGCCAGCCAGGATGCGTTTCAGTCGAAGTGCGCCAACTTTGGCGATCAGATCGATATTCCCAATGTCAAGGTGAACTTTGCCGAGTATATTTCGGGAGGCACCAATGCGTCTTTGGCAGACAACCCTCCGAGCTGTGGCTACTTGACCCAGGCAGTCTCGGCCGACGTGTGCCGAGTAGCGATGGCCGTGGCGACCTCCAACAGCAGTGAAATCACCCTCGAAGCCTGGTTTCCTCGCGAATACAAGGGTCGTTTCCTCAGCGTCGGCAACGGGGGTGTCTCTGGCTGTAAGCACCCACTTTGATATTCAATCAATGAGACGAAGCACTGACTGTCCCACAGGCATCCAGTACTATGACCTTGCCTATGCATCCCAACTAGGCTTCGCGACGGTCGGAGCGAACAACGGACACAATGGCACTTCGGGAAAGCCCTTCTACCGCAAGCCGGAAGTTGTGGAAGATTATGCATACCGATCCGTTCATACCGGAGTGGTCGTCGGCAAGGAACTCACGAAGCAGTTCTACGATGAGGGCTTCAACAAGAGCTACTACCTCGGATGTTCCACTGGTGGCCGTCAAGGATGGAAGTCTGTCCAGAAATACCCCAACGACTTCGACGGTGTAGTTGCTGGTGCACCCGCTATGAACCTGGTCAATCTCTTCTCCTGGAGCGCGCATTTCTATCCCATCACGGGCTCTCCGTCTTCGAAAACGTTCCTCTCCACCGATGAATGGCAGATTGTCCACGATGAGATCCTGCGCCAATGCGACTCGATCGATGGCGCAAAGGACGGAATCATTGAAGACCCTGACCTCTGCCGCCCCATTCTGGCGACTTTGACTTGTGACCCCAGTGCTTCAAACAAGACTGGCTGTCTCAGCAGTGCGCAAGTCAACACCGCCCAACGGGTCCTGGAGCCCTTCTATGGAATCAATGGCACACTCTTGTACCCGCGCATGCAGCCGGGATCCGAGGTGCTGGCGGCACCCATCATGTACAGCGGAACTCCCTTTCAATACAGCCAAGACTGGTACCGCTATGTGGTGTACAACGACCCATCCTGGAGTGGTGCAAACTTCACGGTGCGGGATGCTGCCGTTGCCCTCGCCCAGAACCCGTACAACATTCAGACCTGGGATGGTGATATTTCCGCATTCCAAAAGTCTGGCGGAAAGGTGCTCCATTATCATGGGTTGCAAGATCAGCTGATCAGCTCTGAGGATTCCAAGTGGTACTATTCCCACGTCTCCAACACCATGCAGCTGCCTCCCTCCAAGCTGGATGAGTTCTATCGCTTCTTCCCGATCAGCGGGATGGGTCACTGTGGTGGGGGTGATGGTGCGTATGGGATTGGCCAGGGCCTGAAAACATATAGCGGTGATAAACCAGAGGACAATGTGCTGATGGCCATGGTTCAGTGGGTTGAAGAGGGAAAGGCGCCCGAGACTGTTCGGGGAGCCAAGTTCACCAGCGGTGCTGGGTCCAAGGTCGAGTACACGCGCAAGCACTGTCGCTGGCCTCAACACAATGTTTTCAAGGGCCCTGGAAACTACACTGACGAGAATGCTTGGCAGTGCGTTTGAGCAGAGGCACCCTGTACATAGAACATGTCAGAATATCCATTTTGATGCATATCACATGCCAGATCACATATGATAACAGGCTGCAAGTGCGTACGGAGTAGAGACGGTTAATATGAATTGCATGTAACGAGCTCATTCCATCAAAGAAGCACGATCGCGGCATAAACAGGGCCATTTGGCAGAAAACGGTCTATCGCCGACCGCCCAATCGGTTTGTGGTCTGGCGAGATATCGGAAGGCGAGCTTTCACCTCATCATCCCCTCCATTATCAGATCAAGTCATTTTCCGGTCGTTTTCGACCAGCCATCCGAAGCTCCACCCTCTGCGCACGGATCACCGTTCGTGACTGAAGCTGCCCCTCGGATCGCGTACATAGCCGCGTCAATCCGGCTCCCTCCCAACCTGAACAACCTGCAGCATAGAAGCCAATCCCAGTACAATGGCAGATGCGGACATAGATCAGTTTGCACAGACTCGCGGTGCCGATGACCTATTCGACGACGAGATCATTCCGGTTTCCGCGGAAGAACAGCACACACAGACTGAAGTAATTGCACCCGAGCCAGAGGCTGAAGGACACGACGTACACGTCTCCGAAGCCTCAGCTCCAGAGAAAACCACTTCACGTGGAGACACTCCGCAGCGGGGCCGTGGCGGAGAAAGAGGCCGGGGCCGACGGAACCGGGGCAAAGGGAATCGCGGGGGTCGGGAATCAGACCAGAAGGCGTCGGAGAGCTCTTCTCGGAAGAAGAAACAGGCCAACGGACCTGCTGCCGATGCACGCGATACTACTCCCAAGCCTAATGGGACCGACGAGTCTAAAGAGCAGCCCCCAGTGGAGGAGGTCAATGATGAAGAGGCGGCTGGCGCCGATGCTCAGCGCGTGCCCGCTGTAAGAGGAGACCGAAGCGCCACTGGTGGCTTGAGAAAGGCAAGGAATGACCGTTGCCAAGATATCGTGTTGATTGCTGACCGCTATTTAGCCCAAACTCACTGAAGAGGAACTCTCCAAGCGCATAGCGGCTGCAAAGGAGAATGCCGTCAAGAAGGCTGCTGCTCATGCCCGAGCGGAAGCTGATCAGGCGTCTTTCGTGGAGCGTGAGCAGGAAGCGGCGAAGAAACGCCGCGAGGAGCTTGCGCATCGTCGGGCGATGGATACCGAACGGGAGCGCAACCGTCAGCGGAAACTGAAGGCCCAGACTGGACGTGAATGGGACTCGCAGAAGCGCGAGGAGGATTACAACCCCCGTGGCGGGGGTAGCCAATTCCGACGAGGAATGCATGGTGGGGTGTCCGGCTATGCACGACAAGATTTGGACGACAGTCGCACAGATGGGGCCGCCGATAATGCCGCCGGGCCGCGAGGTCGTGGTCGCGGCGGACGAGGAGGCCGAGGTCGGGGATCACCGCGCGCTGCGCCGGCGGATCGATCCTCAAACAATAAAGGCCTGTCTGGCAGCATGTGGGCCGATAGCCCAGCAGAACCGGTCGTGAATGATCAGAACGAATTCCCTGCCCTCCCAGAGGGCCCCAAGAAGGCTGAAAGCGAGGTTGAGACCAAGGTCGATACTAAGACTGAGGTGAAACCTGAAGTGCAACCAGCACCCCAGCAGCCCACACTGACGTCTTTGGAGAAGCTTGACTCGACATTCTCGCCGATCACAGGTAGCTGGGCAGACCAGTTCGACGATGAATGATGAAATATCCCGGGACTGGAGGCGGAGGCTGACTTCTCCTTCCAAGTCGCTGTGAAGGCTGTCTCTTTGGTGCAGCCCGTCATATGAGAGGACTCGAATTTTCCTATTGCATCTGCTATTCTGTGTACAAGCCTCGATCTATCACGGCTGAGATGCTGGTTAACGTTAATTGATACATACAGGAATATATGTTGACTGGTGTTGCAGATGTTCTAAGATCGCAAGTTGCTGGTCCAGAATCCGAGAGCTTCCGCCATCGTGAGATTCTGCCCTGTTTAATCGCATTCGTGGCTTCACGCAGGCGTGCATAAATGAGCGGTTTTTGTTTTTGTTTCTCTTCTCTCCCCACATGCAATCCTGCAGGCGTTCTTTCGCTCAAGCCCGTCCTTTCTATCTGCTTGAACATGGCTCAATTCAAAGATCACGGTGAGTACTATCCAGACTCCCTTCTGATACTATACAGTGCTAACATACCTTGACCGGTCAAGTTTGCGGTTCTTTCTCCCTCAAGACCAGTTCTTTCTTCCCCAAGACCGATGTGAACAAAGACATCGTGACGGACAAGAACAAGGAACCCAAGAATGATGGATCCGTGAAACTCGATGCCGGTGTGACCAAGAAACCAGCCTTCCTTCTCCCTTCGGATGGCGCTCGAATTCTCAAATTGGAGGACATCGAGCCATTCTCCCTGAATTGCGATGTCAGCGATGTGCTGATCCGCGACATCTCCCACCTCCCCGAGGATGTGTTCTACACCCCATGGGAACCAATCGAGTTCATGCCCGGACAACTCAAGAGAATCCAGCGTCGACTGGTGCGCAAGGACCCCATTGTCGCGGGATCCTGCGAGCCCCGTTCCGTGGTCCGCGACCGTCACCTCCAGTACTTGAAGATGGAGCAAGACCGACTCGACGAACGCAACCGCAAGTCCGGAGCCGCATGCCTAGCTCATGCTCAGCGACCCGCTCGTGTTCGGAAGATCGGCGACACTTTCATCTTCGAATAATTGAGTCCTTGCGTCTTCGTTCCCTTTGGGACTGATATTACACTGTTCAGTCTTGTCCCCCGCGCTGAGCTTTATGTTTGTTGCAAGTCCTCGAATGTGGTTCGCTTTCACTACGATGCAGTTCCTATCATTTCGAATATTTGAATCTGTGCACCTTGCTGCGGCGTGCGATTGAGATAGCCAATTGAAGGAAAGTTCAAATCTAAAGCTCCCGGGCTGTGCCTAACCTCCAAGGCTGGGATACGTAGATGTGCGAGGCTTAGTTTCTTCCAAGATTCGTTTGACCTACCTAGGTACAGAGTAGCAATGCCCAGGTGACTACTAGGTAGAGTCAAGAACCACCGCGCTTGGAATCATAGACACGGGAGCTACTTGGTCAGATGTAAGTATCCAGTAAGGCCCAATGGATCAGAAAGTCTACCTAGTATGAACTGATATGATTTATGATTTCTGCCATGTATAGTATGCGCCAGACAGCAGTTGATACTCGGATAAAGAGAAAAGACTCCCGACCCACTTGCCCCGCGGGAATCTCCGGCTCACCTTCGCAAAGCTCACAAAATGGACGATGAGCGTCCATATCGCTCCCACACGAAGCCGGCATGCATACCATGTCGGCGGAGGAAATCCCGCTGCAAGATCGAGCCCCACACCGAGGCCTGTTTGATGTGTCGTGCGCACGGCACGGAGTGTACATTCCCCAATGGACGGGCAAAAGCGACTCACAAACGACCATCTACGGAGACACTGCCAAGAATCCCACATCCGGCTGTACGCACAGAGCCATTGAATGACCCGATGGTCGCATCACCACAATTGCCCTCACAGATACCGAATTTGGACACGCCGCTGTCACTCGAGGCGGACGATGATAACCCCCATATCCTGGGCCCGGTGGTCACGGGGGATAGTCATGTTCTGGCAGACTACCTGTCGAATATCTCGGGACAGGGCATGCGTGAGATCCGACCGGTTGAGCCTGGGAGCTCCTCGTCCCCGGTCATTTTTACCAAAGTGCAGAAGAGGCCGTTGGGCCTGACCGTGAACTCCAATCCGGCAATGAAAAACCTAGAGACAATTGAAAAGCTCGTGGAGCCGTGGGGGACACATTTAATTGAGTTGTAAGTTGTGCTTGGAATTACATTGAGAAGACTGGACTGAGAAGGCTGATGATGACCAGATACCTGAAGAAAGTCAATCCGTGTCTTCCACTGCTTGACGAGAGTTCATTTCGTGCTCAATATATGAATTCCAGACACCGGATTTCCCCCGCCCTACTGGCCAACCTGTATGCACAGTCACTCACCCATTGGAGGCACGATCCTGTTCTCTCGCGAGAGCGGTGTCCAGACTCTCGCTTTGTCTGGAATCTCGCAATAGAGGCATCATACTCTGAGTTGCACGCATCAGCTGGTATATCCACGGTCAAATCCCTGTTACTGGATGTAGGCGGGCGCCCAACGACTTCAATGACTGGGAATGGTGTCAGGCTCAGCTCTGCCATTTCGCTATGCCATTCACTAGGGCTGAACCGGAACCCGCTTCCATGGGACATTCCGCAAGCTGAAAAACACCTGCGAATGAAGATTTGGTGGTCTGTTCTGATTCATGATCGTTGGTATACTCGTCCTTGCCCGTGTCGATTGGATATTGTGAATTCTAATTACCTTGCAGGTCCAGCCTCACTTACGGGACACCACCCCACATACGACGCTCACAGTATGACGTCCCACTGCCGATTCCCGAATATCTGTCCGATTGGGAATATAACCGCGCAGCGAATTCCGTCTTCATCGAGCTGATGAATCTCACCGAGGTACTTGACCATTGCTTGGAGCATGTGTACAACATTCGCCTCGAAGGCCAGGGCCCAGCAAGAAACCTGGAACTTGAACTGAACAGATGGGTGGATTCGCTGGTAGGTGACATTCGGAAAGTCATCATCCGCGGCTCGAATCTCGACATCCCTGGTGCTTCCAATCTCCGGCTCGCATACTTAGCCACGAGACTCTTGCTGAGGCGAATCGACCTCGACAAGGAAAGGAAAGCACAAGATCCCAGCTCAGAGGTAATGGCAAATCGTACCATGGAGGCCCGCAGGACAGCAGAAGATATCGTAGTTTTGGTGCAAGAATTAGGAGAGACGCAGCTCGGGGACTTTTGGCTTCCTGTTGCTGCATTCACCTTTTCCTCAACGGTGACGTTTCTCATTCGTTGTGCGTTGGAGACGGAGCAAACAGCCGGCCTTGCTGAAAGCGCTTCTTTGAGGATGGCAAACGACTTCCTGGAGTCGCTGAGGTCACATCAGCGGACCTCCGGATGGGATCTAGCGGATATCTGCCTGGCGCAGCACTCCGAGATTGTTGAGAAGCTGTTGAACTCTCCGCCTCCCGTGATGAATTCGGAATCAAACGCAGAGCAGCATTTCATGCACGACATGGCATTTGTGGACGATCTGTTCCCAAGCATCTGGGACACTTTGCAGAGTATATAGATGAGTCAAAGGTGAAAATGTTTCCGCGGGTAGAAATGTTCGAAGAATCTTGCCGGACGAGATGGCATCCCGTGGGCCGCGGGTCCGCGGCGAAGGGACGACGATCAGAAAGTACTGGATGTGCGGGCAGACACTTGACTGGATGATTCCAAAGCGATCAAAGCTGGCGGCATAGTAGATAAGCCCAAGCTTTCAACGAGGATCTCGATAGGAGCTGCGGATTCACTGATTATTGTCATACCGCCGTCGCATCAATACCACAAAATGGCACCCGGCGCAGAAATCGAAGCCTTGACTGCTCCCCGAAAGAATGAGGACCAACCTACCTTGTACAACGACGTGAACCAAGATGAGCTCCAAACCAAAAGCTCCAAGTACCTTCTCAACTATGGAACTAAGTTCAACAAAGACGTGATTTGCGCCAGCAGAGGCCTTTTCGTGTACACAGCCTCCGGCCACAAAGTTCTCGACTTCACATCTGGGCAAATGTCCTGCCTCCTCGGCCATGGACACCCGGAAATTGTCAAGACAATCGCAGACCATGCGGCATCGCTAGACCACCTCTTCTCCGGCATGGTCTCACCACCTGTGATCAACCTGGGGGAACGACTTTGCAACCTCCTCCCAGCCGGCCTGGACAAGGCGTTCTTTTTGTCCACCGGGGGTGAGAGTAACGAGGCTGCCATCAAAATGGCCAAGGTTTACACAGGCAAGTTCGAAATTGTCGGGTTAGGCGCTAGCTGGCACGGAGTAACAGCGCAAGCACTCGGCGCCCAGTACCACTTCGGTCGCAAGGGCCAAGGTCCTTTGATGCCGGGCATGCTGATGCTCCCACCACCAAATGCCTACCGATCTATCTTCCGTCACTCCGATGGATCCTACGACTGGCGAGCGGAGATGGAGTACGGCTGGCGAATGATCGACATGCAATCATGCGGCTCCCTGGCAGCGTGCATCGTGGAATGCATACAATCAAGTGGCGGAATGCATGTTCTTCCGGCAGGATATCTGGCGGCCCTGAAGCACGAGTGCGAAAAGCGTGGAATGCTTCTGATTGTCGACGAAGCCCAAACGGGGGTCGGTCGCTGTGGAGACCTCATGGCCATCAACCACGAGGACGTCGTCCCGGACATCCTCACTTTGAGCAAAACACTGGGCAATGGATTACCGCTTAGTGCGGTGATTACGAACGAGGAGATTGAGCGCGTATGCGCGCAACGGGACTATTGTTTTTACACGACCCATGTCAATGATCCACTTCCCGCAGCGGTGGGTGACAAAGTGCTCGAGATTGTGATTCGCGACGGACTGGTCGCGCATTCGCATGCGATGGGACAAATCCTGCATGACAAGCTCCATGCCCTGAAAGAAAAATACGGCTGCATTGGCGATGTACGTGGCCGTGGCCTTATGGCAGGCATTGAGATAGTGGAGGATCGCGAAAGCAAAATCCCCGCTTTGGCACTGGGCCAGGCGATTGGGGATCGGGCCTATGAATTAGGCTTGTGGGCTAATCTGAGTAGCCATCCCAGCTTTGGGGGTGCTTTTCGCATAGCCCCGCCCATCACTATCACTGAGCAGGAGTTGTTATGTGGCTTGGAAATATTGGAAGAGGCGTTTGCAACAACGACAGGCACTTTGCCTGTGCACGTGTGATGGGGACAAGATTTTCATTTCCAAAATTCAATAGTTTGAAAATTCTTTCAAATGGCGAGATGTTTAATTCTCCGAGGTTTTCCACGGTCTCAGATCGGAGATACTACAGATCGAGTTGATCACCGTTGATGCCTTCGTACCTTGGATAAGATCGCGTGTACGAAAAGAGATCAGATCAGAATTCGCCTCGCTACATCATTTTGTGATTTCTGTTTCGTCAGATGTTTCAAAGGGGAATCGAGGTTCGGGTTTCCAAAGTTGGTCTAGACTGCTAGATTGTGAGGGACCCGGTAGACTCAGGGATCATGATTGGTTCCTGGAGATTGCGATCACCACGTTAACGACCCGTGGTTGAGAGTCATAAAGTGGAGCTCGAAGTGGACTTCGATCTTTGGTACGCATGGCAACCACCTGGCGGGCACATGTTTTTAACCTTTTCCCTTGCATTTGCTTGGGTTTCCATGGTACATTACTTGTAGGCTGGACAAGATTCCAAGGTTGCTGTATGTGATTGCAGGTTACACAGGATATGTGCCGGTGTGGGGCAAACACGTTGGCCCTGTCTTAGACAGCACTCAGGAACGGAGATCTTGAACATGGAAACGCAGACGGGGAAAGGGTCGGTTCCAAGATAAAAGTTGGAATTACTGAGTGGACCTGTACAGTCCGAGATCTCATTTGCAGGATCTTCTGCCCATTGCTCCACTCATTGCCTCAAAGCATCCTAATCCTGCTGGGTCTTATCAGAAATTGTTGTGAAACTGAGTCTTTGATCGCACAAGCTTTTCAAGGTTCGGCGGTGTCTGCTCCACTCGACACTAGCCCATGTGTATTCTGTGTGTTCTTAATATAATCACGATCCACCGCTTGGCCAGGTCAACTCTTTGACGTCTCTCTAACCTAAATTCGATGATGCAGTTTGGGCTGTCCATCGCTCAGATCATAGCCGCAGGCTTGACCGTCGGTTTGACCACTGCGTTATCACCGCGCACAAAAATCAACGATGCATACGACTTCGTGATCGTCGGTGGAGGTCAAGCTGGTCTCGTGCTGGGCGCCCGTCTTTCGAATTCAAACCACACCGTGCTGGTCTTAGAGTCCGGTGGTGATGGAGATGAGTATCGTACTCGCATAGGTAGGCGGTCCTTTATCGCGACATTGCAACCTGCCCTAACATTCGTCACAATCGGAAAGATACCCCGGCCGACTCCTATTTTGACTCGCTGTGGACAACGCCTTTGAACTGGGATTTCTATACCGCCAAGCAACCCAATGCAGAGAACCGTGAGATCGAATGGCCTCGCGGCAAAGTTCTCGGAGGTTCGTGTTCTTACATCACTTCGGAATCATGGACCAAACTCACCGGAAATGCAGGTAGTTCCGCCATTAACGGACTGTACATGACTCGCCCTGGAAAGGACGAGATCAATGCCTGGCAAGAAATGCTCGGTGATATGGACGGCGCCGACAAGTGGTCTTGGGACTCTTTCTACGCAGCACTGAAGAAAAGCGAGACGTTCACACCGCCGAGTGATGCCATCGCTGAACAAGGTGGAATCACCTGGAACGCGTCTGACCACGGGACAGAGGGCCCAATCCACGCCTCCTATCCTGACTAGTACGCGCAATCCAACAGATACATTCCAATACGCGACAAGACTGACTTTCTACAGCACATTCGACCAAGTCGGTGATTGGTCAACATCTTTGCAAAAGATCGGCGTCGACATTTCCAGCAATATGTACGGCGGAGATGTATGGGGAGCGGAAGTTTCGACTTCTTGTATCAACCCCTCCAACTGGACTCGATCATACAGTCGGACTGGATACCTTGACCCTCTTCCAGACCGCACCAACTACGATGTATTGGCCAATGCACACGTCACCCGGCTGGTATTCGACAATTCTACTTCGACCAACCTGACAGCTAGCTCTGTTGAGTATACTTCCGACAATGGAACCACAATTTCCAGCGTCAAAGTGAAGAAAGAGGTTATTCTCGCGAGTGGCAGTGTTGGTAGCCCAGCAGTGTTGCTTTACAGCGGTGTTGGACCGAAAGACGTTCTCTCCGACGCGGGTGTTGACCTTGTCTCCGAGCTCCCCGGTGTTGGCCAGCATCTCCAGGATCACATTGTGAGTTTCCCCACGACCAGGCCGAAGTTAGTCAATTAACCGATGCAGAGTGCCACTGTGATGTGGAGCACCAACGTGGACACTGCAGGATCTATCTGGTATGAGGACGGTGCGGACAAGGTACGACTTGGACAACTCTGCCCTAGAGGTGACTGTGCTAATTACCACAGACTAAAACAAACTACCTTTCGTACATCGACGATGCCATTGCATATGTGAACTCCACTGGTCTATATGGCAGCAAGGTCGACGAGTACGAGAAGAAGTTCCTCGCCGATATGGACAAGTACACTCCGAATACCACAAGCGACGATGGCGTTATCGCCGGCTACAAGGCAATCTACAACACGACCGCATCGAAGATCTTCCAAAGTCCAATGGGCCAAATCGAGCTTCTGTTCATGAACAGTGACGCAAGTGGGGATATCGGCATTAGTGCAGCGCTGCAGCACCCCTTCAGTCACGGTCGAATCTACATCAACTCTTCAAACCCGATCGACTACCCCGTGATTGACCCGAACTACTTTGCTAATCCATCCGGTATGGCCCCAAAAACACGCATGAACCAAAGTGTCTTTACTAACAGCTTCCAGATATCGAGATGCTTCTCGAGGGCATCAAGATGGCCCGCAAAGTCGGCGAAACCACACCGATGAGCAACAATCTCACCAAAGAGACCGCCCCCGGCTCATCCGTCCAAACCGACGACGAATGGAAGCAGTGGCTCCGCGAACAGGCCAGCACCGAATTCCACCCCTCCTCGTCTTGCGCAATGCTTCCCAAGGACCAAGGTGGCGTGGTTGACGCCAAGCTCCGCGTTTACGGCCTTGCAAATGTGCGTGTCGCAGACGCTAGTATTGTCCCTATCGCTCTGTCATCGCACCTGATGGCCTCGACATACGGTGTCGCCGAACAGGCCAGCACCATTATTCTTGAACATTATGATCCCTCCTCCTCGACAGACCCTGCTTTCAGTGAGTCCAACGTTACTACCACGACGGGTACCACTGCCACACCGAAGAGTGACAAGAAAAACGCTGCTATCAAGGCCTTCGGAGGTTTGTCGAGCTCATGGATGTCTTCTGCGTTTGTGTCTTTGTACTTTGGCATCATTTTCAACATTTTGCTCTAGACGTTTACTTGAGGGTGCATAGGTATCATTTTTCCGAAGGTCGTGCGTGCTGGTTGCTCCCTGGCCTGTGGACTTGAGCATTTTTTAGACTAATTTTGTGCTATTCAGACAGCGGAAGGTAGAGATAATGATTTAATGATAGAGCTACACAAATTGAAATAGACCACTTATGATTAGCTGGCATCCACGATGTATGCTGAGCCGGACTCTCTTATGTCCGGGTCCCTCTTTGGCGGCGTTGACATACTCCGCGGGAGCTTGGAAGCGACAAGAGCCCACTTGGACTCAACTTAGACAAGCTTGGCATCCTTTTGCCTCTTAGAGGCGGGCCGTGCTGGCTCTCTGATCATCCAATAATCTCCGGCTTTTGCTACCCCGGAATCCACCCAGCTAAAGGCGGGGAAAACCTGGGGATCCAGGTTGAGCCTGGAGCGCATCATGCGGAGTGGTTGAGAGGTTGGGCTTGGGATCTTGGCAACCTTTTCTTCGACCTGCATTCGCCATGGCTGCCGGAAGTTCTTAGCTGTCCCTGGGACGGGAGAAAGATGAGACGGACTCTCTTCGTCCGCATGGCGGAAGCATTGGCTATAAAAGCATTGTCATACAGAACGATGCCTGAGTTCTGCCGAAGACCTACTGGGCTATCTTCGGGTGATTGTATCGCCACTACTCCTCCCTGACACTTTATACATAATCCTCGTCTCTCAGGTACAGTGGTCTCACCCACACACTCAACAGAGAGCCATGGCCATCTTTTCTAAGACACCTCAAACTCCGCAAACTCCCGACACGGACGTTAAAAGGTCTGACAACTCCCATGTCGAAGATGTGAGCTCCACCCATGTGGTCGATGAAAAGGCCCAAGGCGATTATTCCGGCGCAACGGCCAAAGTCGACCCCGTTGAAATCAGACTTGTTCGCAAATTGGACTTGAGGATCATGCCAATCCTGTGGGCAATGTATTTTTTGAACTACGTACGCATCCCAGGCTGTTGAACCTGCTCTACATTTCCCAGGCTAACTTTGATGGATATAGATCGACCGCAATGCAATCGCGAATGCACGTCTCAATGGCCTAGAGGAGGACCTTGGCCTTGAGGGAACCCAGTACAATACTTGCATTTCAATCTTGTTTGTAGGGTACGATGAATCCTCTCTCCCGAGACGAAAGGGAGTCTGACATGGAAACAGATATCTCTTGATGCAGATCCCGTCGAACATGCTCATGTCTTCGAATAAATTCAGACCATCGCTATACATGAGCGTTTGCATGGGTCTCTGGGCTATAGTCTCAGCTTGCACAGCTCTCACCAAGAATTACGTTGGTCTCTTGATGGTCCGGTTCTTCTTGGGAGTCACCGAGGCTCCCTTCTATCCGGGCGCGCTATTCCTCCTATCAGTCTTCTACACGCGCAAAGAGATTGCGCTCCGCATTTCGATCCTATATACCGGCAATATCGTCGCTACTGCTGTGGCCGGTCTGATCGCAGCCGCCACATTTGCAACCCTGGATAACCATATGAACTTGAAAGGGTGGCAGTGGCTATTCATCATCGAAGGAGCTGTAACATTTGGTGTTGCCGGTCTCGGCATCTTCATGTTGCCAGACCATCCACTGACGACAAAGTGGCTGACCCCGGAGGAACGACAACTTGCTCACGATCGCATTCAACGTGATACGGTTAGTAGCGAGGAGTCCAAGGGTGCCCTTGCAGGCTTGAAGCAAGCCATGGCTGACCCACGTGTCTACCTCTTGGCTTTCATGCAAAACATGCATCTCAGTGCCTGTGGCTTCAACAACTTCTTTCCGACTGTTGTTGGGAGTCTTGGATTCAACAGTACCATAACCCTGGTGCTTACATGTCCGCCTTATGTGTTCTCCGGGATCTGCTGCATCGTTGTTGGCATCACTTCTGGACGGTACAACGAACGCACATGGCACATCACCCTTGCTATGGGTGTTGCAGTCATAGGGTTTATAATTTCCTGCGTGACACTGAACAAGGGCGCCAGATACGTGGCTTGTTTCATGTTTGCCAGTGGTGCATATGCTGTCAACTCGGTCATATTGGGATGGGTCTCCGCGACACTCGGTCAGACACCTGAGAAGAAAGCCGCTTCTATTGGGTTCATCAATGTGGTTGCAAATGCATCTTACATTTATACGGCGTATCTTTACCCAAAGAGTGATGGACCTCGGTACTTGACTGGAATGTCGGCAAATACAGCGTTTGGGATCGCAACTATTGGGAGCGCTTGGGCTCTGAGGTGGTGGTTGCAGAGCACAAACCGGAAGATTCTGAGGGGATCTGTGCCTAATGCCGGTGATGTTCTTTATGCCTATTGATACGCAGCTACGGTTCTTCCAAGCTCGGAATTTATCGAGGTCTGGAACTTTGCGCAAGGCTTACAAGTTACTGATAATTTTGCTTCGTAGAGTGCTTGTAACGTCGGGCGACCACCGCTCATAACGACAGTCTTATAACAACAGTCCCTTGGTCACCTTATCTACCTGTGGATGCAATGCGCAGTCTCCCCAATAGTCTCCCACACATTATCTTTGATTGCATATTTTTTTCCCTTCCTCAACCAATTGCATACACGCAGAGATAACTCCAGGCTACAGTTACTTCAAGAGGATTGGCGACTTGGACAGGCCATATGCAGTTATAAAATTTCATCAATCATCAGAAAGAATCTATGAACTCCACGCAGACAAAAATGTTCAATAAAACGACCGACCAGCCCTTATTGCAACTCCACCTCTGAATCCGATGCAGTAGCAGGCGCTTGAGGTGCTCCCCAATTCTTTCCGACAAGCAATCCTGGATGAAAGCCTGTCAAGCAAATGCATGCAATGGAAACCATAGCACCCTCCAGGATCATCAATGCTATCTCGTCATTGGCCAGGCTACTGTCGAAACCACCTTGCAGCTCCGCAACCCGGAAGGTAGAACGTATCAGAATAGTCAAGACGGCAATTGCCAGACCTAATAACCATTTGGTGTCAGCAGGCTATCCATCAAGTGCGATTTGAATGCGATATGCTTACCGATCAAGAAAGATCGCTTCTTCCAGTCTGGCCGTCGCTTCTCGGAGTGTACACTTCGTCCTCGTGCGGCTCGGATCCCATATTCAACCACAAGAATGCAGAATACGATTATGGATGCGACCTGGAAGACCAATCCAGCAATCATGACGTTGACACCGGTATCCCGCAGAGATTGTTCATCGGCAATAGAGGTCACAGCCCCACCGGCTGCCTGTAAGATGAGGGAAATCACATCACAAGTCACAAATATGTAGACATAAGCTCTTGGCTTCAGTCGGGAGTATCTCTCGCCATAGACGGTGATAATTCGACCCAGGCACAGGTATATCCCCGCCGTGAAGAAGGCAGGCGCAATGGTAAGACAAATCAAGTACCTGTACATAAAGTATGCTGGTCAGAGATTTGCTAATGTTGACCTAAGTAGTGCCTAGGCTGGATTGATAACTCACATCAAGAAAGCATTGAAGTCGAATGGATTATTATGTAGAAGCACTCGTCCCACGTATCCTATCACTTCGAGGATTAAGCCGGCAGCCATGGGTATCATGAAACTCCAAGCTCGGAAAAGGATACCAGTCGCAATTTGGCCGACTAACAAGATTGCGAATACAGCAATGAAGAAGATATTCCCAGCCATGTTGGGCTGGTAATTGATGTAAGCTGCACTCAATGGGCATGTTTGCAAAGTGCAATCGTCCGGATTGATGTCCGACATGACGAGCTGTAGTGCCAGGTGAAAGTCAATCTCAAGGGTTTCGGGTTAAGGTTAAGTTGGAAGTAGAGGATGATTCAAGCTTGCTGAATTCCCGGGTTGATCTTGAAGTATGAACTCTTCTCTTGTGGAACATGATCGTAACTATATATTTCCAGACTCAACCCTATATCATGGATCCATGTCTACCTTGGCCCCCATTCAACCTTGAAACGTTGGAATACATGGATCTCGAGGCTGTGCCCATATTTTTTTAAACCATTCACCCAAGGCAATCATCAGATTATCTCCAAGAACCAATGATTGTCATCAAGTTGAAAGATCAATACGAAAAAGTGGATACGATGTAAGCGGCTGCCTTTGATGCCAAGACTTTTCCGGTCCGTGTCCGTGTCCGTGTCCGAGTCCTTGTCCTTTTCATCTGCTCCTCTCCTACCCTTACACCCCGAGATCGCAAAGAGCATACTCGATTGGGAAGATGGCGTCCTCTACTGTGGGACACGTCAGGACATGCGAGAACTGCGCCCGGGGAAAAATCCGATGCATCCGTGCGCCAGATTCCTCTATCTGCGATCGGTGAGTAGCCCCCACTGTGAGCACGAATCGAGGGCTCTATGTCCAAGGTATTCTGACCAAAGATCTAGATGCCGACGCCTTGGAAAGGAGTGTTATTTTCGGCCCGCTCGAGCCCGCTATAACCCCACTAAGAAGGGCACGTAAGGCACCCGAGTTCCATGACCGATGATGTTCAATCTAGTGCTGACAACCTCAAAATAACAGTCGAGTGGAGGCGCTTGAAGCAAAGGTTGATGAGCTTCTGGCCCGGGTTGGCACACAGCCGCACACTACCCCTCAGACTGAAGTTTCTTGTGCTCCCTGTGCTACGCCGACAGGTCTCTCCGACACAGATAGAGCCGAAGATGTGATTGACCGGGGGATCGTCAGCTACAGTGACGCCACTAAGATGCTAGGCTCCTTCCGGCAGACATTGATGCCGTACTTTCCTTTTGTTATAATCGCCCCGCAAACGACGCTAGATCAGCTCCGGGCAGAGAAGCCGTTCCTGTTGCTGGCGATTATCAAGGTGTCGATGTATAGAGACACCGCGGCCCAGCGAATCCTCGAGGAAATCTTCCAGTCCGCAGTTGCGAAGCGAATGATCTTTTCCCATGCTCCCTCAATGGATGTTCTACAAGGACTACTCGTAGCCTTGGCATGGTAAGTGGATATTTAACAGCCTCTCAGTGTGGAGGGGCGACTGACTCAAAACTTCATAAAGGCTTCATCATCAGATCCAGCATATGAGATTCTCCAGCTACCTTCATCTTGCCTGGAGTATTGTTGGAGATCTGCGGCTCGATCGAGTGTCTGACACCCAATCGATCTATTCACGCATGGACATGAGTACGGTATCATCAGACCATCGCAGTAGCAAACAATCCAAAAATGAGAGCAGAAGGGCTCTGATTGGATGTTACATGTTATCTTCATGGTGAGCCATTCCCTAAGATCACAAATTCCCACCCTGGTACACCAGCTCACTCGTGAAGTCGATCCACCATGTTCCAGAAAGATCGCATGATGACTCGGTTGTCGTATGTCGAGAAACAAGCGCTTGAACTACTGGACAACGCCGAGACCGCCAGTGATAGATGCTTGATACATTTAGTCAAGTTGCAACAGATATTCGAACGAATTGACGACGCTGTGGTGACTACTACAAATCCTGGACGAGAGATCGACATGCGTGGGTTCCAATCTCAGATCAACGAGTACAAAACGACTCTCCCAGCAACATTTTCTGATAATTGTAAGTGACAACATCAGAGCAAGCTCGATTGCCGCCTCCAATGCTGACTACCAATCCTTCGCATAGCGCTTCTTCGATTCAATCTACACACTCTACAGCTATTCCTATGCCAAGCTTGCTTGTTCGACAAACACGAGACGGCCTACATCGCTACTTCTTCAATGAACCGCTCTCATGCCGATTCTAGACTGCCGCCACATCTCCGAAGCGGTCAACATCCGCTGGAACTATCGGACTTTCAAGTTGAGCTCCTTGGCCGAGGTCTCACTGAAGCGAAGAAGTTTTTTGACTATTTACTACAATTTTCCCCTGAGACTTATGGTGTGATCAGTCATACGCAATGGTTACAAGCGGGATTCAACCTGGTCATCGGTTGCAAACTTGCTGTCACGGGTGCGAAGTATGCTCAACGAAGCCAACATATCGGGGCGTTGTGCTCTACTCTGAATATGCCGCAGATCATAAGGGGCACATCACACCGTCTCCAATGGCTTAGTAAAGACAAAGTCGATACCGATGGGAAGCAACAGTCCAAACATTTCTATGAGGTCTGGTTAGAACACATTCTTGAATGGTTTGAACAGAAGTATCACCTGGCCCAACCTGAAGCCCAAGCTCTTCCTCTCACCGAAATGCCCCCAGGCGGCTTCAGATCATCTGCGTTCGGGAATGGCTCGTCTTCACAGGAAGCAAACATCCTAAGCCAAGGCCATGGCGTCGAGCAAGTGGCGCAGATCGATGAGACTGGGACTTGGCCGGACTTTCTGTGGGACATAAGCACGGAAGACATACTGGGTGGGTACATGGGATTTTTGGATATGCCAAATGCTATGCCACAATTTGGATACGAAATGCCCATTCCTTGAAAAAAAGAGTCCCTGGATTCATCGATTGAGAAAGGTCGAGGCCGCCAAGCTTACGATCAACCCCCGCGGTCAAATTCGATTTGCCGCTCATTCAAAGCCTCCGAGACCATCGGGGCTGATCTCATATGATTCTGTTGAGACTTGTGAATCATCGGACTAGGCGTAAAGTCACTCGGATCATTTGGGCTGGGTTCCAGCTCATGGGGTCCAGAAACGACCCCCCGGGGCCAAGAATCCATGTGATATTATCCGGTTGGAACAATGAAAGTTGAACTGCCCGGATCCATTACTCTCATATTATATAGCAGCGTGGGATCGCGACAGATCATGACCCACACTATGTGGTCCGAACCGGGCCGAGCCCAGCTCTGGAAGCTATGATCGGTAAAATACGAGCTACAGCAGTCTGAATAGTATCTATCACTATTTGATTAGGCGGTATGCTTTTCTAAGAAGGCGGTAGGCAGATGCTCAAACATGCACCGTCCTGTATTCAGCCTCCTTGCCTTTCCTTCTCTTTGCTCACCTCCACCTCCTTTAGACACATAATAAATATTTTGACTTTCCATTCCAAATTGTTGTGATTTCTCCCATGACTACCCAGCAGCAGTTTCCTGGTTTGCACTGGATCTGGAAGGGAGCCATCTCTTTCGTCTATGAGGTCCTTCCTCGCATCGTGGTCAAGGTCCCGAAATCCGGCGAGTTTGAGAGAGAGCAATTTGGGAAAGAACTCAAGGTCTATGAGATGTTTTCTCGAAATCCACCTTGTCCTTCTATAGTGCAGTGTTTCTTCTACACAGACAACGGCATTTTCCTCGAGTATATGCGAGGTGCGACTCTTGCCCGTGCTGACAGTCTATATCTACTAACCGCCTCATTAGATGTATCTCTCTGGTGTAGAATACAAAACAATCATATTCGCGACCAGCAAACTTCCGTGGTTACTAAAGTTGAAAAATTGGAACCTCTATCTCTACGAAAGGAGTGGATGAACGACCTCGCACAAGCCGTCGCTTTCCTAGAATCGCTTGATCTCGCTCATGGCGACCTACGACCCGAAAATATTTTACTTGATCGTGACCGATTAAAAGTGTCGGACTTTGATTGTACGGCGGAAATCGGGACAGATTTTGAAGCCTGCATGGCCCCGTACGGAAGAATACTCAACGACAACGAGCCGGATCAAGGACGACGTGGGAGTTCCGGCTTCTTAGGCCCTCGAACCGAAAAATTCGCCCTCGGTTCCTTGTTCTACCTCATAAACTACGGCTTTGAGGTTTATGGAGATAGATGTCTTACCGAGAACCCTAACGAGCACGGACGCAAGGTCGTAGACCTACTGCAGAGTATGGAATTTCCAGAGTTAGATCGTGAACCGTTAATTGACAACATCATCAACAAATGCTGGCACAGCAAGTATGCCACGATTGCGGAATTGGCCGCATACACAGATACGCTCCCTGAAAAGCCCAGGACAAAAACCAAGGCCGAAGCAAATCTCGTTCCCGAATGGCATATGGGCGGGTTACGGAATAGTTTCAGATCTTGGGCGTCAGTGCTCTATCGCACCAGCGAGGCAATCAACCCTGAAGTAGCCAATGACAGAAAACCGGACTATAGCCATGACATGGGGCAAGATTCGTCAGAGGATTTCTCTTCGAAAAAGGCGTTCTGCCAGAGCTTGGAGAAGCGTGGGCTTCTTCATATGCTTTCTTTGGGAGAGCCGGAGCAACTTGGATTCACTACCGAGTGGTATAGATATTCCACGAGCTGAGGCGAGGGCTTAACTGCAGATTGCGAAAAAAAAATCCAAGAGTTTTGTAACTCGATTATTGCTCAAGTGATCAAACTGGAGCTCAAATCTTTGCCTTCCCACCAGGTGACAGCAAAACCCCATCTTGCCGCACGGCGAAATCTTTATCTTGTTCCCACCCCATCCACGCCTTGAGAGTATCCTTGCCTCCTTCTCCTGGTGAGAGCCCTTCGCTGCTCCATCCTCCTTGATCCGGCTGAATAGCGGGTGCAGGTGTGCTCGTCAAATGAACAACAGGACGTTGTTCATACCCGCTCCCTTCGAGCTCCGCCTGCTCGAGGACAGGCGTCGCACAGGCGTCAGTGCCATCAAAAACAGCCTCCCACTCCGTTCGCGTCTTCTCCTTGAAGCGACGCGTGAAGATATCCCGGAGTGCAGGCCAGCTCTCACGATCATCACGCTTAGGCAAGCTTTTCGGATCAAGTTCAAGACCGCGCAGTAATGCAGCATAGAACTGAGGCTCCAAAGCCCCAACTGCGAAATACTTTCCGGCATCCTTGGTCTCGTATGTATCATAGTAGGGACAGCCACTATCAAGCAGATTCTCACCACGCGGGCCAGACCAGCTGGGAGTCTTTTGCGCCAACCGAGGGAATGTAGCAAGGTACGCAGAACCATCAACCATATTAGCCTCTACAACCTGCCCACGACCAGTGTGAGAGCGCGAGATCAGCGCAAGAAGAATACCCTGGAAGCAGATTGCGCCACCCCCAGCAAAATCGCCCAAAATGTTTCCGGGCGCGTATGGCTTTTCACCCGCGCGACCGAGCATTGACAGCACGCCAGAGACGGCAATGTAGTTGATATCGTGACCGGCCATGTCCTTGTATTTCCCATCACGGCGGAATCCTGTCATGCGCGCGACGATGAGACGCGGGTTGTGTTTCTGGAGCACTTCAGTTGGGGAAAGGCCTAGTCGCTCAAGCACGCCCGGACGAAAGGGGTCGATCAAGACGTCTGCAGCAGTCAGGAGACGGAGGAGGATGTTGCGCGAGCTAGCATCGCGGAGATCCAGCGCGATTGAGGTTTTGTTTCTGGTCAATTGGTCTGCGCTTACGGCTGAAGGTCTGTCGATGCGTAGAACTGAGGCGCCATAGTCGGCTAGTAGGAGACCGGCGAATGGACCTTAAGTGATGATTTAGCAAAGTCTTGCTGTGTTGAGGAGGAGACATACCTGGAGCTAGACCAGCTAGCTCAATAACTTTGATACCCTTCAATGGAGGCATTTCAGTTCGATTAAGGGGATTGGAGAGTTGTGAGTATTTAAATTCTCCGCAGCCGAGGTCCGTGGTTATGACGAGTGCGGGGAAGCCGACACGTGGAGAACCATGCCAAGGGTGTTCTAGAACGTGGGATAATTCTATACATTGTAGTCTATTGCAGATGATACCAGAAATCATATACATAACCAATGCAGGGAATAAGAAAAAAAACAGCATCGGCAGATACATGTGGGAGGAGTATCATTAGGAGACAGGGAAAAGGATATGGATCGTACCACTCGTTTATCTTTTGAACACGAGGACCGTATCGATATTGGCCAGAGTAAATCACAAAGAGGCCAGAGGTATTGAATCACGCCAAAAGCGATCAGTGGGAGAATATTAAATAAAAAGAAAAAACAAGATCGTAATTAAAGATCACCATAGATTGGAATCAGCATCGTGAGATCAATCATTTGATTTAAAAGATGAGATCATGCTGACCAAACAAGTGGTATAGCTCATAGAATGATGAACATGGAGAGGGCGACGGCAATGATGCTGCCAAAAGTACCAGCGACGGCCTTGGAGGCAGCGCCGGTGTAGACAGGGGAGACACCCTCGTCAGTGCTGCTGGGCGCAGCAGTACCGGTAGTAGCAGCAGTGGCGCCGGTGGTAGCCACAGTGTGCGCGGCCGAGGCTGAAGCGGAGGGGCGGACGGCCAGGGTAGAGGATGGGCGGCCGGGACGGAAGCCTCCAACGCCAGCACCAAAGACGGGCTTGGGAGAGGACGAGGGAATCACGGGAGCGACGCCAGGAACAGTGACCTGGGGCTTGTCGGAGCCAGAGCCGGAGCCAGAGCCGGAGCCAGAGCCGGAGCCAGAGCCAGAGCCAGAGCCAGAGCCAGAGCCAGAGCCAGAGCCAGAGCCAGAGCCAGAGCCAGAGCCAGAGCCAGAGCCAGAGCCAGAGCCAGAGCCAGAGCCAGAGCCAGAGCCAGAGCCAGAGCCAGAGCCAGAGCCAGAGCCAGAGCCAGAGCCAGGGGCGGGGACAGTGGCAGTGGAAATGGGGACAGTGGCAGTGACAGTGCTACCAGTAGGACCACACTTAGGGCAGAAGGTCACAGTGGTAGTGTAGCCCTCAGGAACAGAGGGGGCAGTGGTCTGTGAAACGGCCTCAGTGGTAACCGGAGCAGTGGCAGCGGGCTTGGTCAGGGTCACAGTAGTAGGGGTAGCAGCACAGTGAGTGCAGACAGTCACAGTGGTGGTCCAGCCCTCAGGAATATCGACAGTAGTGGTTGAGCCGGAGGCAGGAGCGGTAATTTCAGCGGTTCCAGTGGGGGCGCTAATCTGAGCAGTACCAGTGGCAGTAGCGGTGGCAGGGGAGTTGCCTGGGCACCAGGTACTGGTGATAGTGGTGGTGATAGTGGTGAATCCAGTGGGGCAGATATCAACGTAAGAAGTAACAATAATAGTGGTGGTGGTACCGGGAGTCGAAGATGAAGGAGCGGCAGTCACAGATGGAGCGGCAGTGACAGTGACGCCGGAAGACACAGTAACTGAGTTGCCACCGGAAGGTTGAGTGCTGCCAGTAGGTTGGACGCCAGTGGACTGGGCGCCGGTGGACTGGGTGCCGGTAGGCTGGGCGTCAGTGGACTGAGCGTTAGTGGGTAGAACACCAGACGAGCTGGGGCTACCGGCAGAAGAAGCACCAGACTCAGTAGCGGAAGAGGACCCAGAGGAAGCACCGGACTCTGTCGCAGGAGCGGCCGATGAAGAGCTCGTGACCAGGGGAGTAGAGCTGGGTGCGGGCTTTCCTGTGGTGGAGGGGCGGGGAGCTGGGCGTCCAGTGGAAGAGGTCACGACGGAGCTGCTAGGAACAGCAGACGATGAGTCGCAAGGAGTCTCGGAGGGGGTAGCAGAGCCCGAAGGAGCAGCGGTGTGAGAGGAAACAGCGGAGCTGGAAGCAGTGCTTGACTCGCAGGGTGTCTCGGAGGGGGTAGCGGAGCCGGAAGGAGTAACGGTGCTAGTGTGAGCAACAGCGCTGGTGGGGGTAGCAGTGCTAGAGTGAGCAACGGAACTGGAGTGAACAGTTGAGCTGGAAGCAGTGCTTGACTCGCAAGGTGTCTCAGAGGGGGTAGCGGAGCCAGAAGGAGCAGCGGAGCTAGAGGGAGTAGCAGAGCTAGAGGGAGTAGCAGAGCCAGAGGGGGTAGCAATGCTGGAGGAGGCAACGGAGCTGGAAGAGGCAACGGAGCTGGAAGAGGCAGCGGAGCTGGAAGAGGCAGCGGAGCTGGAAGAAACAACGGAGCTGGAAGAAGCAGCGGAGCTAGAGGGAGCAGCGGAGCTAGAGGGAGCAGCGGAGCTAGAGGGAGCAGCGGAGCTAGAGGGAGCAGCGGAGCTAGAAGGAGCAGCAGAGCTAGAAGGAGCAGCGGAGCTAGAAGGAGCAGCAGAGCTAGAAGGAGCAGCAGAGCTGGACAGAGTAGCAGAGCTGGAGGGAGGGACAGTGGAAGACTGAACGGGGGTAGAGGTGGCAGAGGGAGTCGGGGTAGCAGTCGAGGACGTGACAGGGGGAGGGGCACATCCGTACAGAATCTCCTTCATGTGTTCAGTGTAGGTGGTTCCATCAATGACATTCTGGTCACCGGCGGTAGCTTCCCACAGCATGATACCACCGAACTGCTTAGGGTAGGCATTCATGTAGGTCTCGACCAGGGGCTGGACTTGGTCAGGGGTCAGGTAGTTGCCGGGGTTAGCGGCAGTTTGGGAAGCAGGAAGTCCGATGAACAGCTTGGTGTCCTTGTTTGCGCTGGCTTGGATGACATCGACCCACTTGTCGAAGTTGAAGCCGGAAGTGCCGTTGGCGAAGTTGGAAGCAGCACAGGATGGGGTGTTGTAGAACTGGACCCAGAGGAAGTCAAACACGGAGTTGCTGATAGCGTCACTCAGCTGAGCATCGGGAGTTGGGCACTGGGGAGCACCGGAAATGTAGTAGGTCTTGTCAGAGACCGTCGAGTAGTGCCAGCGCATACGGTTGACAAAGGCAGCCCAGCCAACACCACCATTGTACTCGACATCGAGATCGAATCCATCAACCGAAACAGTTTGGAAGGGACGGGGGAAAGCCCTGGTGAGCAAGGCACTGGTCCAGGACAAAGACGAATAGTTGGAGTTGTAAGGACCGAAGGAGTACCAAAGGAAGTCGGCAAACCACTCGGCAGTCTTATCATCGGGAAGTGACTCGGAGGTGGCACTGCCACCACCAATGGAGAGGAGGACCTTCTTGCCAGCGGCCTGGCACTTGGGAATGTCCTCCCAGATCTGGTGGCAGCCAGACAGAAGCTCAGAGCCAGGGAACCAGGAGCCATCGCACTGATTGGCAAAGTTGGAGCCGGGGAAATCACCCACTGCCTTGGGGAACTGGTTGATGAATCCTAGGTTGATGATATCCATTGAAGTCTGCTCACAGAAGTGGCTGAGACGGTCCTGGCCTGACCCTTGTCCGTAGTAGACGGCAACATTGTTCTTCAAGGTGGCATCGAGGGCCACAGCAGTCGATGCAAAGAGTGACAGTGCCGACGCGGCGGCAAGAGTTTTGGTGAACATATTTGCTGTAAAAAAATGAATGTGATGGTTATAATCCAATGCAATAACCACTAATCAGCCTGGTAAAATGAGGGACAGGCTCGTAGACAACGAGAGGACGCAGACAATAATCTGCCTGGGAGATATTCCCAAAGAGCCCAAAAGGAATGTGGTGGTCGAAAGGAAATGCAACTCCCCGGGGGAAAAGAGACTGAAATACACAACACCGCACTCGGGGGCGCTGCCAGTCTCCGCCCCCTGATGTAGATGCCGACCTCCGATGTGAGGAGCACTAATCAAAAAGCAGGGCAGCACCATTGTGTGGAAATGAGCCTGTGATACGAGTATCCGACCATTCCCTGGTGGGTAACCGAAATGCCGTATAAAATACTCCGTACACTCCACTCTGGCAAGGCTAGCCAACGCATTTGGGACTGGTGCATCCAAAGCTTGGTAGTAATTTCACTAGGCCTGGGGCCAACAGGATGAGTCGACTCGGACAATGGCCTCCCTCTTTGCAGCATGTGAACCGCAAACCGCCCTGGCCGCATGTAGGCCAAACGGCAAACGCGTGGGCTTGGAAGGTGGCAGAACTGGTGGCGTCCCAGAGTCACATCGTTGGAGCGTAATCAGCCCAGGCCAAAGAGACCTCTCAGGGCAGTGTGCTCCGTGCCTGATTTGGCGCAGTAAAATTGCCAGAGCCGCATGAGAGAGGCTAACAGACCCTAAGAGACCCTAGTCGAATTAGCCTCAGCGTCCTGACTGGATCACAGGGAGAGTTCGATGCGAGCGAGCCAATCAGAGCGGGCCGTGAGCATGCATAGCACGGACTCCCCGAAGGGTCCACCATGCCTTGAGGTCTGAGGCAAAAAGCGCCATTTCCCAGCATCATCTTCCCGCGGGGTGCGTTTGTCAAGCCAACTAAGCATGGTGTTTGGCGTTTTCGTTTTAGGTATGTTGGAGATATCCTGGACTAACCGTGGGCCTGCTGTACTAGTAGTGCTGTCGAGTGCATAAAAGAAGGTGATCGGAAGCGAGCAACGGCGAGGTCGCTAGGTTTGCGCTAAGCCTCCGGGGGCCAGGAAGTGGGACTAGTCTCCGTCAGGCACACCAATCAGAACTGCGCATCCGGGATACCGGAGACTAGCCGGATCACCGTTTCTGTTTTGACTTTCTGTTTTTACGCGATACCTGTTCAGTACTGTACTGTACCCTACGCCTGGGTTAATATCTGCATCTGATCTTGGCTTGACTAGTACTATAGACTCGACAGGGTTCTGTAGTATAGTACTTGGCCCCTATTTGCCACGTTCGCAAAAAGCAACGTGCCTCGCGTGCAAGCTTCGGAGATATACCCTACCCGAGAACGAGTCGCGATCACGCCCCTCCTCCATTTCAGGTATTATTGAAGCGCTAACCATCACCTGGGCACTTCATAAGCCGCCACCAGACTAGGGCGGATTTTAGCCGAGACACAGATTATGATCTAACATAACTCCCGGGTCCGGGGGGTTTGGCCGAGCAACACCGATAATTGCGTAGGTGGAAACTGTCTGCGATCTGGGTGGGGCGTAATTTAAAAGATCCTCTCTATGTTCTAGCCTCAGTGCTTTTCTCGCCACTCTTGAAACGTAAAGTTTGTTTGCAGTTGTGCACTTGGTGACTCGATCTCATTTTACCTTTCACAGTATCCGGTGTGCTGGGGACCTCTCAATAATGAGTCTCGGTGACAGCCCTGGAGGTCTAACGTAAGAGTTTTGTTTTGGTTCTTTTTTGCTCTTTTCAATGTATGCCAATTCATATGCGTTTGCTACGGTTTGTACTCATTTCAAAAATGATTTAGATAAGGAGTAGTTGTTGGAAAAAGCCACCAAGCCACGAGCGCAATTAAGCAAAACCTGAATGAGAGTGGAGGTTCCGGTACCTACTCCGACTCGCATGCAAGATCGGGCAAAGAGACCGTTTCTTGCCGACGACGCACCAGCACCTTCGCCGATACATCACTCTGTAATCGAATTCCATGCTTTTGGACCTGGGGAATCGTCCCATCGGCAAGCTTGAACTCATACTTCATCAACACATGACACAGCACGATCTTCACTTGGTTAACAGCGAAAAACCGCCCAGGGCAGGCATGTCGTCCAAGTCCGAACCCCATATGCTCGGGCGAGACTGAGATCAAGGAAGAAGAAAGCTCATGGCCTGCCACCTCTCGCAGCTTAACGAATCGGTACGGGTCAAATGTCTCTGGGTTTTCGTAGACTTGTGAATCCCACATCCACTCATTCGGGATCATGAGTCCTGTTCCCTTTGCGATTTGCGTCCCATCAGCTAGCCTGATGTTGTCCATCGCCATTCGTCGGAATGTTGCTGGCCATATAGTCAGTATTGAAAACGAGATTTCCAGATACCCGACTGACACAGAGAAATAGGTTTCAGCCTCTGCGATTCTTTCAGAACACTGTCCATGAGCCGTAGCTTGTGCATCGTCGTCTTTTTCACTTCGTTCTCCCGCAAGACCGCCAGCACCTCCTCTCTGAGTTCGGAAATCAGCTCCTCCTTTCCACAAATATCCAACAAGGCCTGCGTGAGAAGATCGGCCGTGGTAAAGATAGCCACGAGAGCAAGTCCCAATTGCATCAAAGCAGGTTCATAATCACGACCTGCCGCAACGTCTTGTATCCATTGTATCGCATCATTCCTAATCTCAGGAGCCACTCCATTTTTCAGTGCATTCTCTTTGTCAATCTCCCTGGTCTTGATCACCCTGTCCACGATATTGCGGGCGGCCTGAACCTCCTTCCTCAGAATTCGGATCGATCCCATGAACTTGGCAACAATTGGACGAGTCATTGATGGCCAGAGCTGCAATGCATCGTTTGCTTGTAGACTGTGCGCCGCATAATTGGTCACCACACGAAGCCACTCCTCATCGCGACACATTTTCTCGCCCATGAAAACTATGCATGATAGTCGCGCCACAAGTCTTTGGATACTGGGATATAAAGCAAGCTCGTGCCAGTCTGTCTCGGTCGGCATCTTGACTTATAAGTTTCAAGTGGGAGCTTACTTGGGTTGTCCGTCCACCCATCTTGAAGGGCAACAGAAGCTCCCTTGTATAAAGGACCAGTAAGGATTCCTGTTGCAGTTCGGTATGTACCTTTGAACCGATGGCATTTTCATACATACCTTGCGCTACAGTGAGCTTCTTTCGAATTAAATCCAGCAAGATATCAATATTCTGGCCGAATGGCTCAAGCCCCTTAATGTGAGGATGAGATTCAGACCGAATAAGATCAAACAGGCTCAGGGAGGGGTGGTCTCGAATTTCATCCAGGTATCTCTGGGATAATACGAGTCGAATCCCAGTGTCGCACGTCAACCGAAAGATATCACACTGGTAGAATATTGGAATCAGCTCATGACGTTCTCTTCCAATGTTTAAAGGGGTGTCCAAGCGTCACAATACTTTCGCAAGACCACCTTTCATCAGGCCTTTGGCATCTTCGACAAATTTGTACTTCGCTTTGGTGGCCATGAAATCAAACCTTTCGTGCGCGTTGAACAGAGGAAACACCGGGCTCGACGGATACATAAAATATAGCAGTAAGCATCCCACCCCCAACGCACTGAGCAGGGGCAGCAGGCCCATCCAGTTTAGCGCCGACAACTGAACATCTGGAAGGCTCGTCATTTTGTGCGCAAGCTGATTTGAGCCCTGAGTGAGTGTCAAGTTCACAAATGAATATCATGTTTCTAAGATTATCTCCATCTATGATTTATCTTCGTCGTCCTGGTAGCACCAAGCCCTTGTACAAGCCTGGAGACTGGGGTTGCACGAGAATAAGAGCCTTCGAATTCCTAGAGTAATTTCTGAGGGTATTCCGTGAGATTGTTACCTAGGTACGACGGAGGATAATCTCTCGAGGATATGAAGATTGATATGATCAACCTTGGAATGTACGACTAGGGCTACAAACTCACCTAGGATTTGACCTGTCTGGGTTGGCACCAACCCCTGTCCCAACCTTGGAAGGTTATTGCCGGTAGACTGTGCCCTGGTGGAAGAGGTATATGGTTGAGATACCTAGGTACAACCTTGAGCCTTCCATGTTGGAAGGTTTCACTTGTGTTTCCTTTTTGATGACTTGGAAGATGTGTTTGTCTGTTGAGTATTGGAATTGCCCGGAGTCCTTTTAAGTTACCTGGGTATCGCCGGGGTGCTGTTTCAAGGTTGAGAGGTCGATCTTTGCAATTTGGTGAGAGGTACTAGGTAGTGTGAAGCCATCCATGGATATCTAACCCCATCGGTATGGTCGGTAGAATCAGATTCCAACGTTAACGAGCAACCGTGAAACTCATCGAGATATTATTCCTCCATGGATTTCACTCAACAATTGTAGTCTGAGTCAGTCTCGTTACACAAATGAAGAAGAGAAAATAATCGCTCTCCAATTCCAGAAGCTTAAAACCTTGGGATACAACCTTTCAAGGTTGCTGCGCAGGAGGTCGTTGGTCTGTATGTGAGACTCCCGATATCAACTCTACAAATCCATGGATGTTCGACCGGAATGAGCAATCTTCAAGATTAAAGATACCTGGGCATGGTCGGGAAATCAGAATTCACCTGGGCACCAACATGTCAATGAAGAACCCGGCAATACCTAAGTACAAGTAGATAGGCTATATACACGACAAGGACCCAGGATCCACCTGTGCACAAGTCCACGGACCAATGCAAAGAGACGAATTCAGCGATATGATATCATCAACGCTACGTTGACTGGCCACAAAAGACACCATCTTGAATGCTGAACCCTGCACTTGCAAACATGCCCACCCATGTAGCATCATCACTGAAAAGAAAGTTGGAAGCCTCGTCTATCTGATTACTGAACCCCATCCCCGAAGTAGGTGGCATATTAGGGGTCGGTTGAATAGGAGGCATAGAAGGATCATAAGGGTGAGAGGGACGATGGAAGTAAGGCGGATGGACCGACGATGGCGGGGTTGGGTTTTGCGCAGACGCAAAGGGTTCTGGGTTTGCGGTAGATGGGAAGGATCTTGCAGAGCCAGGGTGGGTATCTACGTGTCCGGCAGGAGACTGGGATTGGACTGTTGCGGGAGAGTCCGGGAAAGAAGTTGCTGTAGAGCTTGGGGCGGAAGGCCTGTCGATTGGTCGGGCGGGGGGAATTGTGAGTGGGCGAGGGCGTCGGATTGCTGAGTACTCCGATAGAATGTTGTTTAGGAATTTGGACTGTAGGCTGCAGCTTGTGCTTGAGGATGAGGATTGAGCCGTCAGTACAGTTGCTGCGGCGCGGATTGCTGCTAAGGTGTCTGGTTCGATCTCTTGGCTTATAGGAGGTGGGGATGAAAGAAGGAGCTATACAGTGTTAGAACTGACACATGGTTTCAAAATCGAGAAATGCTTGGTCTGGGACTCTTACCTTGATCAGGAGCACGGCTGAATATGCCGTCATGACGTGGATAGAATCCTGGCAGAGCCTAAGGAAAGATGAATATTCGGGCATCAGACGCAACATAGTCATGGCACTCTGATAGCTGACCCAAAATGGTTTCAGATCGCATGTTTCGTCGAAAGTGGTTTTTTTCAAAGTCTCCTGAAGGGGAATGGAAAAGAGTTGTAGAGATTGATGGGCGCCATAGAATCTGATCAAGAAGCTATGGCAGCTCACCGCATCCGTCACTTCAAGCCACTTCGCTTGCCACCGCTCGATGCGAGTCTGTAGCATGGACAATGGCCGGGGGGCTGCATACTGACTGCCCGGGTTTAACAGGTCAAACACCTCCGCTGCCAGCAGTCGGAGCGTGACGAAGCTACACAGAAGTCTATCGTTTTCGATAGCCTGTGGATGCGTCCACCATGATTGAACAGACTCGATAAAAGGGCTTCGTTCAATCATCCACGGTTTCCCCGTTTGCAGACTCATGCTGGTCGAGATTAGAATCGGGCCATACCAATCCAGTTCTCATCTTACCTGCGATCGTACACAAACAGCACCAACCAGGTGCGTTCGGCATTCCTAATCTCCCTTTGTTGGGTGTCGGTTGCCGCTTTAGAAGCATCTGGGGTCGTGCCGAGCTTATGCCAGCCAAGATCCATTGACATGCGAATCGCCAGTCCGACAGACATCCAGGCTCTGGTGTCATTTGGCTCTTTCCAATAGGTCAGAACCATGATCGCCTGGACAGTCTCGGCGGATTTATCGCCGCGTCGGAATGCCTCCATGAACAGCTTTTCAGCATGTGCAAGCATGGTCGGGTACAACGTAGGCTCGAAAGACTTGGTAGCCGCAGTGAGCACTGCCGAAAACAAAAAAGAGGATTTTTGTCGCACGTATGTTAATGAATGAAGATAGGGATCCAGCTGGCTGATATACGGATTTAACTTGGTCATGAAGCTGTTAAATATCAGCATTGAAACTGGCTGCCAGGGTTCTCAGGCCGACCTTTCAAAGAGGCTGACAGCTCGCTCGTAGGTGACCAGCCCGCACCGAATTGGATCATCGACGGAGACCGAGTTCACTGGCCGATCGAATGTCGATCCATGATTAGTACTGAGGATGTTCTGCAATGAGAACTTGCCCTTCATCGCCTGGTGGCTTAAGAGGCCATCGGGCTGAAGGCCTTCCGACTCCGCCCAGAAATCCGAGACGCGTTCATCACGCGAGCTAGGTTGGGTCGCGAGCGGTGGCTGCACCGGCTGCACAGGCTGGCCTTCCACTGGTCGCTCCGGGATCGCATCCTGCATATGCGAATTGAGCGACCGCTTGGAACTGGCTTTGATCAACCTGGACTGGTGAGTGGACGATCTCATGCGCGACCGAGGACACATACCGGGTGCCGGGCTTCCTGCCGCGACGGTGCTCGCGGAAGGCACAGTCCATGGATTTTCGCACGCAGCGATCACATTTCACGGGATCTATCGTCATGGTACATTTCATCTTGACTCGGCGACAGGCCAAGCACGCATTGGCGCTGTTTCATCAGCTCGGGGTTTCAGGGATCGGACAATTAGGCTTACCTGGCCTTTAGGGCCGTGGACCCATCCGGCGACATGGCTTATTGCTTGTGTAGAGGGATCTTGCAAGGTGGACCAGGAGAGTCACTCCACGTCCGAGATCAACCGGGACCCGACAGCCCGAGGGGAGCTCTGGGGGGGCGGCGCACTGGCTTCCGAAAGAGGCAAATGGTCCGCCGATCATCGGCCACTCGGTCGGCGTTTCATGCGAAGGCGTAGATTGCCGGTCTGCGGCTTTTCCGAATGCAGAAGTCGCCGGCCGGTGAATCTTTTTTGGGTTTCTTGCAGGGGGGTCAACTATGAGGTTTGGAAAAAATATTGATTCCTGAGATTCAACGATTCCTCACTCGTCTTGTCAGATTCCATCATGGCGCCTAACAAGCCCAAGGCGGGCCACGTCAATATGATGGCTGATACTAACATCGCCAACTTGCCCATCGAAGGACTGCGAGCAGTCATGCGTGGCATTCTGGCAAATAGACCGGACTGCACGCCTGTGTTCGAGCAGCAGACCCGACAGTATCTGGGAGATACGGCCTCGCAGTTCGTGAATGTCACAGTGATCGAACAGGCGAATGGATCATTCCAAACGACAAGCGCCTTCCACCAACTGCGCAGACGGATTTGCTGCATGGTCGGATGCGGGATGTGCTACCAGGCGCTGCCTCTCTTGCAGGGCATGGTTGAGCAGATTTCGAACGTTCAGCTCGGGCCGGCCCAGTCGGATCTGGTGGATCAGATTGCTGGTGTCGATGGAGACATCATCCAAGCCATTACCGCTGTCCAAAAGACCCTCTTTGTGGAGTCCGGGTCTCGGGATCTGTCCCAGATTGAAAAGGCCCCTCTGGAGGCCTTGTTAGCGTCTCTCACCGCTTGCAAGGCTGCCTGGGCGAGCAATCCATTCCCTTTCGTGTTGGACAGAGGTCTTGAGGCGACTATAGATATAGTGAACCCGGCTCTGGCATCGGCTGCCGCTGCCGCTGCCACTGCGGCATGCAATGACGATTTCCTTGTCGAGAAGGCGCCGCGTGCTATCTCGGAGACCTTCCAGATGGCAGACGTTAAGCTTCCTCGCGTGTTCTCCGGTCTGTGGCAGCTGTCCAGTCCCGCATGGGGAAGCGCACCCCGGTCCAAGATCATGCAGCAATTCTCAAAGCATGTTGAAGGTGGTCTGACAGCCTTCGATATGGCCGATCACTATGGCGATGCAGAAATTCTGTTTGTGAGTTCCTGCGGCGCTCGTTATATTCATGCCGTTTACTGATTGAACCTGTAGGGTCAATACCGATCTTCTAGCAAGAACTCTGATGCCCTCTTCGCTGCGACTAAATACTGCATCTTCCATCCTATGAAAGTGACGCCCGATGCTATCCGCGCAAAGGTCGACGAGCGTTGTCAGAGACTGCGCACCAACAAGCTCGACCTCTTGCAGTTCCACTGGCAATTTGTATGTGATCCCCTCTTGTCCACGGCATCCTTGTTCAATCACTAATGATATGTCTAGTATAACGATCCCCAATACATTGACGCTCTGAAGTACCTCCAACAAGACAGCCGAATCCAACATCTTGGTCTCTGCAACTTCGACACAGAGCATATGCAAAAAGCGATTGAGAGTGGAGTCAAGGTCTACACTAACCAAGTCCAGGTACATATATCCCCACTTTCTGCACACCTCGTATAAGCTAACGAGGATCCTCATAGTTCTCCCTCATCGATTCCCGCCCAACAGTGAAGATGGTGGAGTTCTGCGACAAGCACGACATCAAATTGCTCACCTACGGCACACTGGTAAGAGCAATATTCCAAATACATAACCAACAGTCCACAAAGACTAACTCAAACAGCTGGGTGGCCTGCTAGCAGAAAAGTGGGTCGGCCAGGCAGCGCCGGACCTATACGCTGAGACAATGACCCCCAGTCTCCGCAAGGTGAGAATCCCAAGAGCCCCACTAGTAAGCACCATTAACCAAGCCTAGTACTTCGCCATGATCCAAAACTGGGGTGGATGGGACCTGTTCCAGGAACTTCTTCGCACACTGCAGAGTATTGGGCGCAAACACAACGTCTCTGTATCAAATGTCGCCACACGATGGGTCCTGGACTTCAGATGTGTTGGTGCAGTGATTGTGGGGGCACGGATGGGCGTCAGCGAGCAATCGGAGGAGAACCTCGCTAGTTTGGGCTGGTCACTGGATGCAGAGGACCAGGGAATGATCCAGGCGATCTTGGAGCGCAGTTCCCGGGCTGAAATGTTCGAGAGCCTTGGTGACTGTGGGGGTGAGTATCGATGATTGATGATTGATGATTACAGTTCTATTATGATTTATACAGTCTTGAGAATAGCTAGGTACAATAGACAGCGGGGTGCGTCCCCGTTTTAGATCCAGTGAAGTGCGCGTCTCCACCATGGCCAGTCGAGTTGATTCTTGGTAAGGTAGAGACCGAGCGCCTTTTCCTTTTCGATTTCTTCGAATTCGCCCCGGATGTCGATTTTGTCCAGTGGGACGACTTTGGATTTGAGGAAAAACTTGAAAAAGATATAGAGTGCTGTTGGGATGTTAGCTGCGCTCGAGGATTGTAGCTTCTAGACATACCAGCGAATATAGCAATGTTCAGGTACGAGGTCAAGAAGCCAGATGCTGTGAAATTGTTCTTGGTGAAGACATCAAACCCGGAAGTCAGAACGATCATAACGACCATGAATGTGGTCACCCAAGCGGTATACGGCTGGAAAGGTGTGCGGTAGGGAAGTTCTGGAAGTGTGGTCAGCATCAATCTCAGCACGACGGTTATGGAGCATACCGTGTCTTGAAAATCCCTGCTTTTTCAAGCAAGCATAGAAGCGCAGATAAGTACCGCCGATGACGATCCAGCCGATCAGACCGGCGACAGTGGTGATATTGACAAACCAAGAGAAGACGGTGGCCGCGCTGCTCCCCAGACTCATGTACATGAGTGGGAGAAGCAGAACAGTCAGTCCGACAGCATAGTATGGAGTACCAAATCGGTTGCACCGTTGAAAGAACTTGGGTGCATGTCCATCCTGACTGAGGCCATACAAGGTGCGGGACGCAATGAAGATACAACTCGAACTGCCACTGATGGCCGAAGTGCACACTACTGCGTTAATGATGTGCGGGACGACAGAAACGCCCGATCGCACAAATGCAATAACGAATGGCGACTGTGTTGCTGTACCAGTTGAGATGGTAAGGTCCTTGTCGTTGGATGGGCTAGGGGCAGGTTAGATTTTCCCGGCGTGTGCATGTGGAGTGCTACTTACACGATGAGACCGACGATGAAAATGCTGACAACGTAGAAGAAGAAAATGCGGATGAAAGTCTTTCTTGTCGCATCGGGGATGATCTTGCGTGGATTCTGGGTCTCGGCGCCTGCAATGGCCACGACTTGGATATTGCCAAAACTAAAAGCGGAGGTTAAGAGGACTTTCCAGAAGGCAAGGAATCTTCCCGCGGAGCCGGTGTCAATGAAGGCATTGAACGCGCCCGGGTCCTTCCAGTAGTGGAAGCCGAGACGCTCTTGGCCGGGAGTACCACCCAGATCAATAACGATGCCACCGATGATGAGACCGATGATCAGCATGATCTTGAGAGAGGCAAATATGACCTCCGACTGCACGTTGTCAGATTGACTCCATCAGGGATGGGTGGGGACTCACCTCTCCATAGAGCTTCACGTTGCAAAAGTTAAGTGCGGTGATGAAGACGCCAAAGACGGTAATCCAGACCGCCGGGCTGATTGAGTCATTCCAAAACTGGACAATGGTCGCAGCCGCAGTGATCTCTGTTGGGGCCGAGATCGCCATCGTATACCCTATGCCAACGTCAGTACCGAGTGCGATGGGTCACTTTCGGGACATACAAAAGTTCCAGCCAGTCGCTGCGCCGAGCGCCGGCTCAACAAACCTTGTCGCATGGCGCACGAAGCCACCACTGCACGGCATGAAGGACGAAATCTCGCCCGTGGTGTATGAGATCCCACCTGTCACAAAGCCCATGACAATGTATGCCAAAAAGGCCCCCGCCGGACCAGCAATGGCAATGACCTGGCCGGAGCTCAAAAACAGGCCCGTTCCCTGCGAGGTTCAGCATGTCGATCCCCGTCGATCGAGTCAGAACTTACAATCATGCCTGCGATGGCAATCATGTTGATATGCCTTGATTTGAGATCGCGTTTGATCTCCTCCCCCGCCAGGGTCGATCCACTATGCGGTCGCTCGACATCGCTGGCGGTGCTGGAGTGTTTCTCATTGAATGCCATGGCGCTGGATTAAACCAAGAATGACAATGACACATACAAGAAGAGTCAGCACTCTACTCTGTACGGAGTAAGATAGGGTGGAGAGACAAGCAAAGGGGAGGTGCGGGCCAAGGCCGAGATTCTGAGTTTTGCTAACCGATGCAACTAAAACCTTCCACATTATTCACTCATGGATGCCTTTCAGCTTTACGATCTTCGCGTCGAGGTGGTGTGTCCCCCAGGCAAACGCATTCTCTGCGGAGCCAAAGAAGGGGATCACTTCACCCTCAAGGGCGAAATGATGTACCTCCCCCCCGGTCAAGGCATCAGTATCTACAGCCTCGGTGCGTTTGGACCTCCCCTCCCAGACTGTTGCTCATCGCGTAGCGTCCGTTCTGCCCCTGTTGGCCTCCAAGCAGCGAATGACCCACGAAAATGACTGGATGACCACCGACGCCCACATCGCCTGTCCAGATCCTCACTGTCCGTCGCAACTGAAGATCATCCGGACGGGCATCTCGACATTCAACCACGCCGACACGACGGCTGTTCCGAAACCTTAACTTGAAATATTCGCAGTGCGCTTCTGCCAGAAGGTCCAGGAACTCCCGATCGACATCCCGACACCTCATGGGTCTGGGCGACAGGGGTCAGTGGCCCGCTGCGGGAAAGGTCCCCTGAAGCAACCCTTTTCCGCCAATAGCCGGCGTTCTCGCCCGCCACTTATCGCAAACAATATAATTGTTCCCTGTGTGGTCGCGTAATCCTGGTCTAGTGCCCAAGTGCTGCAGCTGTGAAGAGTTTCATGTAAAATCCATTTTGCTCGCATAAAGGGTTCTCAGTCAATCATCGGTATTCCTATATATCGATCTGCCTGGAATCAATTCTGTGAAACCAGCCAAATGTCATTGGTATTGTCGTTGATTTTCTTGTGTCTTGGCAGTGCGTGTCGCGGTCGGGGCTGGTACTACCTGGGTACCTACCTAGGTAGGTAGTATATATATTCAACAAAATGTCACAAGCTAAGAATTAGTACATTACTTTAACAACTATACCTGAGGATTCAATTTCCATACCTGGTTACATATATACCCGGTACTAGGTAGTACTTATATGAATGGCTTGAAGGCACCTGGGCAGCCCTGAAGAATACCTAGGTATGATTATGCAATATACTAATTCTATACTATCGCACCAACTTGGAATCAAGCCCAAAATGCCTTTTGCAGCGCATCGCACATCAGAGTGATGCATCTTTTACCCTCAGACAACGCCCCATCCATAGCAAGGAAGGGATGCGGCATGCCCTTCATCACCTGTAAATCGACAGCCACACCGGCCTTCTGCAATTTCTCGGCATACTGTTCACCCTCCGTGCGAAGAACGTCACACGCCCCGACCATGACGAGCGCAGGCGGCAGTTGCGAGTAATCGCCCTGCCAGAACAGCGGACTGGCCTCCGGGTGGGTGCGGTCGGACGCGTTGGGCACATAGTGATCCCGATACCAGTACATTTTGCGGGCCGGAAGGGCGGGGGTGTGCTCGTACCGCTGATAGGACTCATTGTTCTCGACCGAGGCAGTGTTATCGGTGACGGGAACAGAGAGCAGCTGGGCTCGGAAGTGAACTGGCGGTGACAGCGTGAGCGCCTTTTGCGTCATAATCGAGGCAAGGTTACCGCCAGCGGACGACCCCCCAGTTGCGATTTTGGACACGTCCACCGACAGTGTGGGACCGTTGGCAAGTAGCCAGAGCAAAGCCTCCCAGCTATCGTGCACAGCGGCGGGCCAGCGATTCTCGGGGGCAAGACTGGAGCGTGGTTAGGTTTGGATGACGGGGCCAATGCGGGTGCTTACCGATAGTCGACAGTGACTACGACGCAATTGCCGCGCACACAGAGATTGGAGCACACCACGTTCTCGGTGTCGATGTTGCCCAGGACCCAGCCACCTCCGTGGAAATATAGCATCACAGGCCATCCACTGGGAGGTGCATGGCCCTTGGGAGTGAAAGCGCGGATGGGCACTGCGGGGCCCTCGGTCGCCTGGCGTGGAACAGAGATATCCTGGATCTTGCCGACCTCCAACATTGGGCCTGCACCAGGAATCAAAATACCACTGGTCCGGGACGCCTCCACGGGTTGGAGGTGCACTTGTTGATTGTTGATGACATGCTCGTTGTAGAATGCGACATACTCGGGGTCCAGCAGGTCTTTGACCGACTCGTGGAGGGGGTACGGAGGTTGTGTAATACCAGCAGTCATAATGGCAAATCTAAATCTATGAGCAGAAAGAAGAGCAGAGAGCAGAGAGCAGAGAGATCTAATAACAAAAACCCCCACGGACGCAGTGGGGGCGAACAATGCGGGGGAGGAGTCGATAAGCCGATAAGAGCCCCGATGCGGAGAAGATCAACGACACTGTTGCAATTGACCCGCCCTCGTTTCCATTGTGTCTCCATCGCGTCTCCATTTCTTCCCCAGTTGGGTCTCTGTGCCCCCAATGTGCCCTGACAGCCGACACGGCTCTGCATGATCGGGCGCTACCGTACCACTCGTTACGTGTTAGCCGACGTGGGATGCACCGTATGACGGGATAAAGAGTGCGTCCCCCCGCGCAAGGGGGGAAATCGATTCCTTCTTTCTTTTCTCTCTCAATCAAGTTGATTTTACCGCTCACCATGTCCACCAAGACCCCCGTTCTCACCGATAAGGCCCCTAAGCCCCTCCCTGGCATCTACTCACAGGCCATTGTCGCCAATGGGGTCGTGTACTGCTCTGGCGCTGTCCCCATGGACGCTGCCACCGGCAAGCTGATCGATGGAGATGTCAAGGCTCACACGGTAAGAGCAGCTTCGTTTCCCAGCAATCGGGTCGATGCTAACGCAATGATACAGCACCAATGCATCAAGAACCTGACTCACATCCTCGAGGAGGCTGGCACCGATATCACAAAGGTCGTCAAGGTCAATGTTTTCCTATCCAACATGGACGACTTTGCAGAGATGAACTCTGTGTATATGCAGTACTGGGGAGACGTGAAGCCCTGCCGGACGTGAGTGTTCCCCGTTCTCGTATGCGTGGACCTGAAGTTGAGATAGAGTTGTCTTCTGCCTTTGGTTTTCCTTTCTTTCTTGCTTTCTTTCTTTCTTTCTTTCTTTCTTTCTTTCTTTGTTCCTTGCTTTTGCCCCTCTTTCGCTTTCTTGGAACAGTTCCATTTTGGACTCGTTGTGGACTGATTCACTGACATCTTGTGCAGCTGCGTCGCGGTCAAAACACTTCCTCTCAACACCGATGTTGAGATTGAGTGCATCGCTGTTCTGTAGACCAGCTTGTGTTAAACTTTACCTATAGACAAATTAAGAACGATCTCATGACTGGTCCTGGCTCACTGGTTTCTGTTGTTCCATTAGTTCTGCGACAATTGTGGCAGGCTTCGTGGGCACACAGCTCAGTAGACGCGGCCGAAAATGCCAATGACTTAACCCACTGATCAAAGAACGACCAGAGTCGCCAAATTGGTAAACAAGTCATCGACTTGACCCGCGTGTTGATCGAAACACGGGCAGACACGAAGGCGCATGGAATTTTGAACCTCATGTCCGTCCTGTGACGCCTGTTGCAAGGGTCAATATCACCGAAGTTGCACCTTGGCGCGTTGAGCAGGGACCTTAACCCATGCAAACATTGATGTGTCTGAAACATTGGCTGCCCGTCGCATAACATTCAATGATCGCGTAGTAGACGATTGTAAGCACTGGACCTGGTCTTTGAACCAGGCGTTGTCAACAACGCGCCCTGTCCGCAAACCTATCAACTGACAAGAGCATTCCTATTAACCGATGACACTACATTCAGGTGCCTGTCAAATACGTCAGAATGTTGTGAATCCAGGTGAAAGGCTCACTTCTCGTCCTCAACCCCTCGGATCACGTGGGTTCAAGGCCCCTGTCCCGGACAGACTCTTGCGCTGTACACCGTAGCCCGTTGAATATGATGATTTTGAATGTCTATTGAATGCCTGTCACTGTTCAAGTTGTTTTCTCATGTTTTTTGAGCGTTCGCAGTCGTAAATCCCGAGGTCAGTACCTGGACGTGAACAACGTCATCGAGGGATCTAGGGCTGCGGTCAACAGCACCGCACCTCCTCCCTTCCCCAAGGTCAAGGTCAACCCTTAAACGCACGGAGAGTGATTGCGAATTCCTAACACACTGAGCTCTATGCCTTTCAGGGACTGAAACGATCCCAAGAAGCGCCCAACATCGGTCCCCAGGGGCAGGGCAAACACCCCTCCCTACTCAGTCCGTAGCATTCCAAGTGATCAAGTCAAGATGTGCCACCTCGAGGATGGGATCTTCTCCATTACCTTGAATTCCTTCCATACCCGCCCCTCGGCTGCTACATTCCACCCCTCCACACTTTATTCGCGTCGACGCGCTTCAAGGCCACGATGCCTGCATTGAATTCCCTTTTTAGTCTCGCGACACTCTCACCATCCGCCATATGAATTCACTCCACGCGCCACTCGTGAACCTTTAGTGTACTGCATCTGGGTTGGATCTGGACCTGGCGCATCTATCACGCCCATCCTTGTCCTGTCATACCGCAGTCTTTCCCAGTTCCCGCGTACCAGAGGCTTCTATAAGGCGATAATTTGCCTTATCCGTCAAGCTATCTCGCAATCATGGCGTCGAGCCTCTCAGCTACCCCACGGAGGGAAGGAAGCTGGACCAAGCTGGTCATATTCATTGCGCTTTACGTCTTGATACTGCAGTCTATCTTGGAATGGGTCCTTGTGCTCTACTTGTACGGCAATGGCCAGGTGGATTCCAAGATGACCCTCAGCGTGGTGCTCGCATTGGTTGCAGTATGTTCAAATCAACTCTGCATACTGTATTCGCTAACATTTTACCCAGTCGTTCTTTTCCATACCCCTTGTCGGTCTGCAGAGTCTGGTCGCATGGCAGTATAACAACATCGGTGGATTCGGAACCCAAAAGACCGTGCTGCACAATATCTGCACCTATGTCTTCCGATTGGATTTGATGCTGTGGCTCGCGACTAGTGTCGCTGGCCTGGTGGTCGCCGCACAGCAGGTATACTGCCTGCCCGCCGGCACAGATGCGAGTTATTGGAGAGTTGGACTCAGCTGTGCTTTCCACAGGGCATCTGTCATTGTATCGGTCACCTCTATGTATGTCCCATACCTATCACTGTTTATGCCATGACTAACGATTTCCTCACAGGGTGACGGTCTGTGTGATGTACTGCGCAAGAGAGCTATGCGATCGACCATACGACGTCTCACTTCTTGGAATCTACAAGCGACCGGAGATCCTTCGCAACGGTAGTATCCTCTCCGGCAATAGCTGGGATAGCGAAGAAACACTCAAGAACGAAATCATTTACCTCTGCCGCCAACACGACGGCAATGGGACAGGAGAGTTCTGGTCCGTCGACCCAATTGCCAACAAGGTCAATTGTCACCCTAGCATCCGACACCCTGCGCCTGCTCGCCTGCGACCTCAACTTCGGGTGAACACCAATCCCGGCTCGACATATGGAGAGATTGTATCTGGAACCTCGATTTCGCCTGACGAAAATTTGCGACGGGTTTCCCCCGGCTCACAGAGCCTCACGAACGAGTTCTATCCTATTTCGCGCAATTCGACCGTGATGACCACGCAGACCGCGAACGAGCTTCATGCATTGCTCTCGGATGCAGCTGCTCAACATGCCCCTGCCATCCCCGAGCAACATGGCGGCCACAAGCGGGCAAAGTCATCGCTGTCTTCAATCAGACGAATGCTTCCCAAGTCTTTCCCTCTGTCACTGCCCTTGCTATCTGATCCTCAAATCCAAGCCCTGGCGGATCCGAACAAGGCCTCGGATGTCGAAAAACAGGTCGTAACACCCAACAGCATGCCCAAGGGAGTGTCTCAATCTCCTACCTATCCATCAACAGCTTTGCCGCAGAAACCCAACCCAAACCCAGCAAGACCAGGCCACGCCCGCACAACGACGATGAACTCAGCAGATGCCCCAGAAGTAGTCCCAGAGTCCGAAGTGCACCGCTCCCAGACAACGAATGCAGCCCCGACACGCTCAATCAACCACCCCCATCATCCGAACTACACCTCAGGACCCCCACCACGCGCATACTCACAGTCCTCCCGTCCAGGCATGGGTGCACAACTTCGAAGTGTTCAAAACGACCAACCCCAGCGCAGCACAAGCTACCATTTCGACCCATCTCACGCGCCCCGCCAAAAACCAAGCAAGCACCGCCCACGCCAACCAGGCAGCCAAAGCCAGTACTTCCCACCGGCAAAGCGATGGCCCAGCCAGCAACGCTTCGACGAGAATCGCTCAGCACGTCGCAATGATGTCCAAATTATTTACCCTAGCACGCGGCGCTCGCGCAGCAATACACATGCAGCTGGTGGTCCGCTTAGCTGCATCTATGAAACTTCGTCGAACCCCCGTGCCTCTATTGAAGATCATCGTCCTGTGTCGGGGGTCTCGGCGGTTTTCTCTGAGTTGCCATCTAGCCCGTCGAATGTGGTTGATCCGTCGACTTATCGCGCGAACCGCAACAGCCTTGGCTTCCATTAGGCGGCTGAGATTAATCCTGTCTGCTGGTCAGACAGTTTCTATCTTTATGTTACTTTTAATACTATATGTGATTGGATAGTATGCTCTGGTATACAAGCCGGAGTCGGGGGATTGGGACGAATGGGGATACTCAGGGTTCGCGTTAGTACTAGCACTAGCTTTTAGTTACTGATACCAAATAACACTCGCTTTGAATTTGAATTTGAATATGGCGATGAGAGTTACTGCAAAGACTAGATTATTGGCGAGTATTCAATTGACAAAAAACGATGACCATACCCTAAAGATCCCAGTAACTCAACAGGTAACTCCATCCAGCCAGTAGTCGGGCATCGCTAGAAAGTCTCCAAACTCACAAGACACAAGATCACAAGATCATGACTCCAAAGGCCGCAGACGAAAGGAAAAATGCCAGACAGGCGTATCATACAAGACAAATGAGAAGATAGACTGAAATCAAGCTAAAGGCTAAGCCTTGGAATCACCCTTAGTCTTCTTCGTGGCATACTTATACCGATAAGCCTGCCCACCCTTCTCACTGCGTCTGTTCTCCTTCCCCTCAGCCAAGCTAGACCCACGTCCCATCTCCTTCTCTCCCCAGCTAACCATAAGCGCCTTAGCCATGCGATCACGTTCCTTAAGAAGGAGATCAATACGACGCTCCCACTCGCGTTCACGCTTATCGACAGAGAGTGCAATGCGCTGATCAACCGCAGCAGCAGTCTCATCCTTCGCAGCGATGACAGCCTCCAAACGACGAAGTTCTGTCTTGAAAGATTTCTTAAGCTGAGTCTCTGCAGTTGCGGATGTTGAGCGGAGGGTTGCGAGGTCATCACGTAGGGTGGATTCACGTTCCTCGGCTGCTGTGAGGAGGTGGCGGATTTTGCGCATTGATTCTGCGTGCGAGGCGCGAAGGGTCGAGACTGCTGTTGAGTGGGCAGTTTGGAGGCAGCGGAGCTGAGTTTGGTGGTTTGCTTCGAGGAGGGCGGTGGATGCCGAGTCATGGGTTGGAGGGGAGTGAGGTTTGGTTGGTTCGAGGATTTTCTCTTCTTGGAGCTTGGCGATCATTTCCATGGAGTCGGCATGCTCTTCTTTCGAGCGTGTTAGGTCGGTTTGGGACTTGTTGAGAGATGTGGTAAGTTCGGTAACCCGATTGGTGAGGCGAGAGTTCTCAGCTTCAATTGTCTTGAGCAGGGTCTGAGATTCGGATGCTTCACTTGTTAGACGGCTGATTTCGGCATCTGAGGCCTTTTGAGTCGCAAGCGCTGCTTGGAGTTCTTGCTGTAAACTGGCGAGTTCTTTCTGCTGGACCATAGCAACATCGGGCTTAGGCGAATGGAGGGATGGTTGAGAGTCTGGGAATTTGTCCTTCAAGAAGGGGGACTGGGGTGCTGATTCTGGATCCCCATGCCCTAAGTCTTTGATCAAGTCGAGGATTTCACTGTAGGTACTGTGCCCGCTGATCGGAAGGTCTGCTGCTGCTGCCTTCAAAGCGCTTTCCTGGGCTTCCATGTGGGACTGAACGCGAGTGAGGTTGGCTTCGAGTGTCGAGTTCTTCTCTTCGAGGGGCTTGTTGCGGGTTTCCAGATCAATGAATCGTTCCTCCAGGACTTGATAGTCATTGTGGGCTCGCTCGAGTTCCGTCTCCAACTTCTCATTCTCCAGGCCATAGTCATCAATCTGGCCTTGCAGCTGGTCGATCTCCGAGTTCTTTTGCTGTAACTGCGCGTTCTTAGATTCTTCGGATTTTGTCACTTCCTTGAGCTTTGCCATGGTCTCGTCGAGAGTCTCATCGCGCTTTCGTACTTGCTCCTGTGAGATGGCAAGTTGCTGACGCAAGTGGGCGATTGTTTCCAGCCGCTCTTGGTCCATGCCTTTCTGCGAGTCACGGTCTTGTAGCTGCTGTTGCATGTGGTGGATCTGTTCAAGTAGAGGATTGAGGTCCTTCTCGCCGTGGGACTGATCCAACAGCTTTTCAAGATTGTGATTTTCCTTCTGAAGCGATTGGACCTGCTCACGGAGCACTGCGTCCTCGCTACTCTTGGTATGCGCTTGCTCTAAGAGCTTATCCTTCCGTTCCATTTCAATATGGAGGTGGCGAATTTGTTCGCCTGCAGAGACAGCTTCAAGAACACGGTTACGGTTTTTTTGGAGCTGGTCGTCCCGTTCCCTCAGGGCCTGTTGGAGCTGTTCAATCTGTTGTCGAAGAGCTTGTTCTTCGTCTGGCTGGTGGCTCGAAGCGTCGGACAATTTGCGCACGGAAGGCGATGCGGACCCTGGGGCTTCGTCGTCGGAATTTTCTTCGATGTCCTCGAGGTGGGTGGAGTCCTTGGGGAGATTGTTGGGTCTAAGGAGGTGTGACGGGGTCGACATGTCAACTGGTGGGCCGAATTCGCTGTACTCTACTGAGTCTGCCTCCTCGATCGCAGGTTGTTTCGACTTCTGGAAAGATCGTCGCACGGATCCAAAGTCTACTGCTGCATCTTCGTGTTGTTCGCCCTCCAGATCACCCATCAAGTACTTTTCCATATTTGCAGTGAAGTCCTCTGGTCCTGCCACGTCGGACAATTGATCCGCCTCCTTATGAAAGGGGGGTAAGGTATCCTCGTTTCCATCTATAGCAAAATGGCCACTAGGGAAATTACTAAAATCCAAGGTGTAATCGGCCAAGCGCGCATCCAACTCTGAGCCTGACGGGCTTCCGGGGGTTGGTGGGCGTGAAACATGATCCAAATCATTCATGGAATGATTGTCCCCATCGTCACTGGGGCTATGTCTGTTCTGTTCGCCTTTGTTTGCGACACGCTCGGTTGCGGGTGTCTGGGCGGTATCGGGGGTTCCCAATGGGCTAAGCGGTTGCTGAGGAGGTGAGGATGGCATAAATAGAGGAGTCACCAGGGTCGACTGCCCAATGGTGTCGTGGGAGGTGGGAAAGGGCGAGGTATAGCCGGTGTTCGCCATGGCTGCGCACGCGTTGCGGGATGCGCAAAGGCTGGGGATGCGCAAAGGCCGGGGACGCGACAGGGGCAATACTGCCCAGTGAACAGACACGAAGAGATTACACTAGACAGAGTGGAGATATCTCGGGTTGGGAAATGAAAGCAACAACAATTGCGGGAAGCTGAAGAGTCTCGTGTAATTAACGGCTAGGCCTCAGGCACTAATGTTTATCCACTTCCTGTTTGGGCCAAGCGGCGGTGTTTTGAAGTCGGCAGCTGTTTCAGATTGTCTTCTACATCTACGGAATGAGGAGAAATGGGAGGTTGAAAAGGTTTGAAAATTGAAAAGATCAAGCGCATGTCTTCCACTCCTCGAATCCAGGGGGGACCACAGATGGCTCCGAGGACCGGCCACGCCGTTCGGCCGCGAGCTCGCTCTCCTCGTGCTCAGCTTTTCTCCGCCCTTTCACGTCCTGAACTGGGATCAGATCTGCCCATGATCATTGTGAATGAATCTTACTTGTTTCTTGGTATTGGTGCCATGCAACCCTCCGCCACTCGCCTTGCCACCTTTCTTCCCGCTCTTGTGGCCTATGGCTGATAGTTCCTCATGAGAACGATTCGCAAAATTGCCAGGGTTAGGATGGTTTCCATGAGGTGGCACGGTGGCAACACCTCGATTCAATCCTCTCGCATTGATTGACCATGCTGGTCGAAACAGTCGAAGAAGAGGCCTTGACATCATGCGGCTGCCACTGGTTAAGACCATGATCTATTGGGCATCTGACGTGGAAGGAATCGTATCGAAGTTGGTTTCGGGGAGGACAATGCTCTTAGCACTATAGTGTCGTCTTGCGGGCTTACCATCTAGCTTTTATAGACCTTCGGGTTGGCAATATTGCCCCTTTCATCATAGAAGGCAATGTCCACGGGTGGCTCTTCTCCATACTTCACAATGGATAGCCAAACTGCAGACGCAGGTCCTGCTCGTGGAGCAAGCTTATTGGCTCAGCTTTGAATGCTCCTGGGGCATCCTCTGCCCTCCTGATATGTGGTCAAGACAATTTGCTGGGGCTCTGATCCGACCCGATTTCAGATCCATGGATGTCATATTGGAGTCGCCTGGGTAGTACTGTTCTGGAACGGCTCTTCCATATCACGATGTCTGGTCAATGCCATCAATTGCAGTAAAAGAATGGAAATGATAGTAGATGCTTCATTCGTCTCGGCGTTGCTAACTGGGAGGTGGGTAACTAGTTGACCAGTTGACCAGACCAGTTGGCGTAGAGCTTAGTAATTTCTGGGTCGGGGTTTATCCTACGTTGTTCAGTCCGTGTCTACTACACTGTGTTGCAGTGGTATTGCGCATGATCATAACTCCTTGTTGGGTGACTTGCATTCGATTCGGTTTGGTCTGCACATCCTGGGGCCAACGAAGAGCTTCCAGAGCCCGCAGAACCCCCCCCACTCCACCATTTCCCCTGCGAGATCCATCCGGAATTTCCTGCACATGCTGGCTTAAACCGCGTTCAACAACATGCCACCTATCAGAGGAGGTCTCGGTGAACGCCCACGCGTAATCTTGTATCACCAAACCCTCATTCCGAGCGGGGGTCATTATGTCTCGATGCTCCCACTTTTGGACAACGGAATCACACATGTCATTTTAGCCGCCGTGCATCTCAACGAACGACCAGGCGATATCACTCTCAACGATGATCCACCCGAGAGTTCCATCTTCGATCCCTTATGGGCCGAAGTGCCGCTCATGCAAAGGCGAGGTGTCAAAGTGATGGCCATGCTTGGCGGCGCCGCCCCGGGCTCGTTCACGCGACTCGACGGCACCCATGAAGAGTTCGAGCAACATTACTCTCCGCTCTTGACTATGATTCGCCGCCATGGCCTTGACGGGATAGATCTTGACGTTGAAGAACCGATGTCTTTGCAAGGTGTGATCAAGCTGATCGACCGACTGAAGGCCGATTTGGGGGACGCTTTCATCATCACTCTGGCCCCCGTGGCGGCAGCTCTCTTGAATCTTGGCAATCTTTCTGGGTTCGATTACCGGGAGCTCGAGCAGGCTCGCGCTTCCAAGATCAGCTGGTATAATACCCAATTCTACAATGGCTGGGGTTCAGCAGCTGACCCAAGGATGTATGCGACAATGATCGCGCAAGGATGGTCACCGCGCCGGGTGGTCTATGGGCTGTTGACGAACCCAGGGAACGGATCCCAGGGCTATGTGCCTGAGGATAAGATTGGCCCTGTTCTTGCCATGTTGGTCGAACAGTTCCCCAATTTCGGTGGTGTGATGGGCTGGGAGTACTACAACGCACTCCCCGGGGACACCGCTAAACCGTGGCAATGGGCTACTCAGATGACATTGAATATGGGCATGAAAGACTTGGTCATAGCAGCTCGGGAACTCATGTCGGCGGGCCCGATGGCGGAGAGCCTCAATAATTTGTTTCGAGACATGCTGAATCAAGGTCGGCGATCTTGAGCGTACATAACTTTTGAATATTGCATCTTGTTAATGCCCAGCATATGATTTTTTGTCGCGCACAGAGCAGGTTAAGTGAGCAAGTTATAGCCAAGGGGCGCCTGGACAGGTTCCAACAGACTTGTGATCCTTTAGGTACGGAGTAGTGGAAAGTGACACATTATCTTTGCATCCCCTTATTATCCATACCGACATACACAGGGCAGTCCATGAGTACTCCCAAGATTCAAATTTCCTACCAGGCTGCATTCCCATCAACGACCAAACTTGGCAGACTTCACTATCTAGACTTCACTATCTGCATAGTAAATGATGTACCAATTAGGTGAGAACTAGGCAGCCTTGGAAGACTATACCCCTATTCGAGTCCGTGAATTCATCTTACCTCGAGATTCACTCCGGAGCTTACCATTGAACATACTGTCAATTTAATACTGAGCCAGCTCGCCTCTATACTTCCAAGGTTATAGACTTCCAATGTTGGATTGTTTGCCAAGACCTAGCTGTCAAACTACGTCATAGGCAAACACCCTTTCGCCGTCACTGTTCACCTGCTGATCGTCACTTCTCTTACAATTGGTCCACATCCTCATGGTCTCTGTACAGCGCTTGGTCGCGGCCACTAGCTCGACAGCCATCCGGCTAGCAGCATTTGTGTTTCTGAGATGGGTAGGCCACACGCTCTGCATCAATAGAGCCTCGTTCTGATGATAGTCTAGATCCCGGGTCACCACTTCGTGCCACTGGTCTTCACCTCGCTAGTGGTCTATCTGTCGTCGATCGCCTCTCTGGGACGGGCCGCCCAGCCCCGTGGGCGCCGGGCCAATCAATCACAAACGGACATACGCAGTGAGACAGAAGTGCCGAAGGATTCAAGTGTTTCATATTCTAACTATATCCTGGGAAACTCGCAGATCGAAAGTCAGTCTCTGATCCAGCGCAATCCGGTGATTCCGTTTTCAAGACCCTGTTGGGAGGGCTACCTCACACCAAGTTGAAGTGGTTGACGTACACAACGGTTGTGATCAACGTTGTTTTAACACTGCTGTGCTTGGACTTTTTGACTCGCGGTCATCTGCTTTATCCCAACGACGATATCGCATTCTCGCGCATTGGATATGTCTCCCCCACCACAGCAAATCTGGTCTTCCGTGAGCCAGAGGCAGCTCACCTGCCGGTGTCAGTCATGTACCAGGAAGCCACTGGGGTCTTTGAGACTTGGCATGAAGAGGGCATCGTTTACAGCCTGGATAACAGCACAGACTTCACCGTTTCTGTGACTATCCAGAATTTGAAGCCCTCGACGTCATACCGTTATTCACTGTCTAACAATAGATCTGGCACATTCGTGACTTCACCGAAACCCGAGTCTCCAGAGGCCAGTCGGCTGTCTTTCGTCACGTCAAGTTGCTTGAAGCCAAATTTCCCGTACAACATACTATCGCACCCACTACGCGTGCCAGGGATCGAGCTGATGACCGATGTTCTCGCCAAATTGCCCGAATTGCTTCGTCCCACATTCATGCTCTTCCTGGGTGATTTCATATACATTGATGTTCCCTACCGCTTCGGGTCATCCATGTCCCATTACCGCAGCGAGTATCGACGGATTTACTCATCGCCTTCCTGGTCCTACGGGCCTGCAGAGAGCCGCGCTATCGACCTTCCCTGGCTACACACGTTGGACGATCACGAGATAGAGAATGACTGGTCTCAGGGAAATACGACATCCCCATATCCTGAAGCAGCAGACCCCTTCATTCACTATCACGTAGCGGCCAACCCACCCATACCGTCCACCCCAGTTGCCGACCCTCACAACGTAACCTACTTCACTTTCACCAACGGCCCGGCCTCCTTTTTCATGCTTGACACTCGCACGTATCGCACAGAGCCAGCACAGGAAAACTCTACCATCCTTGGCCATGCTCAACTCCATTCACTGCTCACATACATCTCCACTCCAGAACGGCCAGGTATTCATTGGAAGATTGTATCGTCAAGCGTCCCTTTCACCAAGAACTGGCATGTTGGCACAACGGACACATGGGGCGGGTTTACAGATGAGCGACGCATCGTGTTCGAAGCAATGTGGCGTGCCGAGAGAGAATTAGGCGTTCGTATCATCCTTCTCAGCGGCGATAGGCATGAATTTGCCGCCACCAGGTTCCCCGACCCGGCCTTGAGCCTCTCCGCCGAAGACCTGCAGCCCAACTCGCCGGGGCTCGGCTTGCATGAATTCAGTGTCGGTCCGCTAAGCATGTTCTATCTTCCTGTCCGCACTTATCGCCAGACGGACGATGAGGACGTGACGGTGAAGTATGCACCGCAGGGGAACAGCAAGTTTGGAATCATTGACATTGTTGACGATGTCGAAGATGCGGACCCCAGCGCTGTGGCGCCGGTTCCTGTGCGTAGCTCCGTACTTACGTACTCGCTTTATGTGGATGGTGAGGTTGCTTGGAAGTATCGGCTGAGTGTTCCGTTGGATCAGGACGCCATTGCCCACGCATCCCTGTCTGATTCCGCCAAAGCCTCGCGGCTGCCATCTGGTCGTGTCATCGAGGATAATATTTCGGAGTTGGGATGGGATGTTGTGCTGGGGTCAGCTGTTGGGAGAGTACCAGAACTGGCTATTTGGGCTCTTGGTAAATGTCAGGATGTCTACTTTGACCTTCTGGAACGAGTGCAGAAAGCCGAGAGGCTTAGTTGACTTCCAAGGTTGGTTTGAGGCTGTTGTAGTCTCCGAATCACACCGTCGCAGAGCAAATCTAGACGCGAGGGATATCTCCCTCCAAACATTCAAATACAGAGCATTCATTTGTAGGATGGTATATGTGATAGTGGGTTCATTACCAAGGTTGTTCTCATGTACAGTATTGCGCATAATGCGAAGGGGCAAAGATAACGCCAAACACCAGCCCGGATGCTAAGTTGATGAGCCAGTGGTTCGAGGGAATAACAAGCAAGAAAAGATCAAAAATTGAACTTAGCGTCCACCTCTTCCACGACCACCACCACCCATTCCACCCATCAATCCTCCCATTTGACTCATAAGGCTTTGCATATCCATGCCGCCCATATTGGGCATGCCGCCGCCTCCACCGCCCATCATCTGCATCATCTTGGCCATGTCAGGCATACCGGGCATACCACCACCGCCGCCACCGCCCATGGACTGCATGCGCTTCTGCATAGCAGCCATCTGCTGGTCCTTGTTTCCACCCTTCATCATTTTCTGGGCCTGCTGCATCTGCTTCTTCTGGCCTCCTACCCGCTTGGCCATACCAGCCATCATGCGGTGCTGGGAGAGAAGGTCCTCAACTTCGCGAACGGTGGTTCCACTGCCGTGCGCAATGCGAACCATACGACTCGGCTGCTCGACAAAGTTCTTGCCATCCCCATCAAGCTCAGCAGCAGTCATGCTGTCAAAGATGTAGATCATGCGGCGCAGTTTCAGGGAGCCGTCCTCATCGTCCAGACCCTGGGTCATGTTCGACAAACCGGGAATCATACCGGACAACTTGGAAAGAGGACCCATCTTCATGATTGAGGTGATGTTTTCACGGAAATCGCGCACAGTGTAGATACCCTCAGCAATGTGCTTGTATGTCTCCTTAGCACCAGCAGAGTCCTTTGTCATAGCCTGAACGTGTTCAACAAGTCCGGCGACATCGCCCATGCCCAGGAGCTTTTGGACGAAAGCGCGGGGCTCAAATCGCTCGAGGTCCATCATGTGCTCACCGGTACCAAGGAAGATGATGGGGGTGTGTGTAGCAGCAACAGCGGAGATGGCACCACCACCGGCCGCGTGGCCGTCGGTCTTGGTGATAATGATAGCACCGAAGTTGGCGGTAGCCTTGAAAGCAGAAGATTGAGCCTCGGCAGCTTGACCAATTGTACCGTCCAGGACAAGGATGGTCTGGTCTGGCGTGACAGCATCTTGAATCTGAGTCATTTCCGTGAACAGTTCCTCCTCTTGTCTGTGACGACCACTGGTATCAACAATGATGACATCGAATCGCTCTTTCTTGAATTTGGCCACACCCTCAGCGGCCACAACGGCGGGGTCCGTCTGCGTCAAACTACCGTAGTATGGAATCTTGGCCTTGGTGGCATTCTGCTTCAACTGATCAAAAGCACCAGCACGGAAGGTATCCGCGCAAACCAGAGCTGTCTTGAAGCCTCGCGTCTGGTAGTGACGAGCCAACTTCGTACACGTGGTGGTTTTACCCGCACCCTGCAAACCAACGAACATGATGACATTGGAACGGCCCTTCTTGGGGCGGAAAGAGTCGGCGTGTGGGTCGACCAATTTGACAAGCTCGTCGAAGACGGTCTTTTGAATCAAGCGCTTCTTGTTCACTGCGGCTGGAAGGGAGGCGAAGTTTACGCTGGCTTTGATCGATTTGCGCAGCGTACCGACGAGACGGACATTGACATCGGCGGAGAGAAGAGCGGCACAAATCTCCTTCAGCATGTCATCGAAAGCCTGGCTTGGGTTAGCACGTGGTTTCTGGAGCACATAGCAAGCGGCATACCTTCTCATCGAGGTTATTGGACCTCGTCAAGTCATTGACGGCCGAGTTGATTCGCCGCCCCAAATCTTGAAGAACCATGATGGATAAATGTGTAGCGCAAATATATCAAAAAAGACGAAAGTAGTGACCGTAGTAATCGAAAGTCCCGCGATGAAGGAGGGGTGGGAGTGCTTCCCATCGAAAGACCAGAGAGGCGATGTGGAGGGACCAATCGGAGAGCTGAACTCGTTGACCGCCTTGAAACGACCGCCAAAAAAAAAAGTTGATACGGCCCGTCGAGATCAGCGCAATCCTCTGTTTTCAACTTCCACCGTTCTGGAATTTCGTCACAATGCCTCCTGGATTTTCCAAAAAGCGCAAGGTCCTTGACGGTCTCAAGGGTGAGACCGGCCGCAAGAAGAAGTTCACCAAGCAACGCTTCTACCACAGCAGCTCTGAAGATGAGGAAGACGACGACAAGTTCAATGCCGTCAATCTTGGCGACTCAGACGAAGAAGGAGGCGTTACAGTGAAGAAGCCCTCTGCTCTCGATCTTCGCATGAAGAAAGCCAAAGAAGCCAAGGAGGCACCCACACCGCAACCGAAAAAATCAGACGCCAGCGACTCCGACTCCGACGAAGAAGAAGAGATTGAGCTCGGATCCGACGATCTCGAAGACGATGATGACGAGAACGATGTCTCCGGCAGCGACGAGGAACTATCCGACTCTGGCTCCGCCGCAAAAGACGCCAAGCGCGGTCGTGCCGTACCCAAGCGCAACGACCCAACCGCATTCTCAACCTCCATTTCCAAAATTCTGTCCACCAAGCTTCCATCCTCCGCACGGGCTGACCCCGTTCTCTCGCGAAGCTCCTATGCCTCGAAGCTTGCCGCCGAGGCCGCAGATGATAAGCTGGACAAGGCCGCGCGCGCCAAGATGCGCGCCGAGAAGAAGGAAGAGCTGGACCGTGGTCGTATCCGCGATGTGATGGGCATCAAGAGGGGCCTGGCGGGTCCCGTGGCCGAGGAGGAAAAGCGTGTGCGCAAGATGGCCCAGCGTGGTGTGGTCAAGCTGTTCAATGCTGTGCGCGCGGCTCAAGTCCGGGGTGAGGAAGCCGCCAAGGATGAGCGCAAGAAGGGCACAATTGGTATGGGAGAGCGGGAGAAGGCCGCTAATGAGGTCAGCAAGCAAGGATTCCTGGAGCTGATCAATGGCAAGAAGGGAAAGCCTTTGAACATCGAGGAGGCTTGATTGCTGGATCTACGATTACCCATGGCATGTTTCTGGCGTTTGGAGACTTTTGTGTTATATACTCTTTTCTGCACTGTAATCAACATACTTTTGTGGAAGGTTTTGATCGAATGGTACAGGAGATTTTCATTTGCGATTCCGGCGCAAGCTTGCTAGATGCATCAGGTGGAATAGTAAAATACAGGGTCCTCATAGGACTATAGCCCCGGGCCCCTCCTAAGCTGCCTCGTGGTATCTTGAAGTGGGCTGGTGAGGGGGTTCCGACATCTCTCAGGGTTCTTCGCGGATATGATTATTTCGACTCAAAGTCACTGGCTTGCAGGTTCCGTGTCATGGTCGGCAAGCGCACAACCATACCATCGAGCTCCTTCGTCATCAGGACCTGACAGCCCAATCGGGAGGTCTCGGTGAGTCCGAAGGCCAGGTCCAACATGTCGTTCTCATCGTCCGACGGCTCTTCCATTTTATCAAAGGTATCGGGGTCGTCAACGATAACATGGCATGTGGAGCAAGCGCAGGATCCTCCGCAGGCGCCTGGTTGAAATTGTCAGTCTTATATCGAAGGCTCGTGATTGGCTCAATTCACCTTCCATCTCCAGATCATTGGCCTGGGCAATGTCGAGTAGATTATCGCCCTCGGCGACCTGGAAGTCGATCTTGGTACCATCCTTGTCAATAAAAGTAATGTTGATCCTGCGGGCGTTGTTAGCGCGCACATTGCGGAGAAGCGCATTCGGGGCTTACTCTTCTCCGGCCTTGGGCGGCGTGATATGACCATGCGCAGCTTGTGCCGAGACAGAGAAAGCACGGCGGGCTGTAGTATATTGCCATTGCTGAGGGCTTCGGGGTGCGACATTGCGCTGTGTTGTGATTCCGGTGTTGGTCCATGACCTTGAACTGAAGTGTCTCCGCGATTGAGTCAAACAAATATCGGCGGACTTGGGCACACGGCGCAATTGCAGGCCAACTTCTTTCCAGAACACCATTTTGAGATAGTCACAAATCAAACAGGTCGGAGGACTAGGAAAAGGGAAAGAAAAGAGGATCCGGGGGAAGTGAGAAGTGAGTGACGATCGTCCAATGGCCGCGGAGAAAAAAAAAGAAAGGCGGCGTCGGACATTCCAACACCTCCCCGTCTCTTCCTATCCCCGAACCCTCCAACATCCATCATGGCGACTCGTGAAGGGATCAATCCCTTGCGGCCTTACTATATCCCTCCCTCTGGTCTATCGCCCGCTTCAAATGCGCCCCCCGAAGTGACCTCTCCGTCCTCGGCCCAAGTATTTGGTAGCACGGCGCGCGACCTCATCCCCGATTTAGACTATGCCGACTATCTGGACGCCTCGCCCTCGGTGTCTGACTGGGTTCGCGATGCCTTGAATGGAGCACTCGTGCGCTACACCAAGATTCTGACCGCTCAGCCATTTGATGTCGCCAAAACCATTCTACAGGTGTATGTCGTGCCCGACGCCACCGATGAGGAGTCGGATCAGAAGTCCACACCGGGTGCGCCAGGAAGCTCGTACGACTCGGTATGGAAGCGAACCTTGAAAGCTTCCCTGAAGCTGCGTTGCATCGTTCGCCGGATAGCTAATTTGCCTGCGTATAGGAGTCAGAATCGTCCGATGACGAAAGCAGCTACTTCACCTCAGCGGCCCCTCCAACGCCAACACCGAGTACACCTCGATCCCGCAGATCACGACGCCAGATCACTGACCGTAGCGGCTATCTACGACCCGAGTCTACGGCCAAGCCTCAGCATGCGCTGACTCTGAAGAACTCGAACAACCTCACCGAGGTTCTCTCCCAGCTGTGGGCTTCCAGTGGCCCAACCTCCCTATGGAAGTCCTCCAACGCGACATTCATCTACTCACTGCTCCTTCCAACCTTGAACACATTCATCCGCAGTCTGCTGTCGGCAATTATCGGCCTACCGGAGGACGACATTTCCTCGTCCATGACAGCCGACATTCTGACAGCATCGTCCCCACTGGCGACGCTGGTTCTCTCATTCATCTCCTCCTCCCTTTCCGCCCTGATTCTGGCTCCCATCGACACAGCCCGCACCTTCCTGATGCTCACATCTGCCACACATGGCCCGCGGTCCCTAATCCGAGCTATCCGTCAGCTCCCCACCCCCAACTCCACCATCCCCTCGCACCTCGTCCCAATTACAGTGCTGCACTCAAGCTTGCCAAACTTCATAATGACCTCTACCCCACTCTTCCTCAAAACCTACTTCTCCATCGACCCCCTGCTGAACCCCAACACCTGGAACCTGTGCACATTCCTCAGCTCGGGTCTCGAACTCGCAGTCCGGTTCCCACTGGAGACTGTGCTTCGTCGTGCCCAGATCGCCACATACACTTCTCTCAGTCTTCGTCAGAAGTCTTCAGCCGGCTCTATTCGTGCTGCGTCGATTGACGCTTCGGATGTCGAGACCATCGTCCCCACCCCGCGCACATACCGCGGCATCATCGGCACTATGTGGCACGTCGTTTACGAGGAAGGTGTCAGCTCCACGCCTTCTGACTCCGAGCGGGCAAACCACCTGCTCGGCAACCCGTCTACCAAGAAGAGCATGCAGAAACGCCAGCAAGGCCAGGGCATCCAAGGTCTGTACCGCGGCTGGCGCATTGGAATGTGGGGTATTGCAGGCATCTGGGGAGCTAGCCTGTTGGGTGGAGTAGCAGGAGGCAGCGAAGACGAAGTGACGACAAGGGGCGGCCATGGCCGTTCCAGCGGTGGTCGATTTTGATTGAATCTTCCCTTGCCTGAATGTCCAAGGTTCATCTGGCATAACCTTGCGATATGATATTCCTTGATCCTTCGACAAGCCTTTCCCCTTCCTCGTTCTTTTGCGGGTCTTTTGGAACAACGTGATATTCCATTTGGATGGGCATCAGCGTTGTTTTTGTTCTTTTCCCTCTCCGCTCCCTCTAGTCTACATTTATACCCCAGGGAATGTGTCCAGGGGTAATGGCGATTGGCGTTACCTTGGCTTCCCGTGCAGAAATCCTCTCCCTTCACATATTAGGTAGCTATTCAATGATATATAGACCGGTCTACTAGCCGAGTATCTCACTAATCGATGGCTGGCTATCATATCAACGGTCGGAAGGGAATACTCCGGTATCAATTGATGCTTTGGCGGTTTCGTGGCCATGACTCTGAGCACTCCTGTGCGTAAGGCACTCAAACCTACCTAGCAGTCTGGATGCCTACATTCCAAAAGCTAGAATAAGGCAGGCTTCCAAGGTTGTTCTAAGGTTGCCTACATCCATAGGTGTGTACAGTACAGGTACGTTGCTTCACTCGGAAGCCTTGTTGCGCTTCTACTTGGCTCAAGCAGGAAATAGTTGCAGTACTATCGTTTCATTCATTAAAAAAATCACGTTGTACACATCATCCCTAAAAAAGAAAAGAATAAACGCCCTAGAGATCTTCATAGGGAAAGATCTCAGACAAAAGGGACCACCAGATCGACCACTGACCATGTTCATAGCGGCCAGTCCCTATCTCAAGGCGAGATCGAGAGAACATATGCTTTTGTGTATGAGGGAGAAAGATAACGCCCCCCGTCCTCCGTGGTGTAATGTAAGTGTGTAAGAGACAATAAATGTCAAAATCATGATACAGTGCAACCGGGGGACATGGGTATCAAAGAGATCCCCCAACGGGGAATCAACGCAAAGCAAAAAAATAGGAAAAGCCCCCGGCAACACACGCTTATTTTTCAGCGAAGCGACGATCAAAGTACCGCAGAACGCCCATGACGCTTGCAGCCTCAACCTCCATAGCAGCACGGCTGTCCGGAGGCGCCAGATCCCGGGGATTAGGCAGGGTGTGGAGCTTGGGCAGCCAGGCAGAGATCTCATCGCTGGCGCGACTGAAGTTCGGGTGACGGGAGAGGGTGGTGAAGGCGTCGGCGCAGGAAAGGGTTAACTCTGAGGGCGAAGCGGGCTTGGGTGGGGGAGGTTGCGTAGACATGGTGGTGTTCTTACGCGTGGTGGTGGTGGGGGCATTGGACTTGCAGCAGCCTCCGTCCTTGCCGCCCCCTCCGCAGCAGCCTCCCGATGGAGTTCCGCTCGCTGACCGGGAGGCTGCCAGCGTCTTGCAAAAAAGGGTGCTTCGGGGGTCGGCAAGACACTGGGCGCAGGTGCCTGGGCCGTTGGCACAGGGGTTTGTTGCTTGGCTGATGGGTGGAAGAGTGACTTCTGAGCGGGCATCTCCTTCAGAGGGAGGAGGTGTGAACTGGGAGATGGATTGGATAGGGGCTAGGCGATTAGCCTCGAAAGTGCGGTTACGCTGCTGCTCTTGGGCTGCCATCTCGGCACAGATGCAGGGGGTGCCATCCTGGCAGAAGCCGCAGGGGTCGACGGGGGGTGAGGAAACATCTTCGTGGGATTCGACGGGGACACCGGAGAACTGAGCGGTGAAGTCGATCTCCATCTCTTCCGGGTCGGGCTTGATGGCTGGGTCGCGGGTGTCGCGCTCTGGGCTGCCGACACCGTGTGGGGGGTGTCGGCTTGCACGGGAGGACTCGTGGGTGTCGATTGGCATGCCGAATGCATCTTCAATGCATTGGCAGTGAGAGTTGGAGCAGTTGTTGCATCCGAGAGGGACATTTGATTGTCCGTCGTTCTTGTTTTGGTCGACAGTAGGCTGAACACCTTCCATACGGGAGCTTCGAGTCTTGCGAGGCGGCAAGGGCACCGAGTCAGGGATGGGAGTGACTTTGTTGGCGGTGGGGCCTGAAAGAGAGGAGCGGAATTCCTTGACGAGGGCTTCCTTTGCGCTTCGCTCGATCGACACCTCTTTCTCCAGGGCGTGGCATCGGTCGCGCCACCAGCTCATCTCCTCCCGACACTGGTCCACCTCCCCGGAGAGGTTACCAATCTGCTGCTGGAGCGAGGCCACTTGGATATCGTGACTGTCTTCGATTTCCTTCATTTGCTCTTCGAGTTCACTGACCCGGGCAGCCCGGCGTTCCCGGAACGCACGCTGGGCAGCGCGGTTCTGAGCCTTGCGTTTGGTCGGCGGGGTGTCCGTGGCCGGCTTGCGCCCGGGCTTGGGGCGGGGTGGGATGACCCATTCCTTCGAGGTGATGGAGCCGGGAGTTCCTGGGCCCGGCGAGGGGGCCACAGAAGCCTTGCACGCCAGTGCGGGCGCCGGTGCTAAAGCCATGGCAGGAGTTCCAGCCATCGCCGGGGTCATGGACACACCAGGGGTGGCCATGGCGAGTAGTTCAAATGCTGGGGGGAGGTCAATAGGTAGATCCAAAGTCGGGCGTGTTCGGGGACGCACGAGCCGTTTCTCGGTCGGAAGAGCGGAAGTGCGCTCATGCGAGCCGATAAGCGAGAATAGCCAGGTAGACAGAGTAGACAGAGTAGACAGCAGCTCCAAACACTCAAGGTGTCGGCTATTGAATAAACTCAATGAGCTAGGAAGGTATAGCTATGAAGGTACGTAGAGAGGGAGAGGAGGGAGAAGGGGGGAAAAGAAAAGATGATCAGATTAGATGTGCTCACATGATTCCGGTTTCGGACGCAACTTTCGGTATTTTTCGCTGCGTTTTCCCTGCGATTATTCTCTGATGTACTCTCTATTTCTCATTGGCTGGATCATGAAAATTTTTATCTGATCCGACAGGAATGTGGAGATCCGAGAAGGCGTTGGTGGGCTGATTATCTCGCTAACGGCGTTTAAGGCTTTCTACAGTAGCTCATTTCGAGTCCTCACTGCTTGGGCTCTGGCTCTGGCCAGAGCCTACCTGTAGGTCACAAAGTACTAGTACTGTACAGAGTACAGATCAATGCACAGCAATGTACCTCCTACATCGTACCTGGGATGTGCGATCACCCTGTTCACCGTTCACCCGTCTCGATGACTCAATAACCAAGTTAGTTTCCACGGCCAAACTGCTCGAAGTGGAGGAAAAACTCCCATTACCTAGCAGAAACGCCGATTGGACCAATAATGCGCTGCGCCAAAGACCTTTTCCCCTCTAGCGGTGAAAGGCAATGGATCGACAATTGGGATCCCGCTGATCTTATCTGATGGCCCTAATCCTCTCACTGGCATTGGTATGTATTACTATATAGTACTACTAGTACGGAGTACATACTACTACCCTAAGTACGAATATAATTGGCGACTCAAGTACTTGACCCTTGAGACTGCCTCTCGGGCTCTGCGACCTTATGGATCTCCGATTCTTATCAATCAGTTCCCGAACGAGGGCCGAACAACGGAACGTCGCATAGATGGCCCAATTGGGATGATCGTGACGTGAAAAATGAACGAAAAGTGGACAAGTCGCCGCTATTGGCCAATTTGCACCTGGGTCGCGTTTACACGTCCTTTTCGGTGGCGATCCGAGGGAAATCCCCACTGGATCCGGTCATCATTTGCATGGCTGAAAGGGGTATCTTGTACGAATGAAATCTACACTGATGTGATTTGCCTCCCCGGAATTGGCTGGTGAATCCTCGGTGATCGTAATTTGTTGCAGACCGTGCAGGGAATTTTCAGCCTTCTCTCAACCCATTTCCGATCAGTCCCGAACCTGCATCGTTGGCATTGCTACAGATACAGAGTGTCTCAGCAAGGGATACAATCCCTATATCAACTAGATCCGTTTTCTGTTGCTGTTCCAGTCAATTGTGGATTGAAGGACATGGTCATTCGGACTCGCTGGGCGGAGACTCCAGCACGTCATGCGGCTTGCTGTCCTCCGTACAAAGTTGGAACTTGATCTCACAGCGCTGCGTTCAACCGATTTGTGAATATCTCGCACGTAGCTAGGCGTTCCTCAATTTGCTTGGGTTCGAATATCAATGATCAGTCACGGACTTCTGTGATTAATCCGAAGCTATTTGTTGCAGCTGACCTCGGGTCGCTGCAACCGTGTTCCACAGTTATTGGGCGATCACCCATGTCTCCTTGGGATTGAGAATGCGGGCGATTCAGTCTAGCACTCCAGGGCTGCGTGGGGTGATATACGGACTCAGTATTGGACTCCAAATTTTGGAAAGGACGGGCCCAGCGAAATCTTCCCCGTGAAAGCGGCTCTCATTTTGGGTTTCGATTCCAGTGTCTTTCAAAGTTGAGACAAACCATATATGATCGAGATATTCCCATCCAGCGACGATGAGTGTCCCTTTCCAAGTACCGCCGGGCCTGTAGCTCAGTTTGAAGAATTTCACTAGTCCACGGGTCCTGGGAGGACGAGAATTTTGAACGCGAGAATGAGGGAAAGATCAGAGTAACGAATCTGGAGAATGCTACCCCACAGAGTATAGTGTACGGTTTTCCGAGGTCCTTGGCATCCTCAGGTCCATGTCGACTGCGAAAGAAAAGGATTGAGATCGATAGATCTTGTTGGGAGAAAAAACCTTCCTAGATGCACTGTAATTTTCAACGGTAGGTCCTGGAGGCTTTGTGCCTCCCAAGGTATATATGTAGTCGAGGGATCCAACCTAGAACAGGGATTCTGGTTCATGGATGCTGGCGATATTGATGCCTGACACGGAGTACGGAGTATTCCGTAGACCAATCCTGTTTTGGCATTTGACATGTCACTTGGAACATTCGAGGCTACAGTGCCCAGGTGCATGGTGAAATTGGCAAAGAGAGCATTCCTCACAGGACCAGCTGTTTCATGGAGCCGGAGAGGAGTTGTGCGAATGGGGGCTTGAGATGCATGGAAGTCATATGTTTGAGTTCGTGTCAAGCTCTCATGTACTCCGTAGAAGCGAGGCCACAATTCCATCACATTGAAGTTGCACTGTGACGATCTGCAGCTTGGGCAGCTGAGCTCGTTATCGCAGGTGACGCGATAAGCAAGGGGCAGCGCCAGCCTCCGCCTTTCCCCTCACGAGTCATTCTCTCCAACTACTCTTCCTCTCATACCCAATACAACATGACTAGAAAGCACACCTCCACTGAAGGCCTCGAGACACGCTGGGCCTCGCAAATGTCTGCTCAACTGCCCAATCCATTCGAGCCCGTACCTGCAGCTCGGCCTGTCCGAGCTCAGGCACCAACCGACGAGCCCGTCCGACCCGAGGATTACTCGAAGCCATACTGCGAGTTCATGACCGACAATCCTACGATCTTCCATGCCGTCAAATCCTTCTCGAAGCAGCTCGAAGACCATGGCTACAAGTACCTCTCCGAGCGAGCGGTGTGGACCTCGGAGCTCAAGCGCGGCGGGAAGTTCTACACCTCTCGCAACGGGAGCTCGCTGATCTCCTTTAACGTGGGCTCACAGTACGAGAGTGGGAACGGCGTGGCTATCGTCGCTGGCCACGTCGATGCCTTGACTGCCAGGCTGAAGCCTGTTTCCAAGGTTCCCAACAAGGCAGGCTTTGAGCAGCTGGGTGTAGCCCCATACGCCGGTGGTCTTGGTCCCACCTGGTGGGATCGTGATCTGGGAATTGGCGGTCGCGTCCTTGTCCGTGATCCCCAGACTGGAAAGGTCGAGACGAAGCTGGTCAAGCTTGACTGGCCCATTGCCCGTGTGCCTACCCTGGCACCCCACTTTGGTGCTCCTGCCAATGGCCCATTCAATCCCGAGACTCAAATGGTTCCGGTCATTGGAATCGATAATTCCGATCTGTTTGAGACCGCCAAGACCGAGTCAAACAGTATTCAGTATGGCAAGTTTGCGTCAACCCAGCCTGAGAAGCTCGTGAAGATCATCTCCAAGGAGCTCGGTATTACCGACTACAGCACCATCGTGAACTGGGAGCTTGAGCTATTTGATACTCAGCCCGCTCAGCTCGGTGGCTTGGAGAAGGATATGATCTTTGCCGGTCGTATTGATGACAAGCTCTGCTGCTATGCCGCCCAGGAGGCCCTCATCGCTTCACCCGATAGCACATCGCCCGGAACTGTGAAAATGGTTGGCATGTTCGATGATGAAGAGATTGGCAGTTTGCTTCGCCAGGGTGCTCGGTCGAACTTCATGAGCAGTGTCATCGAGCGTATCACCGAGGCATTCGCTAAAGATAACTACGGTCCCAACCTCTTGTCCCAGACGGTTGCCAACAGCTTCCTGGTATCTTCGGACGTCATCCACGCCGTTAACCCTAACTTCCTGAATGTTTACCTGGAGAACCACTCGCCTCGCCTCAACGTCGGCGTGGCAGTGTCTGCTGACTCCAATGGACACATGACCACCGACAGCGTCAGTGCTGCCATTATGAGCCGCGTTGCCGAACGCGCTGGATCTACCCTGCAAGTCTTCCAAATTCGCAATGATTCTCGTAGTGGTGGCACCATCGGACCCATGACTAGTGCTCGCATTGGTATGAGGGCCATTGACTGCGGCATTCCGCAGCTCAGTATGCACAGTATTCGTGCTACTACCGGAAGCCTTGACCCTGGCCTGGGCGTCAAGCTGTTTAAGGGATTCTTTGATCATTTCGAGGCGGTGGACAAGGAGTTTGCTGATTTCTAGACCACTTCATTACATGTTCCTTTGCGCCCACTCGTTCAAAGCCAGTCCATATGACAATTGGCCCGCCTAGACCGTGTCCAGCTTCTCATCGTTATCCCTGGTTCATTGATAATACATGTGTTTTCTTTCGAGTGACTGGTATTAAACTATCTGGGGTTCGAGTGCTATACTTCGACTATACTATATTCAAGAACATCCATACCCCGCTCCCCAACACCGTGTATTCCGAAGGACCCAAGCAAGACAGAAAAAGGAAAAATAAGGAAAGTCCAAGGTGAGTCAGATCCTTGAAAGAAGTGTCTGCGCTATGGCGAGCGGCAATCATTAATAAAGAGATAATGTGAATGAGCGTGAAGGTCCATGACATGATAGAACCAAGGGGTATGTATATCACGTTCTTCGTGAAGTCCTGATGAACAAAGAATATGCGACGAGGATCATGAGCACCGCAGATCTCCGCAGTCCACCTCAATGAAATGAGGAGTGTGAGTCTGTGGAATAATTTACACGATGATTTGATCGTATTTGGGGAGCAGGCATAGGATTGACCTGAGTCATTCCCTTCACTTGTTCCGAAACCTCAGCTTGGGAATATTTGTATTCACGTCCGGGCACAAGCTCGAGAATGCGCTCGGGGTCTCCAGCACCATACTCTGGGTCTTCACCTGGTGCACCAAGGGTTGAGCCATCGCCGTTCCAGGTAGAGATGCGCTGTGTTGTGTCGTCGTGGGTGGGTCTGCTTGCGCTGAATGTGGTGATCATTCCTGGGAAGAGACGGGCGATGAGCGGCTTGAGGGTGGGTAGGCAAGCGCAAATGATTCCCGTGTTGCATTCAATTGCAGACCAGGAGGCAGCGCCGACGTTGTCATCTTTCCCGATGTTAGTCTCTTCTCGTCACGCCGCTATGAGTGGCAGTACATACAGGTTGGGTCCAAGGAATCGGAAATAGTTTTCAAACTGACTAGGCGAATGATACTGGTGATGCAGACACTATGGTAGACGTTAGCTTTGGCTTCTTTCTCTCGATATGCATGTTGAGAAACTCACAATCCACCCAGGGCGAACATGATCATCAAAGCAAACTTTTGCCTGCGTGGCAAGTCGACTGCAATTAGGGCTGGAATAGGAATGATCAGAATCGCAAGATCTGTTGCAATATGCATACTGGCATTTGAGAACCAGAGAGCAGTCTTGCTCAAACAGGAGCCTTGGATTGAGTCGTCCCAGAACTTCGCGACCGGGATACAGTTCAGGAATGCGCTGAGGACTGCCCAGGTGCCATAGATGCCCAGGATCGAGATCATGATCCAACAAACCACCCGCATTCGCTGGGTGGGAAAGACTCGGAAATATTGCATTAAAATCGAGGCTTTGGCGCAAAGGACGGCGGCGTTGTAGAAGGGGATTGTGAGCCAGAATGCCTATAGTGGCTGTTAGTTAGGGCTCAAAGTTTGAATAGGCCGTTAGATTGGAGGCGAGTCAATTTACCTTCATTTGTCGTTCAAAAATGTGAGGTGGGATGTCTATAAAATGCATGCCCATGCCACTGACAGCCTCGACAATATCTAAGCACATGAAAACGTATGAATTGACCTATTTATTGTATTAACATCCATCTGGGTAAGAGTATCAAGTCTGCAGGACAACGTACCAAGGCGATGACGACCATCCAGTCATTTGCTTCCACACGCCCCATGAGCTTGATCCGGGTATACATCCTCATTCCCACAAAGCAGGTTGCGAGACTCGTGAGAACGACGCTCACGGTCAATCCCTGCACGCCACGAGAAGACAGGTATACCTCATTCTCCCCCATAACTTCTCGAAGTTGTAACATCTTGTCGGTATTGTATTGTGTCTTGGCGAAGCCAGAGAGAATGCCTATCCCGGAATTGGTCCAAATCAGATCCACAACGACCGAGAGAGGCGTGATCAAATAAGAACAAACCGGGATGGGAACGGTAGGACTAAATCACGGGAAAAAGGAACGAGGTTTCTGGTGACCATCCCCTTATTATAATCCCAGGAACAAGTATTCCACAGAAGACCAAGTCAAATAGAATAAAAAGAATAAAGAACACTGCAGCCCCAGAACCCAAACGGCCGAAGAAAGAATCCACTATCCCTATCTAGGCCATTAGAGCATTGGGGATGAGCCTGCATCAAGTCCCCTCGCTCCCCATATTGGCGGGCCGACGCCTAGAGATGAGACAGGATTCCATCCTGGGAGAGGGCGTTTGCTTGTAGCGCAAGGGGCTGCACAGCATAAATCGGGTCTCAATTTACCCCCGATGAACCTTATACGTATATCCACACTGAATTGTTGGTAATTAAATTCTGTTTGCGCGGCTGTCATCATTTTACGCGCAGCTTTTGGGATTTTGGACCACACGCTCGCATGAAGATAGACTTTGGGACGGTCTTTGATATATCGATTCCCCACAGGTTCTCCCACAGGTTCTGAAACCACAACCCCCTTGGCCTGTTTGCTCCTGTTGTGCTCTGAAAGGCTCAATTGCCTTGACGTTGATCATGACGATCGCATGTGGAACGATCTGAACTACCGCTCACTGCAGGTCTGCGCATGGGCCATTGAACTGCCATTCTGGGGAGCAGGATGATGCATGACAGCGTATAAATTTGTCTACTATCATTTTGTTCCGGGTTGCTGGGTTTCTAATAATTTTGATACTCTCAGTCCTCTGTAGTCAGTTAAATTTGCCCGACGGTAATTTGATACTCTGCCCACAGGCTGTCCTTGAAGATCCTGGGGACTGTTCCTGTATACCCTGTGCATCTAACGTCCCTAAAGGAGGATTAAAAGGAGGTCTTGACGAGGGGTCGTCCGCGGGGCAATCGACACATTCCTACCCCGTGTACGACCATCCGTGTACCTAGGTACTGTGCTAGTACCGTTGAAGTACTTCGTACATGCGTCTTTTGTACCCGATTTCCCGACCTGTCACCATCCGCGTACTCCATCAATCAATTGATCAACGTGACTCAGATCTGAGATGAGTGCCGTGAAGTCCTGGAGTCAATCCCATTGGGTACTGAAGCTTATTTCGTGGATATGCGCGTCACATATGGCGGAAATCCATCCCTCACATCCCCCTCGGCATAGCCGTCCTTCGGCAAAGACAGCCAGGCAATGAAACTGCATGGCGCACGGTAATGGCGGAGACCAGCAATAGAGGATCTTGCGACCCAAGATGTCGGGATGGGCTGTGTGGAAAATTATCGATATATCAGAAAGTGGTCCGATCGGCTTCCAAGGCTGACTCTATACATCGGCTGATCGACGCTGATCTACGGCGTCGTTTAGGAGCGCATTTAACCACCTCTCCCGATGTCGCAACCCTCTTGTAGTTTCCTTGGAGACTCAAAGCATAGTGCTGATAGACTTTCAAAGGTCTTGGGGGTTGACAGAGAAACGAACTCGTTGTGGAAATTGTCTCATTTTCGCATGTCAGGGCTCCGTTAAACTCAATGCACGGATCGTGATTGTGCAAGGAGGTGTTCTCCTTGCCACCGAACTCTCCTAGATACGGATCTCGGAGTACGGGGTATGGAGTAGAGGAGAGAAGGGAATAAGGGTGTACTCCGTACTCCGTACAGGTTTTCTATACTTGGATTGGGCTGAGATGCTCACCGGTGAATTTTCCCATTCGTCAAAGTCGCTTGAGAAAAACGGCGTAGGGAAAGGATCCCCATTTTTCTTTCTTGGATCATGTACGGAGTGCACCGTCGATCACTTCTGGCTTTTTTTAGGTTTTAAGTAAAAAAAAAAAAAAAAAGGTCAAATCTATGAGTGAGGACTACCCCCGACGTCCGTACTAGGCATCGAGTACTGCTGGTCGATCAGGAATTTTGTGTATGATGTACGGAGTACAGAGTATGGACCGCTACAAGTCGAGCCCTGTGTTCCTCGGGGCCTGTCACATTACAGCGTGCAACGATGGAGTGAGCGCTCAGCTCGTGGTACTTGGAAGTGGGAAAAAGAAAGAAGAAAACAGGCATCGACAGGCAATTATTAACAATATTTTCTCATTCATCGACATCAGAGGGGCGCTTAACCCACTCAGGTTAAGAAGATGATACATCACATCGACCCTGGACATGCCAAGATGTCTACGGAGTACATCTGGGCAACCTGAAGATGGAAACTCTTCTCTACGGAATTAGAATCATTTCCACCTGCTGCATTTTAATGCTAGGCAGCTTTCCTCGTGAATGCAGGTCCCTGGACACATTGCTGTGAGCTTGCATGCAGCGTGCGTCGGTTGCCAGGTTACTACGGAGCACAGCAGATTGGATTCCAGAAGGCAAACCTCCTGATGTCGATGTCAAATTGCTATCACAATTCACGTAACTGTGCATGATCATCCATGTCTCCTATTTTTCAGAGAATTTCAGAGAATTTTCGAACGTTGGTAGGGGACAGATGTGTCGCTGTTTGAGTCTGGTCAGCCACCAGGGGGCACTGCGGCGGCTCTGTATCTGGTTTGGCTGGCGAGGCCATGGGATGAACCCTTCATCTGGTCTGTTTGACAACCTGGTTATTGGTGTGCTGCTGACGGCCTCCTGCTCGTCCCCGAGGTCAGGAATTAGTGGATGGAGTTCATGCCCCTTTGTGGGCTCGACAGAGGCCTGCCTTGGGGGTGATGATGCAGGTAGCCGGCAAGAAGTGTGATCTTGAATCAATGCTTGGCCGCAACCTTGGAGGTACAGACTCTGTACAGAGTACTCCGTAGACCTTGAAAATTGATGAACGGTCACTCCACGTGTGTCCACCTGGGCAGGTGCTGACCGCTGGTTCGCGTGGGGCTTCTGGGGCTCTCGACCTTCAGGCGTTTGCATGTCGGTGATAACATTAGAAAGGTGCGCGAGAATACCTAGTAGCCCTGGAGCCCTAGAGGACTACACCCTAACTGAGACATGAGGTCATCGTTAATGATGTCTACTCCGTACAGCCAAAGCCAAAGCCAAGGTTCCTTTGCGCGGTCTCACTCACAAAAGCACTGTTCGTAGCTTATGATGTAAATTGCATCCCCTTGCAACGTGAGTCTTTCTTGTCGGTTTAGAATGAAACCGAGACTGCATGAGGCAGAGGCCATGCATTCTTCTTGGCTTGAAAACGACCTCGGGAAATCCATGGATATGACCTCCAATGTCAGGTATCGCATTCCAGGTTGGAAAGACACAAACGGTTCCAACGAGTCTAGCCTGGAGACCAGGGGCCGAGGCAAGAGTGTTTCCCCTTTCTATAGTACATACTACCCTCTCTTGTTGGGTATGGATTCCGTTCGCGTTCAACATTGGTGACTTCAGTCGGGCGGATGCAGGTACTACGGAGTAGTTGGCCCTGTTTCCAACATGGGCTGATCTCACTTGACCACCTGGGCAGATAGTGGCTTAGGGTGTTAAGTGCCACTGGCAGAAATCAGGAACTAAGCCTGTTAGAGTAGGAGCTTGGGAGCATATGGCTCTGACCATCTCGCCAGTCCAAATATTGCCAGTCCACAGAATGCCCAGGTGAGGTGCAAGTGTGAAATCATTGCTCCGTACTGAATTTGGTTCTCCAAGGTCCTTAAGCCTTAGCGAGATATATTTTCCAAGGTTCCATGTACCAGATGGCAGTTTTATCGAGTCATAAGGTTGAAGAAGACATAAGTAAATCCCTTCCACATCACCCAGTGCAATAGCAATGTATAGCAAGGTATAGCGATGTATAAAACAATAAACAGAACGTTGAAGTCGAGAGCGTAGGAACCGTGGTTCTGCCCAGTTCGACCCGCGGAAATCTCGTCGATAAGATAGACCGATAAGGACGCACAGGCCCTGGAGAAATTTCCTTTCTTCACTTCCACAGGTACACCGGTGCTCCAACATCCTGGCTATTGTTGATTGAGAAGAGTCAATTAACGGAAAATATGGCGGACACTACTGCCACTTCCACTAAGCCCGTCCACACGATTGTGTTGGATGCTGGCCCAATCCTGAAAAATACCCCGCCGCTTTCGACCCTCCTCGCCCAATGTGAGGAAATTATCACCACCCCCTCCGTCGTGGGCGAAATTCGCGACCCGGATGCCCGCGCTCGTGTGGAAACGCTCTACCTTCCCTTCCTGAAGCAGCGATCCCCGACTCCAAACAGTTTCAACATCGTCAGCGAGTTCGCCCGCAAGACCGGTGATCGGTCCGTGCTGAGCAGAACTGATATCGAGGTCCTCGCGCTGGCCTATGAGATCGAATGCGAAAAGAATGAGGGTGACTGGCGCTTGCGCAGTGTGCCCGGACAAAAGAAGATCAATGGAAGGCCGCCCGTCAAGGAGGCCCCAGAGGCCACTGCCGAATCTGCGGATGTGGAGGCCATTACCGAGGGCGTGAAGGAGACCACTGTCACAGACGCCCAAGAAGCGCCCAAAGAGGACGCAGAGGTTGCTGCGCCCGAGGAGACCAAGGAACTGCTGGAGGCCGCGGTGGAGATTGCCGACGAGGAGGCCCAGGAGGAAGAAGAGGAAGCAAACGATGATGCCGACTCGGACGGCGGAGAATGGATCACTCCCTCGAACTATAAGAAGCGCTTGGCGCAGGATGAATCTGGATCCGCAACCCTCACAGCTGCGCCGAAAACAATGCAGGTTGCGACCATGACTACTGATTTCGCCGTAAGTAACAACCCTCATGACCCGCGTTGCTCAATTGCTAATATCCATCAGTGTCAAAACGTTCTGTTGCAAATGAACCTCAACCTTCTGTCTACCACAACTCTCCAGAAGATCCAGCATCTGCGAACTTTCATTAAGCGCTGCCATGCTTGCTTCTTAACTACCAAAGAAATGAACAAGCAGTTCTGCCCCCGCTGCGGCAAGGACACGCTCACCCGTGTATCCTGCACGACCACCGCCAACGGCGCATTCACCATGCACCTCAAGAAGAACATGCAGTGGAACACGCGCGGCAACGTGTACAGCATCCCCAAGCCTGTCGCCGGAACCTCCAACGGCAAGTGGAAGGGAGGCGGTGGCCAGCGAGGATGGGGCCAGGAGCTCGTTCTGGCCGAAGATCAGAAGGAGTATGTTCGCGCCAACGCCGAGGAAGAGCGCCGACAGCGTCGGGAGCGTGATCTCATGGACCAAGACTACCTGCCTGGTATCTTGACCGGCGAGCGCAACCGCACCGGTGGTCGTACCAAGGTTGGCGCGGGCCGAAATGTCAACTCGCGAAAGCGTTAAAGGGTATCCTGGGGTTTGCATTTGATTACATGGGCTGGAGTTTTGGCCCCGGGGGGCATGGAAAGATAAAAGTTCACTTGGTCCAGTGCCGCGCAACGGTTCTCGGCCTTTTTATGAGGAATGACCATGTCTGTGATTTACAGTTGAACATAGAACTTAGCCAGAGGCTTTGAGAATTTATCAAGATCTTTGGTTTCATATGAGCCTTGATTAGGCCTTAGATTCTAGAAGGTCTAAGTGAAGCCCGACTAGATTATCCAAGTATAGCAAAACAAGTATGGACATCTCAGCCATCCGTGACCGCAAGAAAAACACCATTCGCCAAAACATGGGCTATGCCCGGTAATTCACTTTTCCGAGTGTCGGACCATTTAGAGAGCAGCGGAGGTGCCTGGAAGCCGGGAGTTAGTTTCAGGGCGGAAGCAATATTCAGGATAGATTCGACGTACCGGCCTGCTGGGTGAGGAGGAGACCGTAGCGCTTCTTCAGGGTGACACGGTGACTGCCGAGTTGTTAGCTTTGATGAATTTCTTTCATCAGGCGCAGGGAGTCTGCTACTCACCGAGAGTACTTGTCATCGGGGGAGAAGCGGGCGGGGTGGGCAGACTTGGTGACCTCGCCGTTCTGGACCTGTCGTAAAATGTTAGCCCTGTGGCTCAATGCTCAAGCCGAACCAGGAGAATCAACCCCCTGGTTACGGCTTTTTTTCATGACACTCTTCAGCATACCTTCTTGAGGGTGTAGACACGCTTGCCCTGGGCGTCGAGAGTGTACTGTTGGTCAAAAATTAGCGACTGCTCTCCGGAGCTAAGTCTGCGTTTGCGCTCTGGCGTGACGTACCATAAGATGCATTCTAGAGAAGAGCGCTATTAGCAGGTGAACAGAAACGGATAACAACCATCAATAACTCACTTGGCGGTATTTGTCGAATTGTCCTTGGTTAACTGTTGTATCGGCGATAAGTGGAGGAATTTTTTTCTCGAATGGTGAAGCTCGGACCACGTGCTTAGTCACGGGGCCCATTTAAATCGGAGCTTTCGACCGCAAAATTTCAACTTCTTCTTGCAGTCACTGAGTTCATTCTCATGCCACCGATCACTGTTAATACACAGTGCTGGCTTCACTAACCTTTTCAGCAACACGCACATTTCATTATCATCAGGTAAGACTTTGTCCTGTGTCCACTCTCACTCCCACATCCCTCTTCGGTGATGACACCACTTATTTAGCTCAGGCAAGCGGCACTTTGATTTCTAGCTGCTTGTCAATGATCTGCTGAATTGACTACAACGGTATCTGAGAATATCATGTCATGACGATTGAACCACTCGCATGTGTTGAGGACCATTCGCTAACCTCGAATGCCTTAGGATTCCATATCGTCTCAGTAATAGTTTGGGATGGCCACCCCAGCAGCCAAGATGGAGACGCCCCAGGCGACTCCGTCCGGCCCTGTAGGATCGGGTCGTCCTCGGACACCCCGTCCTCCTAGGCCCAACTTCAGACAAATTCACCAATTTCCTTTGCCGGTCAACGTACATCATGTTCCTCCTGTAATTCCTCATAACCCTCTATCTCTCATAAGCGTTGCTCTCTCGTACCTCACATTTCTTATCATGCCACCCCGTCAAGAGGTCTATTCGGCTTACTTCGACAAGGCCACTTCGTCGATTCAAGTCACGGACGAAAAGTCGATCAAAGCCCTGTGGGAGATGGGCTTCTTTGGCAAAGGTAGTCTCAGTCGAAGTGAGCCCAGCTGGCTGGCACGAGAGAAAAAGCGACGAGGGTTACATGATGGCAAGACGAGCGAAGAGATTACAAGGGCTCGCCGGGAGGAACGTCGTGCGTTGAAGCTGGAGCGGGCTCGGATGGAAAAGCTCGCCATCGAGGAGACGCTGAAGGCCGAAGCTGCCGCCAGGGAAAATGGCTCCGCCGAGGGACAATTGCCAGATGATACTGCAAATGGCACAGCTACTGCAACCGAGAAATACTCCCTGAAGAAGGCGAAGGAAGCTAAAATGCTGGAGGCTCGGGAGGCACGCCTGGCAGCTCACAATGCGGACCCTGAGCAGAAGCCCGAATCAAACGGAAAATCCGTGCGCTTCTCACCACTTGTGCAGAAGAAGGAGTTCTCATCCAACTCGCCTTCGTCTGAGACTGTCGCGGAGGCACTCGATGCAGACGACTTCCCCAACGAGGAGCACCTCCAGCTTTCTAACGAAGAGGCCTTCTTCCTCGTCTACGGGCTCGGTGCTCTGCAAGTATACGACGCACCCTCCGACTCGAAACTTCCATCCACCTCACCTACCCCCATCTCTGCTCTCCTTCAACAGTTCTGCCACCATTCCTTCCAACCAGCTCGAGACGACACCGCTGCCCTTCAACCCGATGATCCCTTCATGATATCGTATACCGTCTACCATCATTTCAGATCTTTGGGTTGGGTCATTCGCTCGGGTGTGAAATTTGGCACAGATTACCTGCTCTACAACCGCGGTCCCGTTTTCTCTCACGCCGAGTTCGCAGTTGTCGTCATTCCGTCCTACAGTCACCCATACTGGTCTGCCACCGAGGAACGGAAGCAGTACACGGCGGAGAAACAGGCGCGAAGTTGGTGGTGGTTACATTGCGTGAACCGAGTCCAGGCCCAAGTCATGAAGAGCCTGTGTCTTGTCTATGTAGATGTGCCTCCACCTGCCGCTTCCATTGATGATATTGGAGCGTTGATCCGCCAATACAAAGTGCGTGAATTTATGATCAAGAGATGGACTCCAAACAGGACTCGTGATTGAGCCTGGCCTTTTCTGTCTGCGAACCTTTGGGCTTCTGATACCCTGCAATCTTTGGATCTTCCCTTCAAATTCACCCATATGTACAATACTTGAAAAGAAGGCCATATTATGTCTTATGCCACAATGCCACAATAACCAGATGAGTCCAAGGAAAGTCTCAGCGTCACGAACATCGCTCTGTTGTATTCTGTACATAGATTGTATATTAGACGCTAGTCCAAAAGAGGTAATATTGCTTTCGGGCACGTGACTGACGCGTTTCCGCGTCGCCTGGTTTCGCCTCTGTCACCGTCTTTGAGGAGCAAATGGCAGAGGGACCAAGACGAGGGCGATGTTGAAGCAACAAGCGCGTTAAAAGCCCGCCCATTGATGTGATGGTAAGATGGAGAGTCAAGACAGCATTGATTTCGCGAAGTTACAACGCGACGCGTTGGGGCTAGTATGTAACGACCCTGCAGGACTCCTCACACCTCATTGGGCTAATCCCAGCATTCAGCACGATCCATTTCAGCCGGATATTTCGCAGTCTATCAAATCCAACACACTCCGTCCCACCCACGAAGTCAACGACATTTCCATAATTAACGATCAACCTCCGAAACCGACGCCAATCCGCCCGAACAGAAGTCGTCACCCTCCGTTTCGACCCCGGCAGCATGCAGCACACATGATGATGAAAAATGATGGCATTGAAGCGGCAACCGCCCCAGATTCACAGTTTGCCAATATGAGCTCCGCCGACGCCACTCCGGGGGATACCCAGGTCGTCTCACAGTCAGTGTACGACAGCATAATCCGGCAAAATGAGGAGTCAATGCGAGACGACGATTCACAGACAGGAGCCGATGGCGCAACTCTAAGAACATTGCATGAGGGCGATAGCGGGCATATTGATCTCCTCGCGGAGCTAGAAACGCACCGCGATCCAATCTTCTCTCAGGACGACAACGACATTGCAAGCACCTCTGAGCCTAACCAGTCTTCACCAATGGCCTTCGCACCCAACCTGTTCCCCGAGTCGCAACGGTTTCTTGCCGAAACACCCGCGACGGCGGTGAAAACAAACGGCATCGAGGGTGTGACAACCGAGACCCCGACCGTCTCACGAAATCCACTGGCTGGTGACATTGAGTCTAGCGGTGGCTTTCTCGGCCTGAGTCAGGTATTTGGAGCCACCCAGGCTCCATCGTCTCCTCTTGTTCACGGTCTGCATTCTGAGCTGGCATCTGATCGGCCGTCTCCCAATATTCCGATCCACCGCGCCCGTTTCACCAATGGTATAACGTCGCCAATGGTGGGTCTGCCCGGGAATTTCATGAGTGAATCATCAGAGCCAAACTTGAATTATATTTCCATGAAGGAATCGCAGACGAAACGTGACCGGACGTTGGATGAGAGAATGGTTCGGTCAGCCGACAACATCCTATCGGACCAGAGTGACCGGGAATTCTACAAAGAGTCCAGCCACGTCGAGCGGGCACGGCGTCAGCGCGAATTCGAGGCGGAAAGTGCAGCCCAGTTCAAGGGCCTAAGTGCGCCTGCCCGATCTAGTTCAGCCAGAGCGCAGTCACCCCGTGAGCAACCAACCGAAGATGATCAGGTTATGGTCGATACTGTTGCCAGCGAGGAGGAAACAGAACAAGAGGAGGATTCCGTCATGCAAGTGCCAAAGTCTCAAGACGCTCCTCAATCTTCGATGGAAGAGGATAAAGAGAACTTCGATGGTCCTCTGGATGCCGCTGCTGCTGCGAGTGCCCACGACCGACTATCTCAGGTGCTTGGATATGATACAATGGCCTCACCATCCCATGAAAGGCTTGATCCAGAAAACCGTGATGGGATGGGCCGTCGAGGCTCCGTGGCCTCATATACAGATGGGCAGCCGACTGGTATAATTCGCTCTTCCCAGATAATGGTGAAAGATTCTCAACCATCGCCTGAACCATCACCCAATCGCGCTGGCCCCAATCATCGAGAGAGTGTCTTAAAATCACCCACGCCGTCTCGTTCTCGCCTGCGCCTCTCGCCTCGAGAACGTCTCCAGTCCTCACCTCCACTTTCTCGACCAACGTCACGACAGTCAAACAGCAATCCTGGCAGCAAACAGAAAAAGACTGGTTCAGTATCGCTGGAACATATGAGCGACGCTGAAACGAATGTATATATCAACGAAAACGGACAAAATAATTCCAACAACGCATCAAAGGAGCAAGCTCCTGAATCATCGCGGTCAGAGGTGGAAGCGGGACCGAGAAGACCCTCCTCATCCACGTCAACTCATGCAACGGAGACGCCTGTCCATCGGCGCCTGAAGAATGTTGGTGACTTGGCTCGGCTAACCAGTATCCCAGAGACAAGTCCCACCCAGTCCCACTGCAACTCCGAGGCTGGGTCCAATGTGGAGGGCGTGAACAATGAAGATGATGACCTCCCGCCGATGTTCAATGGAGTTCCTACTGCTAGCCGAACCAACCAATTACGCCCTACGGGGACAAGAGCACTCTCTTCGCCCCTCAAGAGGCTACTGTCTAGTCCAGGAGGAAGCCAACGCCGAGCTCTGACCCAAATTGCCGCAGATCTCTCACCGCAGGCCGGGACGGGGGACTTTGATATCGGCTTATTCACAAAGGAGGATCAAGATATCAGAGCATTGATGGAAATGTCGCCCACCCGTCCGAAGAAGAGGCGCCGCGGCAATAATAGCTCAAGTTACATCGCCTCAGATCCCGTCGTACCTATCACTCCTCGCCCGCACCCGCCTAAATCAGTTGCGCCTGTCAATCCATCCCAATCTCTATCGGCTACTATTCCCGAAAATTCAACTGGTACCTCACCCGTGCAAGTTCCAGAAACTGAAACTCGGAGGCAACCGAAGCCTCCACGACGAGCAAATGACAATATCTGGGAAGTCGAGGGCTCACCTGAGCAGGCCCCACGACGGAAGTCGAGGGTTGGCAAAAAGGCCATATCACGGTCGATGCAAGAAAGACATGTTCCTGAAACAAGCTCTGGGTTAGTGGAAAAACCGGTGATTCCATCCAAGAACGTGGTTTCCAACCGACCGAGCCTCTGCCCCCCGCCACATCCGTCCTCGGAATTGACAGAGGTATCGTCAGCCATTGGGTCAGATGATATCGTCGAGCCAGAAATACCCTCCGTTGATCAATCACCCACCACACCTCGGAAATCCCACACATTGCCAGAAGACTCCTCTCAAATCGCACCAAGTCAGGTACTTGCGGTGTGGATGGGCCATAAGCGTGCATACTACCCTGCAACGTGCTTTGGGACACCACTGGGAGTATCTCAGACCAAATTCTCAGTGAAGTTTGAGGACAGTGTTCCTCTCGAAGTGACCAAAGGTGCTGTCAAAAGGTTTGAGCTTCGAATTGGAGACGGAGTTAAAATCGATATGCCCAATGTTCCCAAAGTCACCCATGTTGTGCGTGGATTCGATGACAAGTTCACCCGAGAAGAGCTTGCGAAAGCGGTTGATGATGGTCTTCATCCTATCACCGACGTCTATGGTCACTCTACCGTCATAGTTGGACCGAAGCAACGCAAGAGTCTGCCCCATGGAGGCCTAAATAACGCTGAAAACGTGATCAAGGTGCCGATTGCTCGTGTTTATCTTGATACGATCCTGTGGAACCAACTTAAAGACCGGGCCTTCACATATCGCCCAGCCCCTGTTCTACAAGAGAGCGCAGTACATACACCTTCCGAGAAGTCTGTACCTCCATCTCCTAGCGCTCGTCTCTCGCGCAGTATCCACCAGGACAGCGGTATCTTCGCCGGCATGGCTTTCGCCGTTTCTTATAAAGAAGACGAGACCACCAAAAATCGCATTACGAGACTGATCATGGAGCACGGCGGAACTTTACTGCACGATGGCTTTACCGAGCTTTTCGAAGCCTCTTCCATCGTTCCCACCGATACCCCTACCAAGTCAACGGGCAAGGAAGCTTCCAACAGCAAAGGACTCCAACTCACACCGCTCGCCGAAGATGTTGGCTTCGCATGTCTGATTGCGGACACCCACTCTCGCCGCGAGAAATACATGCAAGCACTCGCACTCAACCTCCCCTGTCTCTCTGGTCGCTGGGTCGAAGATTGTATTTCCAAAGGCTGTGTCCTAGACTGGGACATATACCTTCTCCCAGCAGGAGACTCAATGTACCTCAATGGCGCAACGAAATCACGACTCATGCTCCCAACACCGCCCACCACAGCACGCCTTTCCGAAACAGTATCTGCACGCCCCAAACTGCTAGCCGGTCACTCCGTCCTCCTCGTAATGGGTCGCGGCAAGGCAGAAGAAAAGCGCAAAGCTTACATCTTCCTGACCTACGCTCTGGGTGCGTCACGTGTCGACAGAGTCCCGGACCTATCTACCGCCAGGGCGTTGATACAATCACAGGCCGGGGCTGGTTTGCCGTCCTGGGATTGGATGTATGTTGATGATGCGGACCAGGCTGCTGCGAGGTCCATGCTTGCGCCGAGGACGCCCAGAATTCATCTTGTCCATGGAAAGAAGAGGAAGAAGTCTATTGCTTCGTCTACACCTGTCTCGGAGACTAACTGTACCACACGGGTTGTGGGTAACGAGTTTGTTTGCCAAAGTCTGATTCTAGGGCGCTTGTTTGAGTGATTGTTTATTTCTTGATACCATTGTACTTTGTTCTCTTGTCATTGACCATTTCAACATCTCATTACAATATAAATTCATCAACACGATTTTCCTTCTTTGTCCTTGGGTGTTTCTTGAGCCTCGGGGAGTGTACTTGGTTCATCAGGTATATGGCTCTGGGTGCAGCTGAGTTGTGGTAAGTCCGATTCCAAAGTTGGCTTCTCTTGTTTGATATCTTCGGTGGTTCGAGCCCCTAGGCCTGTATCACCGTCGGCAGCGGAAATTGGTGCCTCATTTCGGGCTACACTTTGCTGTGCTTCGGCATCCGGGTGGTATTCAGGAGATTCGTCAGAGGGCCCAACGGACGGTATACGTTCATCGGTAGATCTAGTGCTTCGAGTCGCCTGCTCTTCGTGTGCATTGGCAGTAAGGGCCGGCGCTTCGGGGTTGGAGGCTGTACTCTCCTGTGGCTCAACACTTGACTGCGGTTCGACGCCGTCCTGCAGTTCAGCAGTCTGTCGCGGCTCCCGGGGCTGGGCAGGGGACTCGGCATTTGGTTCAGACTCCGGATTCTCAGGCTGCGAAGGCCCGAATTGGAAGAAACTCCCATTCAAAACCTCCATCAAGACCTCTGCTTCAGGCGGCGAAGGGGTCAGCCCACTTAGGAGCTCTGTTGCACGGACTTTACGCCCGTACAGCTTCTTATTCGCATCAGCCCTCTCCACCAAAACGCCCCCTTCAACCGTAAGACCACCGTACAGGCCACGGGTTTTGGAATACGCAAAAACCCCAGCAGTGCCCTTAGTTCCCACCACACCACTTGCCTCAGCGCTCCGACCTATCGGACCAACAGCCATCGAGATGTTTCCGCCCAAAGTCAGAGACCCAGACTGCATGAACGTCTTCACTGCTGCATCGGTAGTGAGCACGAATACGAAGTCCGTCAATTCAGCGCCAAATTGACCACCTGCGCCGACCCCGCCCATCGCCATTGCAGAAGGAGCGGTCCAGCTTCCATCGGGGAGTCGTGCAATGATCAACCCGGAGCCAAAGCGGATTGACCCCAAGAAGCCAACCCTGAAGGCTGTGTAGATTGCGATTCCCTGAAGAGCGAGGGGTGAGCACGTTGGGTGAGATGCTCAAATGGAACTGAAGATTTGGGATTGAGATACCTTTGCTCCTTCAAATATCTTACGGGGGATCTGTCCATCGATCTTCAGCTTAGGGTTGATGAATGATTCGAGGATGGCAGCTGCCTTTTTGCACTCGCCTACTGGTGTTAGTCCGGGGCCAGATAGAGCATTCAGGCCAATTACTAGATAGCGAGGCAGGCAGTGGATTATGAATCGAGTTCTTCATGGCGTTCGACTGTTGTCGAAACTCGCGAGTCGCGACTCACGAGTGACTCGGACATCAGGGGCCGCGCACGGACGCTCTCAGCTTGGGGGCCGTTCTACTTGCACTTCACATCATGCTGAGTTGACAGTTTTTGGGGCTGCACATTCTCATCTGGGTAATCACCAGACATGGTAGCAAAAATTCCCTATGAGATATTGAGGTCGAATATGAGGTGGGCAGTGCCGAGGTATTTGTATCCTCGATTTGTCAACAGACATAGTTCCAGGTTATATCATGAACATGCGGAGTAGATAGAACGCAAGCTGGAGGTAAAAGATCAGATTTGATCTCGGTCAATTGAGCCTCAATTGGGGTAAATCGCCGAAGCTCGCGAGATATTCTGCATGTCTACTAGTGTAGTACTAGTATAGTGCATGAACGAGGCAGGCAACGTTAAGTGCACAAGTGGACCCGGGTATGAACAACCCAAGAATGGGCCTCATCGATCTTTCAACATGAAACGGCTGCGATCCACATCGTCATTTTCTCTCTGTATACTCCGTACAACATATGGTGGTTCCAATGACTCCAAGGTTGGTGACATGGATCGAAAATAATCGCACATGATGTTGTACAAGCTCGATTTTGTCCAAACAGGTAACCACAAGCATTCCGAGGTTCCATCATGTACTTCTCGGTGCCCAAGGCGTAGACATACAGGGGCACCAAAAATTGCCGTTGCCAACTTGGATCTCAATATTGAGACTCCTACTAGTTCATCCGTAGCCAAACCACCGATTGTGTTGGCTTGAAACAAACTGTCTCATTGTCATGTGGATCTCGATGGAGGGTCTGTCGATGGTAGATATTGTCTGCTTGAATATGTTCATACCTTCGCAATGCCTGTGCGGCTGTGCCCCTGGACATGGTTCGTCCAGGATCGGCAACCCCGTATAGGGCTTCGCCTTAATTTTGAGCCACTCGTGGACCCCATTCAACGGCCCGAGAAAATCAATCGGTCCGGATTCAGGTACAACCTCATGGCTTGTGAAACCCAATTGTGGATTTTTGGGGTCCTACAGCGCCGATTATTCGGACCCCTTTTTTTTATGTACAGTCCCAATCGAGGAATGACGATCTAATAGATCGCAGTGGCTTCAGTTTACCGAGGCATTATCACTAAAGGCTTGAGCAATAATCGGTATATCTTAAGAGGCCCTCGCTGTTTGACTGGATTTTACGAGTCAACGTACGCAACGTCGCCCCCAATGCTGTTCCAGACTATTCTCGTGTACCTTGCATTCCAGGCAAGCAGTGTGTCGGCAGTCGCTTTTGAAAGACGACATGCCCCTCTCACTGGACATACTTTCGACTATGTCGTGGTTGGAGGAGGTACTGGAGGGAGTGCTCTCGCGACCCGCCTGGCGCAGAGCAATCACAAGGTTGCCCTGATCGAGGCAGGGGGCTACTATGAGCTCGAGTCTCTTGCTGAGGTCCCGGCAGCCGATGTCCTGCCCGCAGGGTCAGACCCAAAAACGAAAGCCCCCGAGGACTGGGGCTTTGTCGCGAATAATGTCCCGGGTGCCAATGGGAGGGATATACACTATGCCCGTGGAAAGTGCCTAGGAGGATCGTGAGTAGATGCGGATCCGGACCTGAGAGAGATCATATCTAACTTGTTTCCAGCTCTGCACTGAATTTCATGATCTATCAACGGTAGGCATACTCGCCGTAGGAAATCTGGACTGAATTAATGACATTCTTCATCATGATAGCCCCACGCGCGAATCCATGGCCCAATGGGCCACGGCAGTCGATGACCCCAGTTACAATTTCGATGAAGTGCTTCCGCTATACAAGAAGAGCGTGGACTTCACCCCACCCAACACGAAGTACAGAGCCGAAAACGCTTCAGCGAGTTACGACTCTAGTGCGTATGACTCCCAGGGTGGTCCATTGCAAGTGTCTTATGCGAACTTTGCCATGCCCTTTTCCTCGTGGATGAACCTGGGAATGGAGGCGATTGGAATCGACAAAGCAGATGATTTCAACCTGGGATCCCTGATGGGAGCACAGTATTGTTCTTCGACCATCGATCCGGCCACCGAATTTCGCAGCAGCTCAGAGGAATCGTTCCTTTCCAAGATCAAGCCGAGAAGCCTAACCACCTATTCTAGCACCCTTGCAAAGAAGGTAGTGTTTGACGAAAACAAGAAGGCAACTGGAGTTGAAGTCAAAGGTGCATTGGGCCGCACAGTCACCATCAAGGCCACCAAGGAAGTCATCATCTCCGCGGGTGCATTCCAATCACCACAGCTTCTGATGGTATCCGGCGTTGGTCCTGCAGATCAACTGAAGGAACATGGCATTGATGTTATTGCCGATCGTCCAGGTGTTGGCCAGAACATGATTGATCACCCATTCGTCGCTCCCACGTATCGAGTGCAAGTGACCACTCTGACTCAATTCGCAACCAAGCTTCTTTACGCAGCCAAACAAGTCGTCGGGGGATTGGTCTTGAAGAAAGGGTTCCTGACAAACCCTGTCGCTGATTTCCTGGCCTGGGAGAAAATCCCAGAGTCCCTGCGCAAGTCCTTCTCCCAGGACACTTTGAGCAAACTGTCTGAATACCCCAAGGACTGGCCAGAGGCAGAGGTACATTGATTCACCCCGGTGGGAGGCACCGCGCTGACGAAAACAGTACATCTCCGGCGCAGGATACATTGGAGACGTTTCCAATCTCCTGACAACCCAGCCCAAAGATGGATACCAATATGCATCCATGCTCGGCGTTCTGATCACACCAATCTCCCGCGGCAACGTTACCCTCCAGTCGGCAGATACCAAGGATCTCCCAATCATCAACCCTAACTGGTTGGAAGAAAAAGCCGATCAAGAAGTGACCATTGCGATGTTCAAGCGCATACGCGAAGCATTCCAGAGCAAAGCTATGGAGCCGGTCGTAATTGGCGATGAGTATAATCCCGGTCTTCAGGTCAAGACTGATGACCAGATCCTCGAGTTCATCAAGAACAATGTGATGACACTGTGGCATGCTGCTTGCACTTGCAAGATGGGTACTAAAGATGACAAAATGGCTGTTGTGGATTCCCAGGCGAAGGTGTATGGCGTTGATGGACTGCGTGTTGTTGATGCTAGCGCTTTCCCTTTCCTGCCCCCTGGTCACCCTCAGTCGACTGTTTGTGAGTCTGATGTCTTGCTTGAATCATTTCAAGGTCGCTAATTTCTTGTGCAGATATGCTTGCTGAAAAGATCGCCCAGGATATCATCAATGGTGCAAAGTGATTACTCTGGTAGGGCTGGCAGCCTGCGATTGAGTGCGAATTATACTTCGCTGACCTCGGGAGTTTTGTACAGATGTATAGTAAATAGAATTATTGGTTTCGGTGTTTTCCAATGTTTTTACCAGAAAGATTTCAGGATTGGAATGATGATGTTTGGGGAAGTTGGATAATGCTCTTTCTATAATACAATAAACACCAGATACAGATCCTCATATCGCTACAGAAACCCAGAAGGGATTGAAACAAGACATTTATGCGCACAACGGATGCCCTCATTTCTTGCCGGCCTTCTTCTTGCCCTTCAGACTCTTCATCTGGGCAGCCCGCTCAGCTCGTTGCTGACGCTTTCTCCACGCCGTCCAACGGTCACGACGATCGTATCCCATAGAGGTAATACCAGCCCGCTCCGCAGAGCGACCGATCTCCCAGTTGGCCTCACGGTACATATATCCAGGACGCAATTGGGGGCCAAAGACGGCCTCGACGGCCTTGACATCTTCAACACGAACACCGTCCGCATCAACAGAGGCAGTCAGATCGGATTGAGGCTCGACACGCTCCTGCATAGGCACAGTAACTCTGTTAAGCTTGCGGCGGTTGGGCGCATTGCGCGGGTGAGGGAGCTGCTCCTCCTTATCAAAAACAACTCCGATGAAGCGGCGCTTGGAATGCTTCTCTGGATCGAGGTAGTAGCGAACATATCCAGCCTGCGTAGCATAGATGGTGTGATCGCGGCCCATACCGCAGTTTTCACCGGGGAACCAGAGAGATCCACGTTGACGGAAGATGATACATCCCGGAACCACGTATTCGCCGCCTGAGCGCTTCGCTCCGAGACGCTTGCCGGCAGGATCACGGGAGTGTCGATTGGCTGTTCCTTGGGAGGCGTGTGAGGCGTAACGCACTTGTGAAAATGGGAGGAGCGAGCGGGAGATGGAGGGTGTTTGGGGTTTCGGGAATGTGGATGCGGAGAGTGTTCGCAGGACGGATTGCGGCTGGGCGAGCGAGTGCGTCGACCGGATCGAAGTGAAGGATCGCTCCAGCGCCCGGAAAGGCGCTAGCATGCGCGGTTTGAACATTGTGGGTTGTTTTGGTTTGAATGTCCGGACGTGAAGCTCCTGGGAGTCGAAAAAGTTCGGAGATGGCTTGGCGTCACGTGAGTCCCCAGTAAGCCATCTATACCACTTCCCTCGTCGCCTTCTTCGTTGACCACGCAATCGCTACATTTTACTGCTGGTTTCTTCAATATGCTACAAAGCTGGCGACAGGCCCTCTGGGCCCTTCTTATGCTTGTCTCCGTCGCTCAGGCCCAATTCAACTTTTTCGAGCAAATGTTCGGAGGCGGCGAGCAGCAACAGCGTCAACAGCAGCGGTCGCAAAACTCCCCAAGCGACAGCAGCCGATACCAACAAATGTGGAGTGGGGGTAAGAAAAGACATTACATCGGAGGACATCATTTGATGCTCCAAGGTTTATAGCAACATGGCTGACTTAAAGCTTAATAGCCCAATGCGACAACTACCTCTGCCCCGGAACTCTTGCGTGTGTACACTTCCCACACCACTGCCCGTGTCCCCACCCCGATGTGGAGGAGAAGGTCGAACTCGGCGAAGGAAGTGCTATCTGTGTGTCGAAGGGTGGATACAAAGCAGGCGAAGCTGCGCGGAAAATCGAGTTGGCTCGTAAGGGTCTTCTGTGAGGATGTACCATGCTTGGGGTCAATTGGGCTATAAATATTGCATGCGGCCGACTGGACTGTATTTCAGCTGGCTATAGACGTGCCCAGGTGGTACCGATCGAATCATGACTGTCATCACCATAATAACCCAGTCATCCATGGCTCTGAGATTGTTCAATCGAGGCATTCGATTGGCAGCTATGCATAGGGAGCACGCAGATTGTGGCTGTAGACCTAGGCTCGATTTTCGCCTCGCAGGTTGAAGGACAGTGAAGTTGCATGCAAATCAGAAAGTGTTCGGTGCGTCAGTGGAGCGATGCCCTCGCGATCAAGTCAACTTTGCGCAGTATGAGTATACGTAGATGTTCAGCTGGGCCTAGAGACCATATTCTTCTCGGTCTCAGATAATATCAAGAACTGCATACTCCGTACACGGCGTCCTCGGGTGTAATGAAGTCGAATAAGAGGCGATCTGCAACGCGCTGTTATCTCCGATAACCCCGCGGCAGACTTCCGTCATAATCTTCGGCTTCTCTGCGTCTTTCGCATACTCGACATCACTCGATTATTTCCATCTCTGGCAGAGTCGGCCACCCAAAGACATATGTGGAGCTTAAGACTTCGAGCGCTGCAACGGCAGTTGGCTCCGACTCGCTTTCGAGCTCTTTCCAGCTTCAGGACACATGGCTCTGAGCGCGGTCCTCGCAATAGCATTCAACGACCAGACCTGATCAAACCACGAAGAGAAACGCAGCCATCCCGATCAAATGAAGAGCCGCAATCTGAACCACCTGCCCCCGAGCCGCGGGATGCGGAGAACCCTAATTACGACCCGTCGCTAAACACGCTGCTGGCTCCTGTCCATCTACCAGAGGACCCCAATGGTGTACTTAAGGAGACACATCCGGCTACTTCAATCCTGGTAAACTCAGGATTGGTTGTACAGCGACAACTGGAAATGATGAATGTCATGATGTGAGTGCATGCAGCAAGTTTTGTTACTGCTACTCGAATTTCCAACATTTTACTCACATTCTGACAGTGGTTTCGAACAAGCCAACAAATATGTGATTATGGATGCGCAAGGAAACCACATTGGATATATGGCCGAGCAAGAGAAAGGACTGGGAAACGCAATGGCTCGCCAATCATTTCGCACTCATCGAAGCTTCGTGACACATGTCTTTGACCGACATGAGAATGAGGTCCTTCGGGTAAGTTTCGGGAACTCCAAAAATTCATGAATCGTGTGGTTTGTGGCTAACTCTTTCAGTTCCACCGCCCGTTTGCTTGGATCAATTCCAAAATTCACGTTTATGATCCTCTCCATCATACACCATCCACCCTCTCTCCATCCACAGCTCTCGAGGGCGTCTCAGCTGGATCTCTCGTAACTCCTGGATCTGTGTCAAATGCGCACATATCGCCGCTGGAACATGATCAGATGCGCGTCATCGGTGAAGCACAGCAGCAATGGGCTCCCTTACGGCGGAAGTACAACCTTTTCACCCACCACAAGTCTCCCGATCCAGCTTTAGACATGGGATCTCGGTCTCCAAACCCGGGTACTGATCTATCGCAAGGTAATCAAGTGCAACTGCAATCATCATCTAGCCAAGGCCAAGGCCAATACAACCAGTTCGCCTATGTGGACGAACCATTCCTTTCATGGGACTTCTCTCTAAAATCCGAAAACAATCAGTTGATTGGGTCTGTCAACCGCAACTTTGCAGGCTTTGCTCGAGAATTTTTCACAGATACCGGCGTCTACGCTCTGCGCATGGACTCCGCAGGACTTGGCACAGAATCATCAAAGCCAGACGTCCAAGGAATGAGCCTCGATCAACGAGCCGTCATGCTTGCCACCGCTGTCAGCATTGATTTTGACTACTTCAGTCGACACAGCAACTCTGGTGGCTTTGGGTTTATGCCTCTCTGGTTCCCCGGTATGGGCGGAGAGGCGGCCGCAGGCGGAGCGGCAACTGGCGGTGCTGCGGCGGGTGGTGCTGCAGAAGCCGGTGCAGTTGGAGAAGCTGCGGCTGGGACTATCGGTAGAGCTGGGGCCGCCGGTGGTATGACGGATGGCATGGCTGCCGGTGCGACTGGAGCCGGTGCCATGGCTGGATATGAGGCTATGCAAAGGGGTTATCCGGCTGATCCCAATTCGCCTGCATCCACTAATCAGCCAGAATCACAGCCCACAGAGGCAGAGTCCTCGGGATTTTATGACCAGCCTGAAGATCCCTGGGGTAAAGACGATCCTTGGGGTGATGACGCTGATGGAGGCGACGGGGGCGGTGATAGTTGGTCTGACTTTTTCTGAATATTCCAACTGGGCTGAGCTCTTATACTTAGCTCTTGTCAGACAGATGTAACATTATCAAATATATTATTACGGATTCTTTCATTTCTTCGCTCGCATGTTTTGTATAGTTCTCAGAGCCTCCTGATTGGGTGGCTCACCGCCCCGGAATTATTCCATCCCCAACTTGGAACCTCCATGGGCATCCCACCTCCCCGCAAAGTCATTGCCACCTACACTTCACTGACACTCTCACTCCAAAATGGTGTCCACCGTTGCCCAAAAGCGCTTGTTCCACGAGTACAAAAACCTCTCCACCAACCCACCGGAGGGAATCACCGCCGGCCCCGTCTCCGAAGATGACATGTTCTACTGGGAGGCTCTGATCCAAGGCCCAGAAGAAACACCATTTGAAGGCGGTGTTTTTGCTGCAGAACTTAAATTCCCAAGAGATTACCCTCTCAGCCCGCCGACGATGAAATTCATCGGCGGAGGCATCTGGCATCCCAACGGTAGGTGTCTCCGGACACGGACAAGTGGCGAATCTCCGCTAATCGATCATAGTCTATCCCAACGGGACTGTCTGCATTTCGATCCTCCATCCTCCCGGCGATGACCCTAACCATTACGAGCATGCTTCGGAGCGCTGGTCGCCTATCCAGAGCGTAGAGAAGATCCTCATCTCGGTCATGAGCATGCTTGCCGAGCCGAATGACGAGAGCCCTGCTAATGTCGAGGCTGCTAAGATGTGGCGCGAGCGCAGGCCCGAGTATGAGGCTAAGGTTCGAGACGAGGTGAAGAAGGGGTTGGGACTGTGAGTTGGTAAATACACAGCACTCTTGGGACTCGACGCTACCGAGTTTCAAGAATTGATGATTGGCGTCAGGGATTGATTTACTGCATGGTTTGGATGCTGGTTTGTACAGTGTATTCGGACCCGTCGCATTCATAGCGAATAAAACACATATATACTTTGTTGGCAATTCTTGAGTTCGCAGTGTTCTATTCTAACCTGGCTGTTGGAGACTCAACTGGCAATTTGGGGGATATTCATTTCATAACTTGGAACTTGCCTAAGTATTTATCTATGGATCCAGCCTCTGCTAACTATAAGTTTGTTGACCCCCAATGATGCCCTAGTAGGTATCAACCCGGTTTGGCTCACTCCTGTCGGAACATGCGACGTTCAATCCATCCCTCCAGACCACCGCTACACTCATACAGAATTTCAATCTCTGCCTTGGCGTTCAGAAACAGCATGCGCTGCAATTCTGCTCTCCATTGCTTCTCCGGGCCATTGCTTGCCCACACAGGGCTATTGCGCAGCATGGAAATGATCTTCCTGCGATCCCGCTCAGTCAACGAGAGAAGGGCCTTGTCGCCTAGTACCTCCGGGACGGCGATTATATCTGAAACACGAAGGCCAAGCCACTGGAGCTGCGGGATACTCAGTCGTGCATTCTCGTGCAAATGTGCCGCCGAACCATACTTGTATGTCGACATGATAGCCATGCCGTGTGGGTCGCCGTCTGTGAGCGCATAAAAACGAAGTGGTTTGTTTCGACTCGATGCCAGGTCAAATAATGTGCGCAAAAACATGCGGGTTGAGAGGTCTGGATAACCTTTTCCCTGTGGTCATTTGGTGGTCAGTGGAGGGTCGACTAATGGCACAGTGCTGGACTGACAGTCACTAGAAGTCCTTCTCCTGCCATTGCTCGAGCGTGGTATGCGGTGCGCGCGAGCCGGTGAAACACTGCCTAAGGGGGCAATCGGTCAGACCATGCTCTTGCTCCGGTGCTCGGCATCCTACCTCCTTCTCAATTACCAGTACCCATCGAATTTGTGAAATGTCGATTTGGTCCCCATCCTCTATTCGAGGGATCAAGGTGTCCTGCTCTTCATTAGCATTTCCCCTATTAGCTTGGGCCTTGAACGTGTATGTCTAACCTCCGTGGAAGACTGAGCATCGACTGTGACCCGCAATTCACGGAGCAAGCGAAACTTCCCCGTAACCAGACCTTTGCCTGCCGCTTCCTGTGCGGCAGTATGGATGTCAGCAACCCGATTCTGTGGTTCAAGGCTTCGATGATACTGAAGAAACAGACCACGTTCAAAGCCCCTCTATCCACCCCGATTGTGTATGCCAAGTCGTCGATGATGCCGTCGATGACATATTGAGCGCGAAAGAATTCAGGATCAATATAGTATATATCCCTGGAGGCGGTGTTAACAGACTGGTGGTATATCAATGGGTGGTTCGCCGAGCTCCCTGTCAACTACCTTTTGGAGATGAGCTGTCCAGTCCGAATGGCCTGATCCAGGATAGCCAGCACTCTCAGAATGACAGCTGAATAGGCAAACACTTTAGTGAGTTAAACCAGACGCTGGAGAAACAAGTCATACTGAACTTCCATTCCTCATATACCGTCTTTCCAGGCCAAGAATAAGTTCGGGTAGACTCCACTCTCGGGCATGCCTCCAGAGCTCCTGTGACGGGGTTGATCATGCAAGATGCTGAATTGGCCCGGCGCTTGAGGATGAGCGAGAGATGTGCCTCTGATGGAGGCAGGGTCAATCCGTGGACTAGAGTTGCCAACGTGTTTTCGATGTAAGCTCGAACAGAAGCATTTGTCCCATTCAGCTCCAATGGCTGGGCAGGATGGGATGCCATTGGACGGGAGTGAGGAATCTCAACTTCCTCAGTTGGAGAACTATGCATATCAGGTGTCGTTGCCTGAGGTTCTTGGCCATACTGTGCTCAATGGCCTAACAGCCCAGATGGTCTAGTTACTAGCTCCAGAATTAGCATGCGACTTAACGGCTATTTTTGTGATATAGTGTGTCGAAATTCATGATCTGATATATACTAGGTAGTTCTTGGCGGCCTTGAAATGGTGATATATAGTCCACATCTGGATGTTGAAGTTCTTCCACACACTTACTCTTCCCACTCCCACTCTACACTCCGGACTCCGTACTCCATCATTTCGACCTCTACCTGTTTATTGTTCACATTTCTCTTGATCTGCTACGCTTTCACATTCTTCATCCTACGCGGCACTCGTGATACCGCTGACTAAGCACACGGGGGCGGGCGGGCGCCCTGGGGCACCTGGAGCGGGTTCCTGGCGCTAATTGAGCTCCTGTCAATTCGCTGAACAGTTGGGTGAATCCAATTGCAATCATGTCTTCAACTCCTCACATTGGGCCTTGGAGAACTCCAGCAGAAGGCCACCTAACCTCGGATGCCAATGGAGATCCACAGACTGACTACTCGCGCTGGCGATTGCTCGACGAAGAAGGCCGCCAAACATGGCGGTATCTCGAGTCCGATGCCGAGCACGAAGCGTGGCCACAAACGATAGCTGATAAATATCACCTGGGACTGCCAACTGTACCTAACCCTGCATCCTCATTCATTCCAAGGTTCGACCAATTATTGACTAGTGTGTAGGGTCTCCCTGAGCTACCAGAGGCTAAAACGCCATTGGAAGCCGCAGAGAATGGACTGTCTTTCTTCTCGCACCTTCAGCTTGAGCCTGGAAACTGGGCTTGCGAGTATGGTGGCCCCATGTTTTTGCTACCTGGTATCTTGATCACGTACTATGTGACCAAAACCCCTATTCCTCCTGAGTATGCGACGGAGATTAAACGGTATTTGTTTGCTCGCCAGCACCCAGAGGACGGCGGATGGGGTCTCCATATTGAAGGTCACAGCTCTGTCTTTGGCACATCCATGAATTACGTCGCCTTGCGCTTGATCGGCGTCAACGAGGATGACCCACGCATGATCAAAGCTCGGGGTCTGTTGCACAAATTTGGAGGTGCCATCTACGGACCGCACTGGGCCAAGTTCTGGCTCAGCATCTTGGGTGTGATGGAGTGGGAGGGCGTGAACCCAGTTCCTCCTGAGATCTGGCTACTTCCCGATTGGGTCCCTTTCGCTCCCTGGCGGTGGTGGATTCACATGCGCCAAGTGTTCCTCCCGATGTCATATCTGTGGTCTAAGCAGTGGTCGCACCCTCTGGACGACTTGACGAAGCAGATCCGCGAAGAACTGTATACGCAACCATACGACTCTGTTGACTTTGCCGCGCATCGCAACTCCATCCACGAAACCGATAATTATTACCCCAAGACATGGTTGTTGAATGGCGTGAATGAGCTACTGGTCCGCATCTGGAACCCGTACCTGCGACTCCCAGCCATTGTCAAGCGCGCCGAAGATTGGACCTGGGAGCTGATTCGCATGGAGGATGAAAATACCAAATACGCAGGTCTGGGACCTGTCAATAACCCAATGAATATGGTCGCATGCTTTATTCACGACGGCCCTGACAGCTACTCGGTTCGCCAGCACCGCGAGCGGCTCAATGACTACATGTGGGTCAAGGGCGAGGGTATGCTCGCAAATGGCACGAACGGCGTGCAAGTCTGGGATACAGCATTCATTACACAAGCCATCGTCGTTGCCGGTTTTGCCGATGAACCTAAATGGCGACCCATGCTCACGAAGGCTCTGGAATTCCTTGACGACCACCAGCTCCGTGAAAACGTGCCAGACCAGGAAAAGTGCTACCGCCAGCACCGTAAGGGCGCATGGCCATTCAGCACCAAAGATCAAGGCTACACAGTCAGCGATTGTACAGCCGAGGGTCTCCGCTCCACCCTCCAACTCCAAGAAATGCACAACTTCCCCAAGCTCATCCCCGAGCAGCGTCTCAAAGACGCCGTTGATTGTCTTCTCCTAATGCAAAACCCCAGCGGTGGCTTCTCAGAGTACGAAATCACCCGTGCCTCCCCCAAGGTCGAATGGCTCAACGCTGCTGAAGTCTTCGGCGGAATCATGATCAGCTACGATCACCCAGAATGCACCACCGCCTCAGTGACTGCCCTCTCCCTTTTCAGCAAGTTCTACCCCAAGTACCGTGCCGCTGAAATCCTCGAAGCAAAGAAAAAGGCAGTGGGACACATCAAGCACGTGCAGCGCGCCGATGGAAGCTGGTACGGCTCATGGGGCATCTGCTTCACCTACGCCGCGCTCTTCGCCCTCGAAAGTCTAGCCAGTGTCGGCGAGACGTATGAAACAAGCGCCGACTCCAAACGAGGCTGTGATTTCCTAATCGAAAAGCAGCAAGAGGACGGCGGCTGGGGTGAATCCTATCTTAGTTCCGCGACACACCAGTACGTCCAGCATGAGAAGTCGCAAGTGTGTCAGACTGCTTGGGCTTTGTTGGGTTTGATGGAGGCCGGGTATCCACACAAAGAGCCCTTGGAACGGGGTATCAAGTTATTGATGGCCCGTCAGCAGAAGAATGGAGAGTGGTTGCAAGAGGCTATTGAGGGCGTTTTTAACCAGTCTTGGTATGTTTTTTCTTCTCCGGTTCCGAGTTGGTTCTCGCTAATCTTTTCTAGCATGATCTCTTATCCTAACTATAAGTTCTATTGGCCTATTCGGGCTCTGGGCTTGTACAGTCGGAAGTTTGGGAATGGTGAACTTGTGTAGACTCTTCGGCAGAAGGATCTACGCATGTACGAAGTCTGTACTTAATCAATAATAACATGGCACATTAGCGGGTCGATGCAAAATCTTGAATGTCGTATGTCTTTTGTGTTCCCACGCCCAGAGGGGTTGTCCCTCAAATGAGCTGAGCTCTGATGTCCATCACGTTTTCGAAGGTTTGGTCAACCTCGGGAGCCTTGGTCATCTCTCCTGAGGTCTGTTCATGTGTACCTATGTACTCCGTAGAGACTGTTATTTGAGCACCCCTTGTGGGCATACCTTTCGCTCTCTACCAATTCGTCCTACCTAGTATGCTGGCTCACCTAGGCGGATATCCAAATTGAGACGTATCTGATTCGTGTATTCATTTGTGCCAATGTACAAAACGGCATATGTGCGGAAACCAGAACAAGAGGTCTATGTAAACTGCCAAATGCCGGAGTGACCCACAAGTCATCGCTCGTGTCACATTCAGAGCCAACGCCGGTCCCATGGAGTCATCATGTAAGGATAATAATAATACAAGCGTAATGATGTTCAAAAAGATAAGGAGCATGACTGAGCACCGAAAAGGAACCCAGCGACCATAAAATGGCATGGTCGTGCGCATAACCAACACTTGGAACAGTGTGGCAGCGACTTTGATAGGAGTGTCCCACAAGTTGGGAAGAGTCATATAGGTCGTATTCAACGCATTAGGTGCGCAAAGCGCTAAAGGTGCAGGCTGTAGTTCTCCCAGAGGCCTAACGCCAGAGGGGGAAAAGACAGCCGAACAGGAAGGCGAAACCACTCATGTAAAGCGGAAGATAAACTAGCGAAAACAAGTTAGCATGTTATTTCAAATGACGAGACGCTGTTCAACGCAAACTTACTCGCTGAACCTCCACCCGGTGGCTTATTGTGGCCCGAGCTAGACTCCCAGTCGTAGTGATATCCAGTGGACCCAGCCGTAGGCGAGTCCGACGCTACCCAGGGCCAGACATTCGGAGTGACCCAGCTTGAGGTCTCCTTGTGTGTGCCGCTCCAGGGCACTGGGGCATTCTCCGCAGTTGAAGTGATTGCGGGGGCAGATTCGGTCGACGTGGGTTCAGACCCGCTGTTGCCGTTGACTTGGCCTCCTTCAGCGGTAATCGATTGCCAGGTGCCGCTCGTGTCGCCGTACTTGTATGCCGTTCCAGTTGAGTAGTCGGTCACCGTCAATGACTTCAAGTACATCTTGAACGGTCCCTGACTATAATCTGTCGTGCCGCCGGCCCAGTCTATCGGATCATCTTGTCAGTCGTTTGGACTTGTTATTGCTCATAGGTTCCACTTACCGATCGTTCCCTGGGGATTGTTTGAGTCTCCACCGGCCCACACACCCACCTTGATCATCATGGGAGTCTGTGGGTATTGACCCTCGTTGGCCGACTGGGGAGTGAGCACACGGACTGTCTTCCCGTTGATCGCCCACACAATCTGAGTACTCGTCCAATCGATAGAGTAGGTTTGGAAGGTATCCTGGCTCCCGGGGTTGTCGTGGAACGCACCACGGTTGTTGGTACTCGTATCACCCTTGCCAAAGTAGTTACTTTGCGCCTGATCGCTTCTTCCGCCCAACCATTCCCAGTCTAGTTCGTCGAGATCATCGGACTGCAGGACCGCGCTGCTGACGATTCCCGTTCCTGGAGCTGCCTTCAGGGTGTATTCCACCCGTCCGAACATGATGTACCAGCCTGACTGGATGAGGGGGCCATCTCCCTGCTTGGAGATGGTGAAGGTTGCGCCGTTGGTAGAATCATATGTCACGGATCCAGTCGACTTGAAGGAATCTGATGCGCTGGAGAATTCAAAGGTTTTGTCTGACTGTCCGAAGGCAGTGTTGGCCGGACATGCTGGTCACTGTTAGGAATAGCTCATCCACCGTCGATTCTAGACTCACATTGTTTGGTCGGATTGCAGTCCGTATACGTTTGGGCCGCAGCAGCGGTAATCAGACCCCAAAACGGTAGATTCAGACGCATGGTGGAAGTAGTGCGAGGATCCAGGAATGTGAAGAGAAGAAGATTTAAAGATTGAAGAAAGTGCCAGCCTCCTCTGTTTCACTATTTCCTGTTCTGTCGATCCGTGGGTCCGCCCAACGCCATATTGTCAGGCCAACCTTACGAGCCTAAATAGAACCCTGAAGCTACCATACTATGTGACACCTCTATATTTTGTACATACTTCGTTCATTCTACGTACCTAGGTACAAAGTAGAGCAGTATGGTCAAGAACAACACATAAACACCAAGGAAAGGCGGCAAGGCCCAAGATAATCGGGTGGCAGGGACCCACTTATCCCCAGCCTCCCCATTATCACTGATTCACTCATGATCTCATATTGATTCTATTTACGGACTATGTTGCACGTAAATTGCACATGGAGTACTCTATAAATGTAAACAGAATGTCCAGGCTACAGCCGTGCCAAGGACACAGTGCCTCACGGTGTACACCTGGGCATTCCCACTCCAATTTCAGATTCCCTTTGTGGATTCCGGGCGCATCATCCTGGCTTTGATCCGGTTCAAGGGCTAGACTCGGGATATGGGGAGTACGGAGTACGTATGGCTCATCGATCTACAAGTGATCGACCCTATATGCATAGGTGGATCACGGATAAAAACCCTATCTCGATTGGAGTGGTAGTATTTCTTCTGAAGTCGCATATATTGTTCCGTAGCAATCTTCCTTGAAAGTAGCTGGTAAGCGGTTTAGATTGCCACTTTTCGCAACCCATAGCTTGTGATTTCCTTAGCCTTACGCCTTCAGCTGGTGAAGGGACCATAGCCACACAAAATACTATTTCCTTGGCTTCCAGTTTTGTCCTTGCCCAGGAATCATTACGACTCCAAAGGAATAATAGTACGGTAAATTCATGCGGAAGTACTCCGCACAGCTATCGCAGGGTTGTTGCCCACCTATGTGAAGGGAAAGCCTGCCCATGAGCCCCTTCCAAGTTGGTCGATGTTACATACTACTTCGCTGTGCTGGTGCATCCCAAAGGTGTCCCGGTCAATTTTAGCGCTGTGATGAGTCGGTGGTAGGGCAAGGGACTCACCTGGGCAAGCGTCGGCATCATTTCCCTTGGGGGTACACACGCGTCGAATCACTGACCTCTCTAACTCAAATCTATTGGAGATATATGATCTTCATCCTGTGTCTTAAACGCCACTTTCATTGGATACCCTCGCCCTAACCTTGGAAGTTATATAAGCTCACCGGCAACGCGATGACCCCTCAATCTGGAGCTGGCTGCCTCCGCGGCAAAACAGCTTTAGTGACCGGCTGCAACAAAGGCCTCGGGTTCGGAGTGGCTCGTCAACTGATTCTTCTCCAAGTTTCGCGTCTGATTGTTACTACTCGGGACGAGGCCAAAGGCGAAGCTGCCATAGCAGCACTCCGAGCCGATCCGGAGGTTGTCAAACTGGTTGCAGGAATTGAGACATTCCCCCATATTGAGTGGTTCCAGCTCGAGCTCGAGGACTACAAGTCTGCAATCTCATTCGTCACAAAGGTAGAAGAGAAAGTCGAGGAGCTCGATATTCTAATCCTCTGCGCTGGCATGCTTCACTACAAGTTCGAGAGAGCCAAGACCGGTCATGAGAAGTTGATGCAAGGTATTCATCCACCACAAAGACAGATATTGGGTTTTAACGTGACCAAGTCAACTGTTACAGCAACTGTCTTATAATCAATGGCCTGTCTCAACTCTTGAGTGCCACTTCCCGAAGGCGACGATCTCCATCCCACCTCACCGTTGTGGGGTCATACAGCATGAGATCGAACACCGTGAAGAGCACCCGAGGCCCTAGAAAGGAAAACCTTGTCAAATACCTCGACACAGAGGAGAGCTATCGCCGTTTATTCCGCTACCCCGATAGCAAGCTCATGATGCACGTCTACGTCCACCACTTCGCCGCCCATGCCAAACCACGCGAGATTATCGTTAACACAGTCTGCCCCGGGTTCGTCGCCACTGATCTGTCCATGTCCGGGCCTTTCTGGTTGCGGTCGCTCATTTGGGTCTTGGGCCGCGTGAGAGGCCATCGTACCGTGGAAGACGGTGCTCAATTAATTGTCGCTGCCACCTCTATCGGAGAGGAAAGCCATGGGAATTTCGTCCAAAATGGCTTCGTCGATAGGTTCGAGCTCCGCTGCTGATTAATTGTCTGTTATATTAAGCAGCACTAGTGGTGCAACCGAGATCATCGATTCCATTGGCGCAGCATGCGCCACGAACTTTTGTCGTGCCATCGAGCGAGAAATTGCGGATGCGTATGATAAACACGATGGGGGAGGGGGGTTGGGTAAGGATAGGAATCAAGTGTAGGAAGCCGGCATGTCTTTGGTGAAGAAAATCTGTCGGAGAAATTATTCCATCCGATATACGGTACAAGGTGGCAAACTGTGCAGTTTTCAAGCATTAACCTTACAGCCTGTTCGTACGAACCCATAGCACACGGTGACATAATTTCTCATTCAGAATACACTGAATGTGACATGTTCCCAAATATTGATCTCTTCAATTCTTCTTGGGAGAAACCAAGGTCAAAGTAACCTAGACACCTGAGCCTAAGTGAAGGCTGAAGGACTCGGAGGTAGTTTGCACCCTGTCAAGACAAACTGTTAGCGAGGGAACAATCTCGGAAATGAGAGTTGATGTTAGGTTACCTGTATAGCTCATTGTCGACCTTGGAAGTGGGAGAGAATGTCGATCCCATTTGCGTTACCAGAACTGATTCAAATGCGAGTCTTCCGCCTCTTTCGATGAGACCTTGGTGTGAATTTGGATCCCAGATCAATAACCGCTTCCACCCTGATGAAATAATAGCGGGATCCAGGGGCATGTTGTATTAGAAACCTGGTTCCAATGTCGAAGGACATATTCCACAGAATAGTGAGGCTCTGAGAAAGTAGTAACGACGAAGTTGGGTGATATAGAGCTTTCAAGGTTGCCCCACGGGCCCCACACGCGGGGCTGCCGCGTGTGGAGGCGAACATATCCATGGTTGTGGACGGAGCACTATGGCCCCGGGGGCATGGATTGATGACTTCGTACAGTACAATATAAATGACCGGAATACTCAGCGATGGAACTTGGGTCCCATGTACTATACAGTTCCGATAGACCCAATCCTCGACGATCGAAATATTGCATCTACTAGCACCTAGGGAAGCGCCCGGATAGTGGGGAATGGATATCTCTCAGTGAAAACAGGCGAAAATCAGGATGATCAATTCCCGAGAATGGTCATTGAGGTCTCCGTCAGTACTGGTAGGTCCAAGGCGAGTCTTGAGGCCACCAACTGATTGTTGATGAGGCGGTAAATGTGGGACCGGGCTTGCAAAAACACGATGGATTTCTCCCAGAGAGAGAGAGAGAGAGAGAGAGAGAGAGAGAGAGAGAGAGAGGGTGACAAAAGCCAACTAAGCCGCCACCTCACTGGACCCTGGCACTCATTACCTGCGTCAAGTGCATATCAGCCCCCGCGCCCAAGGCCGCTGGGCATCCTCAACAATTTTCAGCCCTGGAGGACTCCATTGCCCTCCTAGTGGGCCCGTTGCTGGGGGCCCACCTGGGCGCTAAGCCGGCATGCTGTACCTCGGCCTTGTGATGGTCATAGTACCCCTTATTTTGAACGTGGATGGCATAAAACTCAAGGGTCAGTTAGGATAACCTATGTTTTGAATCCAAATGAGATACGTAAACCTAGTAGCTGGATACATCTGGGTAGATCCGCTGTTTGCTACCGAGTCCTAGGGGTTCTATTGAGTTGAAACTTGGGAAGCTTCTAACCTTGGAAATGACGCGAACTTGGGCGTTCTCGAAATCTTACGTAGGCTTGCCAGGGAGCCCATTATCTCTTTCTATATATTATTTATTTAGATGGAATATTACAGTACTTATAGGGCGAAACAATACCAGTACGGAGTAAGAAGTGCCTAGGTAATTCCAGCCTGAAATGCTCAAAAAGCCTGAAAAGCGGTTCAAATCCCCAAGGATGCATCACGGCAGACTCGCATCAGTTCCAAAAATGAGGGCAATCCAATTTTGGGTGATGCCCAGTGGCTTCCTCAATGCCTACATATCTGCAAGTCATATATATCTTAGCATGACAAGGAGTATTCCCGGGTGGAGACTACTACCAAACCTCGGATTTCAATCCCAGCAGTGCTCCTCATCATGAAGGTGCACTTGCCATATGGTTCCCCAGAATCGTCGAGATACGACCTTGGGGTCTGTAGTGACTCAAAGAATCGGAGGTACTCTCCGGGGCCTCGAGATTTGAAGTGTCAGCATTGAGATATACATAAGTACTAGGTATCACTGCCCAGGTGCCATTTGGGTTAATTAAGAGTCTCGCAATAGTATTATCACGTCGCCAAAAGTTGGTATACCTAGCATGCGATCTAAATCCTCGACAGACTTTGAGCTTATACTGAAGTGAACTCTGAGCGCTTTATGAAAGGGGCAGTCTAGATAGGCGAATTTTAGCTGATGGGAAGGTCTCATTATAAGTGATAAACACAGCTAATATATGTGGCCTCAAACCTCTCAACCCTCACATAGGATCCACAACGTGTACATCAAGTGCAAAGAGCACGATGTACTCCGTACGTTCCGAGAAGCTCCACCGAAGCACGGACGGCATCACGGACCATAACCTTTGTCTCTTCGTTGCAGTTTGCCCTTACCCTCTACCTTTTAGGCTAGCTTATTATCGTCTAGACTCAGATCAAGTAAGATGTATGTTTCATCATGTTTCAAAGGCCAGGGTTTCAAAGAAAACGCCCTATAGTCAGGGACTTCGACCAATAATCTGTACCCAAGCACCTTTGGCGGCTGGGGCATTGGGAAAAGGTAAGCTCTAAGAGCCTCCAGGGTTGGGAAAATTCAGTGGGCTTTGTTCTCGTCATTCCGTTGATCCGCCGATGTCACGGGTCATCCCCACTCTCTCTCTCTCTCTTCCACTCTTTCACTCCTCACCAATGAACCCTGGACACCATCTGTGCGCCATCGTTCCATGAATTAACAGCGGAGGATTTAGTGCGCCTTCGTTCCATCTTTATTCAACCCTCACCCTCCCCGCCTCCACGCGTTTATCCTTCGATCAGCCTCTTATCCCGACCCCATTCGAAATCTCGATCATCCCCTCAAACCCCTTGCATCGCTACCGTGTCACTGGGTCGGCCTCTGCACCGGGGCGCTAGCACCCGAGACAGCAGAATCGACGCACGTTGCAGCTTCCCCCGGTCGCCCACACCCGCCTCCGTCACCACAACTTATTAATGCTGAACTGCACCGAAATACCACACCACCCCAAGAGACAGCTGGCTGCTACTTGATTCGGGTCGCCGTGGTGGGTTTCGGTCGAGAGCGCAGCGATGCCGGTGCGGGACAACCAGCCCGACAACCGTCAGGGCTCTGAGAGCTCGGGCAATAGTTGGATATCGCAGGATACGGTGCGAAACCCGGGTCAATCTCGAGATGGATCAAACCCCTCCCCTGGAGGTCACAATGTCGAGCCATTCCCCGGCTCATTAAACATGAATTCAAAGTAAGCTTTTATCTGCCCAACCGCCCCAGTGACAGTGAGCTACGCAACAGCGCGTCTTTTCGCAATATTTCAACCGAGTGTGCCTGACCGAACATCAGATCGGAATCCTCGAAACCCCCCAGAATTGACTGGGGAACTTCCGCGTGGTCATGGGATTCGCCCAGTGTCTCCCCCACCGAACAGCGCAAACCCACCGGATTCAGCAACCACCGGGAAGCACTGATCATTCCAAACAATCGCGATAACCCGTACCAGTCCTCGGCCTCAAGCCCCCGACCTCCGCCACTCCATCCAACACGCCTAGGCTCCGACGAGATTGAATCGATTGCCCCGTGGTCCACACCGCTCAACAGTGGGCAGCAAGATGGCGGCAGCACGTTCTATCACGATCAATCGGAGCACGAAGCCTCGCCGGCGTCATTTACATTCCGCCCGACGACGGGACGGACCATAGCGAGTGAACCGGCTGAATATGAATACCACGGAGAGCACCGACGGCCATCTGCTGCCAGTGCAACCACTGTTAGCAGTCACGGGTCTAGCATCAGTCAGAAATTCCGAAAGAAGCATCTGAAGGGCCTGCTTGGAGATGACTACAACATGCCAGGGGAGCATCAAAATGACGATGATGGATCCCAAAACTCCGCGAGCCGGCGTGGTGGACCAGTAGATCAGTTGAAGGCGCGGGAAAGGGCGAATTCGGATGGCTCACGCAACACTCCAGATGGATCTGGGTCGTCACAACGGTCTCACAGGCCGCGAGCAAATACTCCGTTGAATTCGAGCGAGATTACCCCGTGGGACTACCAAAACATCACCGACGTTGAACAGTTTGGAGAAGCACCAGTGCGTCATGCGCCCATTGGCCCCAACGGGAAACGTCCTTCCAATCCAGAAAACGGGGGCCTGGGATCCAGAGAGCCCAGCCGACGAGGGCCTGGTAGGCATCGTTCCTCACGGAGCAAGGAGGAAAAGCCCACTCTTGCTGGCGATCTAGCCGGTTATCAGAATCGACCGGCTACCGGCAGAGACGACGGCGGACTGCGTCCGTTCAACGAGAACTACCTTCATTCGGCGGTGGACATGAGTGATCCTGCAGGTGCTGGAGGCCGGTCATCTAGTCCCACCCCTAGTACTCGCAGCGCATACCGCGATCATGATCAAGGCTCACAGCACCCCAGAATCGGTCGCTTTGTCAAGAAGATACTTGGCCATGGGTCCAAATCGCATGACCGATCAAGAAACTCCTCACCACCCCGGCGTGATCGACAAGGAAGTCTCGAAGGAAACAACTCCTCGAGGCACCTTGAGTCAGCGGACTCAGGGAAAAAGGAGACTGGGAAAGGCCTGATCGCGGGGAGAAAACTTGGTCCTCGTCGTGCGTTTACCAATCAAGGCGGTGACCTCTACAACTCCAACAAGGAAGACAAAACCCCAGAGGAGAATAAGCATCTATTCCACCTTGACGTCAACATGAACAACATCGATGATTTTGTTCGTCCCTCCTCTCCGGGTCATGCGCAGCGCCTCAGGGACGGGACTCTTACCCCGGCAGACGATTCCAAACTCGACAAGCCCTGGAATGCCCCTGAAAGCTGGCAAGTAAAGCAACCCACTGAAACTAAATTACCAGGCGAGGATTCGGCCCCTGCGGGACCACGAGAGCATGAGCCCTCCTACTTTATACGAATCTTCCGGATAGATTCGACGTTTGCAACGCTCTCGGCTGGCGTGAATGCGACGGTGTCCGAAATTCTGCACATGCTTGGTAAGAAGTCATTTTTGCAAGATCATCTCAACAACTACGAAATCGTTCTTCGAAAAAATGATCTCTCACGCCAGCTTGATCACAATGAAAAACCAATTCAGATGCAAAAGAAGCTGCTTGAACAAGTGGGCTATGCGCCAAACGACCGAATCGAAGATATCGGCCGTGAAGACCACAGCTATCTAGCTCGGTTCGTCTTCTTGCCGACAAAGCTCAGTGGTTATAGCAGTCTGGAGACGGACCCGGGTTTCAACAAGATCCAGAAGTTTAGCCACGTGGATCTCCAGGGCCGCAGCCTAATAACGATCCCGATCACGCTGTACGCGAAGTCATCGGAAATAATCTCCCTCAATTTGTCGAGGAACCTGTCCTTGGATGTTCCAAAGGATTTCATCCAAAGCTGCATCAACTTGCGAGAGATCAAATTCATTGGAAATGAGGCCTCGCTACTCCCTCAGAGCTTCAGCCTAGCTGCCCGGCTGACTTACTTGGATGTGTCCAACAACTGCCTCGAGGACTTGGACCATGCTCATCTTGACCGGCTGACGGGCCTTGTCAGCATCAAGATGGCCAACAATCAGCTAACGAAGCTGCCCAGCTATTTTGGAAATTTCACCTCTTTACGGAGTTTGAACATGTCCTCAAATGGATTCAAGGTTTTCCCTGAGTTCATCTGCAACTTGAAAAGTCTAGTTGATCTAGACATCAGCTTCAACGGCATTGAGGAACTTCCTTGCATCGGCCGCATGACCACACTCGAGCGCCTGTGGATGACGAACAACAACCTTAGCGGACCACTCGATGAATCTTTCCGGGAATTGGTGAATCTCAAAGAGTTTGATGCACGCTTCAACTCGATCACCAATATAGATAATGTGTCCAGTCTTCCTCGACTGGAACAAGTATTCCTCGGTCACAACCTTATTTCACGATTCAAGGGCTCCTTCCCAAAGTTGCGCAGCCTACACCTGGACCACAACCCTCTGACGCAATTCGATATCGATGCTCCCATGCCAACACTGACTTCTCTCAACCTTGCTTCGGCGAAGCTCTCTCAGTTCCGAGATACCATTTTCGAGAATTGCCCGAACGTGGCGAAACTAGTCCTGGACAAAAATCACCTTTCCTCCGTATCGCCCCAGATCGGCAAGCTGCGGCGATTAGAGCACTTCAGCATGATCAAGAACCCATTGTCGTCATTGCCCCCGACCATCGGTTGTCTGGTGGAGCTCAAGCATCTCAATTTGCGAGAATGCAATCTGCCTTCGCTTCCATCCGAGATCTGGCATTGTGCTAAGCTTGAGATCCTCAACATCTCCTCAAACATTCTGTCATCATTCCCCAAATATGGTGCTCCAATCCCACTGGTTCCAGGCGAACCCACTCATACACCCGCAACTACGCCGGGTGTGACGGGAAATCCCAGCTATGAGGATATCGGTCCCCTAGACGAACCAGTCTTACGTCGACCAAGTCAGACTTCGAACGGGGTCGTCAATTCCGTTTCACCCAACGGTTCGTACCGGAACGCTTCGACCGGCCAATCTGTCTCGCAACAAGGCGGTAGGAAGGTATCGGCCACGTCACGGTCATTCACTGACCCAAATGCAGTAAATCGGAAGGATTCAAACTTCTCTCAGCAGATGGCAATGAGCTTTGCGGCATCCCTTCGGACACTGTGCCTTGCCGACAACAGACTTGAAGACGATGTGTTCCGAGAGTTGTCTCTACTTCCGGAACTGCGCATTGTTAATCTATCGTACAATGACCTGACAGAGCTACCGCCAGGAATTCTAAGGAGATGGCCCTTGATATCCGAACTCTACCTCTCCGGAAACGAGCTGACTTCATTACCATCTGATGATCTGGAAGAGGGGAGCAACCTCAAGATTCTTCACATAAATGCAAACCGATTCCAGGTGCTGCCTGCAGAACTCTGCAAGGTCAGCAAGCTATCCATTCTAGATGTTGGAAGCAATCACCTGAAGTACAATGTATCCAACTGGCCATACGATTGGAACTGGAACTGGAATCGCAACCTGAAGTATCTTAACTTCTCAGGCAACAAACGTTTGGAAATCAAGCCTAACATTGCGTCTCTGGGTCCTCCTGCCGCCAATGGTGCGGACTTGACTGACTTCAACTCCTTGACCCATCTTCGAGTCTTGGGGTTGATGGATGTCACCCTGACAATCCCCATCATTCCAGAGGAGACCGAAGACCGTCGCGTCCGAACTTCTGCGTCGCTGGCTGGTACCCTTGCATACGGAATGGCGGACAGCCTGGGAAAGAGTGAGCATCTCTCGATTATCGACATGATTGTTCCGCGTCTGAAACAGGATCATGTGGAAACTCTGGTTGGCATGTTTGATGGACAGACACTTGGAACTGGAGGTTCTCGGGTTGCAAAGTACTTGCACGAGAATTTCACCCCTACCTTTTCCTATGAGCTCAAGAAACTGCACACTGACCAAGGCGAATCGCCTCTGGATGCACTTCGACGGGCGTTCTTGGCTCTGAACAAGAACATGGCTGGCTCTGCTTATAGGTCCATTGACGACCGTGAGATACGGCAGTACCACAGAGGTTCGAACGCTGCCAAGCTTCTCAACCAAGATGACATTCTGTCTGGTGGTGTTGCCACTGTCTTGTATCTGAACAACATGGACTTGTACGCTGCCAATGTCGGTGATGCGCAAGCCATATTGATCAGATCGGATGGTTCAATGCGCACCTTGACTCAGAACCATGACCCTGCGGAACCCAACGAGCGTGCCCGCATTCGAGCTGCTGGCGGCTTTGTGTCTCGAAACGGTCGATTGAATGATAACCTGACGGTCTCAAGGTGTTTCGGACATTTCCCCACCATGCCTGCCGTCATTGCAGCCCCGTACACCACGCACGTCGCCCTCACGGAGCAAGATGAAATGATCGTTCTAGCATCCAAGGAGCTCTGGGACTTTGTTACTCCGGAAGTTGTGGTGGATATCACGAGGAGAGAGCAAACAGACCTGATGTATGCATCTCAAAAGCTGCGTGATTTGGCCATTTCATTCGGTGCCACCAACAAGTTGATGGTCATGATCCTCGGCATCGGTGAACTACAAAAGCGTCGCCCGAAAACCCGTCCTTCGCTCAACACTGGCTCTTCTGGAATGATCGATGATCAGATCATCCCAACTGCCAAACGCCCCAAGAAGCGTGATGGTCCCGGAGACTCGCGGCTGGCCCGCTTTGACTTTGTGGATGCCCCAGTGGGCGAGCTGGCAATCATGTTTACCGATATCAAGAAGTCGACGAGTCTGTGGGAAGTTTGTCCGGATGCGATGCGATCTGCGATTCAAATCCATAATGATATTCTACGTCGGCAACTTGGAATTTTCGGTGGCTATGAGGTCAAGACTGAAGGTGACGCCTTCATGGTGGCTTTCTCTACCACCACAGCTGCCCTCTTGTGGTGTTTCAATTGCCAAAATCAGCTTCTGGAAGCTGAGTGGCCCACAGAAATTCTTGACCAGCCTCAATGCCGAACTGTAGTCGACATGGATAACAATGTCATATTCCGGGGCCTGTCCGTTCGCATGGGTGGCCATTGGGGTGAGCCTGTGTGCGAAAAGGATCCCGTCACCAACCGGATGGATTACTTTGGACCCATGGTGAATCGTGCATCGCGTGTTTCCGCTGTTGCTGACGGAGGACAAATCTTTGTTTCGTCGGACTTCATGACAGACATCCACCGCAATCTTGAGACCTTTGCCGATGCCGAGCGCTCTGCTTCAACCAGCTCAACTGACAGCCACCCGCGTGGAGACAGTCTCGGCCACAATATCCGCCGTGAACTGCAGCAACTCAACAGCCAAGGCTTCATCATCAAGGATCAAGGCGAACGAAAGCTCAAGGGTCTAGAGAACCCAGAGCCGCTTTATCTTGTGTTCCCGTCGGCACTCTCTGGTCGCATGACATCTTCGGATGATTCTCAGGACGATAGTAACACTGCAACTATGAACCCCAACAATCAACTGGATATCCAGACGAACGTCATCTGGCGTCTGTGGGAGGTCACACTCCGTCTTGAGCGACTCTGTGGTGCTCTGGAGAATCCCAAAGAACCCAGTCTCAGCGAACCTAATGTGACTCTATTCAATATGATCAAGAGGCATGGAGGGGAGCTCAATGACTCAACTGTTCTTAGTTTGGTCGATCAACAAGTAACTCGCATCGAGGTTAGTATCCTACGGCTTGTATTTGCTCTTCTTTATCTCATCGTTGACAATTTCTAGGTCACCATCAATACCCTTTCCGTTCGCCACATCATGCGGCCATTCAAACCAGGAGACAGCCTGAAAGATCATGCCGCTCCCATGACCGAGGTTTTCCAACAACTATCAACCCAACTCGCCGAATTCCAAGCTCTCAAGGCGCAAATGGCCGGTGCGTCATTCCAAGAATCCGATATCCCTCCCGAACATGGAATACTTCCTTCGGCCAGCATCGACAACGGAATTACTTCTGCCTCATCATCCTTCCTCCATCTTCCGGGCGATGCCAATCGCTCCTTCGACTCCGGCCGCGGTAATCATTGATTGGTACCGCCCGGAATCTAACATCTTCTCGCGCGACTTTTCTCTCTCACACTATTCTCTTCTTGTATCTCTCTAGCTTTTGCTTGCTGAGCGGCGTCTCAGAGGACGGAGGGAGTCTGCAAATTGTTAATACAAAGCATCATTGCGTGGAGCCACGGGGATCGTTTCGGTTTCTTTCATGTCAATTTTTTATTCTCTTTCTTTTTGGCTTACTCCTTTGAACTTCTGAACTTCGGGACTGTAATTTACTTGGGCAGTAAACACATTCCAAGTCTGATTGGCTTTACAATTTTCGTGCGCCTTGTCTTTGTACTTTTTGCTTGGCAACAGTGCTCTGTCTTTGTGTTCTTAGGTAGCATTTTATTGGCGTTGGGGGTTCTGGTAATATGGCTAGATGTCTTCCAAAATCACGAATTTACGGAGTATCATACCTTTCTACGCCGTTAGCATTATTTCGCTGTACTCTGGGAATTCCGTGGCCCTCAGTATACTCCGTACACCTGGGCAGCCCTGGAGCCGTGGATGTAGTCACGTGTTCCAATGTTGGTGTTTATTCGTACGTCATCGGCTTTGTTTGCTTCTCAAAGCCTGCAGACTTACTTACATCTTGCTTCTCTCTGTTGATCGACCCCGAGGATTACTACTTAAACATCAACTGTTCCCTACTTGCTCTACATTACTTCTGAGCGTGTTGTCTTCTGGCCCCGCCTGTTGCCCCGGCTACGACTAGAACGAACTGGGTCTGGCGCAATTTCGCAGCTCAAGCAAAACAACACCCCTGCTACCCCAGTCAAAGATCGAAAAAGGGAGCGATCGGTGGTATACACCTGCATATCACAGTCACACCCACACCGTGCAGCAAGCTAATCAACCACTGTGACTAAAATCGCCGCGCAAGTCCATTTCGATTGGAGTGTAGCGGGACAATCAGGCCACGATAGCCAACATCGGATAACACGCGTCTTTCAAAATGGCAGACGAACTGGATTACCTTCATCCGGACTTTGACCTCAATTCTCTTACTGTCCCTCGCCTCCGCTCAATTCTCGTCAATCACGATATTCCATACCCTGCATCGGCCAAGAAATCTCAGTTGATCGGTATCCTTCAGGATGAAGTGCTTCCACAGGCGCGAAAGCTCTTGCGTGACCGCGAGAGAGTACGACGAACAAGTGCAGGAATCACAGATATGGGCAGCCGATCGAATTCGGTCGCGAGCGACATAGATGAAAGGGACTCGATGCCTCCGCCACCCACGCCTTCGACCGTCGGCTCCACAAGCAGAGGACAGCGAGGTACATCGCGACGTAGTACGCGTCATTCGACCGCAGATACCGAGGATGGCCATGCGCCTGCCACACCAGCGCGGGCTCCCAAACGTACGAGCGTGGCTCGATCGGTGGGCAAGCATGTCCGCACTTCCGATACAGAAACCGGTGACGATGGACTTTCCACTCCGGTGGCTGCAACGCGTCCTACTCCACGTCAATCCACAGCCAAGAAGTTGCGTCGCAGTGAAGTTCTGCCTTCAACGGAGACGGAGGATTCCACGCCTGGTATTAAGTTAGAGCCACGCGATGACGGCATGTTTACGGACGATAACCCTTTCCAAAGCGGAAGCCCGGACGTTTCGAAGAGTGCAAGGAAGAGCCTCGACTCTAAGCGCAAGAGTGGTTCGCGCTTCTCTACTGAGAGCCCAGCTCGAGGTCGCCCACTCAGATCACGACTATCAGCGACACCATCGAGTCTCTACCAGGATGATGGTTATCAGGCCCCGCGGCGTGAGTCTTTTGATTTCGCCTCTCGCCTCCTGCCAACACAGGAAGAGCCCGAGGAGTCTGAGGAGTCCGAAGAGGACGACGAAAGTGAAGTGGGCGCAGGTGAAGAATTTACCCCAGAGGAACAACTCGCTATGTCCATGGAACAAGATCAATACCCAACACATGTTCAAAGACGGCAGCCCCAGAGACAAGGAGCTCTCAGTCGCTTGGCACCCTGGGTAGTGATTCTGTCGCTTGCCGGCAGTTTTGGAACTTGGTGGCGCAAGGAAAAGCTTGAGATTGGATACTGCGGTCTGGGCAAGCCCACTTGGTCTCTGGCTGACACCAAGGTTCCTGCTTGGGCCAACGTCCTGGAGCCTCGATGTGAGCCGTGCCCAAGCCACGCTTTCTGCTACCCTGACTTCGAAGTGCGCTGCGAAAATGATTTCCTGTTGAAACCACACCCCCTCGCTCTTGGTGGGCTGGTCCCTTTGCCTCCTACCTGTGAGCCTGACAGTGAAAAGGCGCGTCGCGTCAAGGCAGTCGCAGACAAGGCCGTCGAAGAGCTTCGCGAACGTCGTGCGAAGTGGGAATGTGGACAGTTGAAAGAAGACGGCAAGGATGTCCGCTCTCCCGATATCAGCGAGCCTGACCTCAGAGAAGAGGTCGCAAGAAAGCGCCGCAGGGGTTTGAGTGACAGTGAGTTTGAAGACCTTTGGAAGGGCGCAATTGGGGAGGTGATTGGCAAGGATGAAGTTGTCAGCAAGACCGAGCAGTAAGCCTTCCCCAACCATGGAACACCCATATCTCCTTTGCTGCACTCATCGCTCTAGATCTCCGTATCTAGCAGCCTTTCTTATAAAGATCTGGTCTGACATTGTGTACCGGAACTGACAGAGATGCATTCGCGATTACAGAGCTTCCGGCCTCGTCGTCTTATCATCTACCTCAATCGCAAGGCTCCCCCTCACATGCGCCATCCGCCGTCACTTCCGACTCGCTCTCGTCGCGTATCGACTCCCTATTCTCCTTCTAATCGTGGCTCTTGGTCTTCTTGGGTATGCCCGCGCGCGGGTTCTTGCCCGTCGCTCTGACATTGCCCGCGTCCCGGAGCTAGTAGCCACAACTCTCGACCGTCTGTCTACCCAAGCTGCACTCTATGCCCGCGGAGACGCCAAAGAACCCTACATCTCCATAGGACAGCTGCGTGACGATGTCCTTCGCTTTGAGCTTCAAGGCAAGCGTCGCGAGGAGCTCTGGCGCCGTGTTTCCCGCTTCGTCGAGGGCAATGCGAACGTGCGTGCAGCTGTTCGTGAAGGGCGAAGCGGTGACGTTTCTCGCGTCTGGGAGTGGATTGGTGGAATCAACGCCATCAGCGAGCCTGACACTCGACGCCGTGAGAGTGCGCGATTCTCTATTCCATCCCCGTCCGGCAATGCCCCCACGAGCCCACAGACTCCCATAGACGAGGGCAACGCCGAGCCGCTGTCAAGTCCACGGGAGAACCGTCGATGGGACGAGGGCCGTCCCATCTATTAATTCTTGCGGTACGAAGTACAATGGGATGCACTGGCATCCATTCGAGCAATCATTCTGCCCTGGTTGCTTTTTTCTTAGATATCCCCAACTTTTCTTTTGTGGCTCACACAATACGGTTTTCGGCTTCTGGTTGTGCTTGCCTGTATGGCCTATTTTGTTTGCTTTGCTTGGTTTCTTAGTACATATTTCTTCTTGTCGATACCGTTTGCACCTAAGGTCGGAATCAATCTGCTTATCAAGTCAATGTTGGCCTCGGCTCGTATCCACCATAGATGCTCATCCAGCTATCACCTGAGTATGCGTACATACAATGGCATACTAGGTACACTGGTACTATTACGAGGCACCCATATGCCTTGCTAAGTGAAGGAACTTGGAAATTTACTACTAGTATGAAGGTCGCCAATCCGCAGCGGCTTTCCCTCGTACGTCCAAGATTGTCCAGTCTAGAAGCACGGCCATGGTCTTAGGGCACCTGCATGTGCCCAGTGGGCATCATTTGGCGTTTATTAATCAAATCTACGCTACGTGCACTCCCTCTAGCCCTGGTTCAACTTTCAATAGTCGCTTAGGGCGGTTCTTCCAGTGCATTCTCCGAACGGGGTATAGTGATCATCGTTGGCCTGTGGAGGCCCCTTGTAAGCACGAGTCATTGAAGTAGCAGGTCAGCTCCGTCAGTGTTGCCTTCGACTAGGGCACAATGACGGTCATCTAGCCCTGCTTGTCCCGCTTATATTCCTTGATGCCCAACGATCCATGTCTCCGCGTTTCCGTGGAGTTTGGAATACGACCGCACGGGTAGAGGACCATTGTTACATCTGCAATGTAATTTTGGGTGAGGGGACAGGTGGGGGCTGTCAAGGTGAAGCAGAGCGAGACCGAGAGGCTAGGGGGGCTTTGTTTCCTTTTTTTTTTTTCTTTTCTTTTTTTTTTCCGGTTCATTGACCCAGTGCGGATATTATTCGGCCCTAATTCTCTCCAGGGCTTGGGATAGGACTACAATGCATATCAAGTACAAGCGAGTACATTCTCATCCAATGTGGAAGAATATACTGCAATGAGTAGGAGACTTTCATATCAAGGTACTGGAACTGGAATTGAATACTTTACCTGGACAAAGAAACACCAGCCACCAGCATCGCTAGCTCCGGACTAGATCCTTCGTCCCAGGCATATCACTATGGCTCAGAGAAATGGGTGCATATGCACCGGTCTTGGTTTGGGGACGCCATCGTAGGCAACGTACTCCGTACATCATGGTGAAAGCCAATGGGACCGAGGGGTTGATCAGACCAACACTGGTGAGGAAAAAGGACACAGCCCTCCACCAACCAGCAGTTGGAAGTGCAGTGGGAAAAAGTTTCCGTGAACACGGATTCTCCAACACGGGTTCTTTTGTGCGGGCTGCACGATAGGGTGTATGTGCCCAGCATCGGGCTTTGGCCCTAGTCTAATCACACGGCAAGTTGCATTTTGACCGCTTATTGAGGGTCTCCCAAGATGCATCCTATTAAGAAGGGCCAGAAGCGAGCGACGGTGGGTGGGGTGGACACGGATTGAATGTGGCCTTACGGAGTCCTCCTGCGCTTCCTTTTCACAAATTTGCAGATTCGTTGCCCCGCCGTGTTCGATGATCCCGCGCCATTGTTTTGGTTGAGGGTAGAACCCCGGCAAGCTTTCCTTGCATTGATCTGTGAGATTGGTTCCGGTTAGATGAATGGAATCCACTCTATGGCTTTGTGGCATGGAAGAGACAGGTTCAATAGGAACCGCACGTCGAAATAGTGGATATCCGTGGGCAAGGTCACCCTCGGACGTTGAGCCACATATATTGGTATTGAGACGTCACTCCACGGGCATCACGGATGGGTCTAGAATAAAATCGACCGTTTTATCATGGGTGACTCAGTCGAGGCTCCATTCTAGGCGGGAGGGGCAGTCCGTGGACCAGTGAGACAATCACAATGCGGGAGCAAGGTTTCGACAGCGCTTCCACAGTGCTGCAGAAAGGCAGTGAACCGATCTGCAGGCCCTGGACCGGTGAGCTGGGACCCGGTTACATCGCCGACGACATTGGAAGTATTCGTACTCCGTACTTCAGGTTTCAGATGATTCCACACCCGAAGCCGGAGAGGCCCTGTATTGGGTCCGGATATAATTTCCTTGAGATCAGCACATATTTGGAAAGCCTCAACCAGATTCCGTAGATTGCGGTGACGACAATTGCCCAGGTGGCTTTTTTAAGTTGGTAATTTTGGCGATGTTAGGGTTATCCCAATCCCTATGGAGTAGGCACTTGGTGGAGGTGTTGTGCATAGACCTTGGTGAATTATGGACGATCTGTATGCCCAGAAGCGTGCTCCCTGATTTGGATCATGGAATTGTTCGCCGACACCAATCAGACTCTGAGGGATCAATTTCCGGTTGATTTTGACTATTCGGCATATCTTCCAGGTTAGTGCATATGTCGCTCGGTGGAAGACTGGTAATTTATTCCATTACTAACGGGATCATGGATCGCGTCTGCGTGAAGGTTAGATGTGTTGCGAACTTCATACTAGTAGTATGTAGATATCCTCTCAGGGTTAGCTGGACAGAGTTGGAACTCGCATGCCAAATGTCCCAAACGAGCCATGACCGAATCCTTACATTCCTGCGTCACTGGATTGAGCCGGAATTGTTCAGTCCAACCCCGACCTTGCCTGGTCAGAATGGGGGTGAATGGGGATACTCGTCTGTACAGTACTAGTATGCCATAGTCCACGTTCGTGGCGGAGAGTTGTGGAGAGAATCGTGTCATTGGTGGCGACTTTTCGTCTATCAGGACAGATCTCATTCGAGCGGATAAACAATCCCGGCAGCAGCACCTCTACCTAAATCTACCTAGGTAGGTAGAGTTTAGGGAGAGTTGGTAGAAGGTGAGGTTTCGACACGCCCAAACCAAATATTCCACTTGAAGGGCCAGGTCACTCACACAGGTCAAATGACCCTCGACTCGAGTCGCAGTGTACAAAGTGCAATGTGGCAAAAAAAACAAGCCACAGCGGGGACGGACAGCAAGCTGAGTGGAGTCTGCATGGTCCAATCCATGCAGGTCTGCGTCCGCCAAGTGGATATGCGAGCGGCGACGCTTCCAGGGAGGTTAAAATACACAAAATGGACTCTGTTCGAGGGAATGGATCCAGATGAATTCTCCGGCGCCTCGTAACCTTGGAATAGAGTTCTGCAGGCGTTTGTCACGAGAAAATGGACAGAGCCGTCGATCCGGGCTCGACGATCATGAACAGGGAGTGAATCAAGGGCCAAATGGAGTATTCGATAGGCCAATCAGTGTCAGCCCTGGAGCAGAGGCGATCGAAACGTATCTTTAAAGTACCGAGTACAGTACATACACACTCCGTACACTGAGGGTGAACGAGGGCCTACCCGTCAGTCCGGATATATACTCCGCGCCAATGGAGTCAGAACGACGGCGAGTCTGCAATTCCTGCAACGCCTACCATTCGAGACATTATAGTCGAAGGAAGATCTACTAAATACCAGGAGTCAATCGTATATATAAGAAGCCAGTATCGGGTAGTAGAGGCAAGTGTATACATCGTACTGTATATAGTACATATCGTACATATCGTACATATAGTATACTCCGTACTCCGTACTGAGTAGGAAATCAGACCGGACATTACCAAATACCCCGGTCATTGCCCAGGTTGATAGCTCCTTTTTTCCCTTTTCTTCCCCACGCGATTATTCCTGTTTATTCCTTTTTCTCTTCTGGGCTTTTCTCTTTTCTTTTTTCACCCTTTTTGTTCATCGCCCCCACTTGGGTCCTTGCGGTCTTCTCATGTCGAGCCCACAGTGCAGATTTCTCGTACTGCATTGAACTAACGTGGCCCCGGCCCCTCTTGTATAATCTTTTCCATGCTCCGTTCGCGTTGGAGGTGCCTGGTTTGATTATGCTTTCAAATGGTGTCTGGTCATTGTTGGGTTTCTGATTTGTTTATTCTCCTTGGTCCAATTGCTCTGATTGCTTTGGTTGCCCCCGGTGTGCCTTGATATTCCTTCTCGTCCGATTAGATGAGTGAACCAACCCGAGGCTATCGGCCTCTCGCGCCGCGAACCCAGCTGCTCGGCGGAGGTGATGGCGGCGCGAGTCCCGGGGGGAGCGCCCCCGAGGAGAAGCGGATGAGGCGAGCCTCCACGGCCTGTACCGAGTGTCAACGGCGCCGCACCAGAGTACAGAGCCCCTCCTCCCTTCGGCGTCCACAATTAACTCTCTTAGTGCACCGGCCCTCCATACTGCACTGAATGTACAACCCACTCCCGTGAATGCGTGTTTGACGAAGCTTCCGACAGACGTCGCAAGGCCTCCGCCAAACGAACCCAGGACCAGCTGGAGAATTATCGGTCGTTCTTGGACGACCTCATTGGTCTACTTCGAGATAGCGACACGCGAACGGTGCAATTGATCGTGGACACCATTCGCTCGGGGGCCAGTCCAGAACATCTTCGCAATACCCTCACTCGCATCCTGGAGAATGACGTCGGTCAGCCCTCCAGCAACTCCGGCCCTCACGACCCCAACCTCATTCTGAACTACACCGACCCCAACGATGCCAAATATCACGATCAAGCCCCTCGTTGACACATACGCGGTTGACGCTGTGTATCCTTTTGAGCCTTTCCAACGTCGCCTCTGTGGTGATTAGCGTGTCCTTTAGAGCCATTCTCGTTTTACTCTTTTCTTGTGACTTGAAGCCAGGCCGCTGTCACAGCCCTGGCCGGTGCGCCGACTCAGTGTTGGTCGCTATGTCTCGAGACGTGCAGAGATGTCGCCAATAAACCCAAGTTTCTTCCTCTGTGCGGCGGCCCTAGCATTGTATTTCTTCCCCCTCCCTTTCTTCTCTTTTTTTTTCTTTTCTTTTTTCTTTTTTTTTTAAAAAAAAAAAATTATATATATATAGAGAGAGAGAGATTCGCTGAATCGCTCATATCCGACTCGGGATGTGCGGTACCTGAGTCAGGATCGTGATGAATTCGAATTCGTCCTACACACGAGAGACGTCTGGGAATGGCCTGGTTGATCTGGTCACTGTGCTGGGAGACCAGAACACGTCCAGTCTCAATCCCATCGAAAATCCGATGGGACACACATCCCAAGCCACGTTGGAACTATACCGGCTAGTGATCCTCGTTGGCGCGTTCATATCCCACGACAGTCAGACATCAGATGGCCTCTTTTGATCAGAACTTAATGTCGGTACTCGCTCTTGGACCGCAACCCTTTGTCTCGATATAGTAGGGCAAGTCGAGCATTTGGTTGTCCGGTCGTCCACATCTGCCCATGGCCTGAGCTATGTGTAGATACTCAGAGACATTGGAAGCATAGAAGAGTGTTTAGAATGTATGCTGGGGCTCGGGCCCATATACTCCTGTCCAGTGACTATGTATGAAGCTCAACGTCGATAGAGTGCCTGAGGCACGCGGAGATCAGTAGATTACCATCGTTGCCTTAGGCTATGCTTTCTGTGAATGACTTCTGTTCTCTCTGCATATCTCGATCATTGCCTTCCATTTCCTCGATCTCCGTGGTGGACCGATGCACATTGACACCTCGGGAGTACCCGAAATGCAACTGCTATTTATCCAGTCCTGACTCCTGAGCTCTTCCCGGACATCACATCCGATGCGCTCGTGCTCCGTAGTGAGTGGAAATCCGGGGAGGTGGAGGCATCCCCGCGCCGGAGAGTTGCCGAGATCACCTCCCTATCTCCCAACTCCCGGATATTTTTCCTCCCCATCAGCCTGCAATCCAAGTTGTGTACGGCTGTAACCTGAGTATCTGCACGGGTCGGCAAGTATCGCTCGGTCTGAGATGGAACCCACTAGACTTGCCGTGTCTCAGCCGATCTCAGGTGAAAAGGCTCCGGAATCACGCAAAAGAAAAGCGTCGGATGTATCCAATAAAGATACTACAATACCTCGACAGAAGATCACTCGAGCCTGTGATTCGTGCAAAGTCAAGAAGACGCGATGTACAGGCACCCTCCCATGTACAAGATGCACGCGACTGTCGCTTCCGTGCAAATACAACGCCGCCTATTCGCGGGGGCTCCCACCCGAGCCCTTACCGGCCTCATCCAGACATGCACCGGATGAGCGACGTGCATCCGACGCCGAGGGCGGGCGGAACCCGAGCAGCGGCCAGGATCCGACCAAGAATGGCGGTTTACTGACGAGACCGAACCCGCACCACGCTGCATCGGCGCGGACCTCGCCCGAGCCTGGATCAACGGACTTTGAAGGCAATTATCTCGGTCCTTCGTCGGGCGTGTCGTTTATTAATCGCGTCTGGAGCCGTCTGCATCAGGACGAGGCACATTATCCGGGTGAGCATCAGGATGAATCGTCGAACAAGAACACTGCCGTGTTCATGTTTGGCGATAAGCCTTATGCGCACTCGCAGGAAGCAGGCTTTATCCTGCCTTCTTTGGAGAGGGCTCTAGAGCTGGTAGGCATTTACTTTGATTTCTCTATGGTGACCTATCGCTTCATTCATCGAGGCAATGTTGAGTCGTGGACCAGACAGGTCTATGAGCAGGGGATCAGCCCCACCAACCTTCCTGCGGGTAATATGGTGGCTAGAACGGCCATAGTTCTCTTGCTATTTGCTGTGAGTACATTGTACGTGGAACTGAGCCCGGGTGGTCTGCCTGTCGGTCGAGGTGAAAGGTCAGTACGAGCAAGTCCAACCCACGTCACAGGGTGGTAGAAAACCACGACTGACAGACTGCAGTGAGCGTTGGTATGCCGCATCCACATACATGCTTTCCCTTGAGGTGGGCCCACCGCGATTGGAAACAATACAGGCTCGATTGTGTCAATGTCTGTATTTACTATCATCCTCGCGGGCGAATGAGTGCTGGTACTCATTCGGTACCACGACACAACTTGTGACGGCACTTGGACTGCACCGGAAACAGCGGGTTCAGCCGCCCAAGAGATGCTCGTATCTAGAATTGGAACTTCGAAAACGCACCTTCTGGAGCGTATATACCCTAGACAAATATCTAAGTATCATGTTTGGAAGACCTCGACTATTGCATGATGAGGATATTGACCAAGAGTTTCCCGACGTGACGAATGACGAGGATCTGCTAGAAGAAGATCCCACTCGACGAACCGGATCTACAGATAGCATGATGATTGCCTCTGTTCTTCATTATCGGTGAGTTCGCACCCTGACCCCAAGCGATTCAAGTGCATCACCATCTCAGACCAAGGTTTCAGACTCGGTCGAATTCTCGGGGATATCTCACGCCAGCTGTACAGCATCTACACCATATCTCGAGACTCGCCCCTCGATACAGCCGTCAGATTAACATCCGAGCTGGAGAAATGGAAACAGACAGTCCCGCCCCTGTTTAACAGTGTCCGCCCATCTAGCCTGATTCCGCCCCTCTGTCGCCAAAGCCAAGTTCTTCAACTCGCATACTCACACGCCATGATCCATGTCACGCGCTCATTCCTCCTAAGCGACTTTACAGATCTAGGCCGCCGACCCAAAATTCCGCATCCAATGGTCAGCTCATCCGTTCAGAAATGCATCCAAGCCGCCGAAGACATCATGACCATCATCGATGACCTTGCTCAACAAAACGTGCTCATCCAATCTTTCTGGTTTACGCACTATGTATGCTTCTGCGCCATCCTAGTCGTTTACATTTACACAATCCAACAGCATCGGAAGTCAACAGGGACATCAAGTTCAATATCTGTATCGTCCGCCGGAAGTCCAGGAGACCCAGATAAGCTACGATCCCTATTCTCACTAGCCGAAACCTGCCAGCGGCATCTTGCCGAAGCCACGCGGAAAAACTGTCCCAGTCGGCGGTATGGAATCATCCTCGAGGAATTGAGACAGGAAGTTCATCGGCAGGCTGGGTCGGCTGATTTTGGGATCGAAACGTCCCATTCTATCCAGGACCAGGACTTCCACTTCCCCGACTCCAATTATGCTGCTCGGCCAGTTGCATCAGAGGTTCCGGTGGAGTCCATGCACGCAGCCGAAATAGAGTTTGGCACGGGGGATGATCTTGGCTTTCTTGAGAGTCTTGAAGGGTCCGCTTGGTGGGCTCAACTTGATTCGTGGGTGAGTTTGGAAGTTGGGATTCGATTCGTATTGTTGCTCATCTCTTTCTAGGCTTTGTCTAATCTTCCTAATGATCCTTCGACGTTCAATTTCTAAGACGGGATCATATAGCATGCATCAAGTTTCTATCTGGGAGTGAAGAGTTTGATACACTTTCGAAATGACTGTATTGGAATTATCACAAGTACGGGCGGCTCAAACCTTGAATAACTCTAAACCCATCTACTCCCGAGATCTGCACGCGTTGGACTGTCGTAATCTTGAAATACAAGGCAGGGGCTAGAACATCGACTTGCCATCTAGATTTAAATTCCCAATTGAGGCTGGAGTCGAAATTGAAATTCCCATGCGTTTGCGTTGGGTACTTACATGTGTTTGGTTCTCTACTTAGGGTTCGGCAGATCGCACATCTACTTCCAAGGTTTGCACGAGGTACATTTGTTTCAATCCTTCACTGAAAACAAACATCGACCGGAATCATGAATAATGGGGTCCTTCCAGCCAATATCGCCGCAGCTGATTTGTGGAATGAGATCGGCTATTTAAGCCACGCTTGCAAGAAATTCTCATCCAGGCCGTGAGAGAGCTATTGGTTCCCACACCATCCGGCCGAATATTCGGACATTCATGAAGGGCTTTTTCTCCACCAAGACTGGATGGAGGATGACTTGGGTGCTTCCCTGTATCTAATATTGAATATCCCAAAACGTTCTAGTTCAATACGGTGGCGATGTCACGATTAACGGCAGCTCGTTCTTAATTTGATGTAATGTGTATACTCGAGTATAACCTTGGACATATCTGCAGCGGTAGGTACACATGTACCTAAGTAAGAACATTTCAAGTGCAAGTGCAGATATCCCTTGGGTTTCAGCTTGCTACCTACCTACCTAGGTACCTAGGTAGGTAATGGCTGCCCGTTGGGATGTCACGTTACCAACGTGCTTGCCCTAAGATGCGACTGCCTGGCATCCCGAGGTCTGTCCAAACTCCTCGCTTTCACTTCATCTCATCGTATTGTTAGGTTGTCGGCCCCAATTCACTCTTTGGATCAATAAAATGATCCCCCGCGCCGAAACCCAACGAAGTCGTTTCAATCTCTGGGTCCCGACTAAAGCTGTGTCCGAGAATCCGACTGGCCCTCCCGCTGGTTCTGGCACGTCAGGAAGTCCAACATCGGGTTTGAGCGCTCCAGAATCGAGAAGGAGCCGAATCAGGGTCCGTCTTTCTCGAAGTGGCTCTCGCATTCTTTTGCTTCTCGGACTGCGTGGGTCAAAGAGTAAGTAGCGATGATTGTATTCGGGGTCCGCCTCGCTGAGTTTCCACCATAGGTGACAAAGGTTTGGACATCGATACTGATTCCTCGAACTCCATCCAAGCTGGCGTCAAGAGTACACAGAGCTCCCCTCCATCTCCGGATGGTAATTGTGATGGTAGTCCGGAATATCTAACCACAGCCGAGTCCCCCCAGAGTGAACCGTTGCCTGTCACTCCTTCTTTCAATACCCTCAACGAGACGGCAGAGTCGCTTTCCGAGCCATTGCCTATTCTGCAACCGTTGTCTGAAGTTCCGGCTGATCCAACGACCGAAGATACTTTGCAGCAGAATACCACAAGTGAATCTCAAGCACCACCTCTCACTGGGCAAACGAGTCCAATTAACTCCAAATTCGTCGATCGCTTTTCACACAAGATCTCGCTAGCTTTTGGTCAACCCACTGTCATTCGCCGTACTAATCTTCGCTCCCGACCCAGTATCCTTCGCGGCAATCTACCAGGGGAAGATAGAGGCAATCAAGCCGATGGAGCGGATGAAAGTTCCTCACCCTCAACTTCACCCAGCGGCAGTGGCTCTCCGATTGGCAGACACTCGACCCCTCTGGAGACCAGTATATCATCCCCATCGTCGGATAAATCCAAGACATCTGACGAGCAAAAGCAATTTACAGCAGTGACTACGTGGCCGTCGATTCCCGAGGTCATTGAAAATGACGCGGACCATCCGTTGGACACAAAAGACGAAACCGTTGCACCATCAATTAAAACGGTAGAGGCAACGGCTGTCGCCAAGGTATACTTAGAGCTGCACTTCAATTCAATTTTCAACGACGAGGATTCGCGACAGCAGCGTCAGCTGGAGCTGCAGCGGCAGTTATGCTCGTTCGAACTTACCCCCGAGGAATGCTTGTTGACAATGCACAACTGGCTTCTACGGGAGAATGACCATCTTCGACAATGCCGGGTTCTGAGATCGAACAGAAAGAGGGCGCAAAGTGAAGAGACTATCTCTCGTGCCGGATACAAGTCTATCAAGTTGCTTGGGAAAGGGAGCTTTGGTGTTGTGCGCCTGGTCAGAAAAGTTGATGGCGTGCCATGGGTAACCGAAGATGACAATTGCTCGCATGCCAACGGAGCTACCAGTGCCAACAGCCGGTACAGGTCTCTAGGGATTTTGAAGAACGCCGTGGAGGGAGCCAGACAGACCCGTCGGAGATACATGACAGGCGAAAAGAAAGAGTTTTACGCCATGAAAGTCATCAAAAAAGCTGGAATGATCCGCAACTCTCAAGAAGGTCATATTCGGGCTGAGCGAGACTTCCTTGTTGCATCCGAAAGCTCTCGTTGGGTTGTTCCATTGATCGCCAGCTTCCAGGACACCAACAACCTCTACCTTGTGATGGATTACATGGTAGGTGGAGACTTCTTAAGCTTCCTGATTCGCAAGGACACCCTCCGCGAGGACTGGGCGCGGTTCTATGTCGCTGAGATGGTCTTATGCATTGAGGAGGCCCATCGGCTTTTCTGGATCCATCGCGACGTCAAGCCTGACAACTTCCTCATTTCAGCCTCGGGGCATCTAAAAATCTCCGACTTCGGTCTGTCTTTCAACGGCCACTGGTCTCATGATCAAGATTATTATAACGTTCACCGCTATTCTCTGTTGCAGAAGCTTGGTATTGAGGTCAAAGGGGATGCCGAGGACCAGAGGCTTGCTTCTACGCCGAAAGATATCTTTGAAAACAACTTGCCGTCTATGAATGACGAGGCTTCTCTTGAACCACCTAATGCGGATCTGCTAGACTGGCGGGAAAACTATGGAAGACGCAGGTTTGCTAAGAGTGTGGTTGGAACCAGTCAGTACATGGCCCCCGAGGTCATTCGAGGTGAAATGTATGATGGCCGATGTGACTGGTGGAGTTTGGGAATAATTCTGTATGAGGTATGCATGTTCAGCTCATGGCCAACAACGAACAAGTACTGATATCAACCTAGTGCCTGTACGGGTTTACACCATTCGGCTGCGAAAGCCGGCATGACACAAAGGCCAAAATCCTCGTGGGTGCCTCTGATGATTGCTGACTCTCTTCAAATTCTAACATCCATACAGGAACACGCAGACCATTTGAAATTCCCTCGGGAAAGGTCATCGGACAAGATGATCTCTGCCGATGCTCTAGACCTCATTCTCAGGATTCTTACAGAGCGCGAGTCTCGTCTGTGCTCCCCAAAATACAGGGCAAATGACATTCTCATAGGACGTCAAGTCTCCAAACATTTTCTCTACTCGATGGACACGCGGTACAAGAATGTTGCAAGCTACTACGTATATGCGAACGACGCCACAGACATCAAGATCCATCCCTTCTTCAGAGGGATTCGATGGCAAGACCTACACCTGTGTCAGCCACCCATGGTTCCTAGAGTAAGGAGCTGGCAAGACACCCGGTATTTTGATGAGTGGAAGCTAGCCGACAAAGCCGAAGATGTCGCTAGTGACTCGGAAGAAAAAGCGTGCCATCTCGACAAGCAGTCTGGATATGCTTCTATTAACCCACCAGACCCGACGGGAAATGCTCTCCCTGAATCTCAAGCTGTCAAAGCTACCCCCAATCCAGCACCGGGGCAGGCGAATTCTGTGCGGAAAAAAGAGAAGAAACGGCCTCGTGACAAAATCCTTCGAGACGAAGAGCTGAGCAAGACAGTCTTGGATATTCGCAAAGCTGGAGCTTTCTTGGGATATACATACCGGCGACCTAATGAGGTTGCTTTGGCTTTTGGCTCGGAAAGAGGTCGTCAGCGTGCTCCTCGCGGCGATTTGACAAGCCTTTTTGCTACGTGATTGCTCAAAGAGTGTTGCTTTGAATCATTGTTTTCGATTCTGTGTGCAGTCGTTCAGCTGTGAGTGGTTTTCGTTCGATTCAGACATTGCCGTCTTTTCAATGACCGAAACTTATCCATATAGTCTTTTTTCGCGGTTTGATTCCCTCGTGGATGATTGTTCACCCTCCTTGTACCATTATCTGTACTTCCTCTCTGCTTCCTAGAATCAAACCTATCTACAATGCTCTTTGGGCTTCTTCTCACATGCATTAGGCATGCTTCCGAGGTTAGGACCAGTGCTCTCACGTAGCAGTTCTCAAGCAAGAGCTGCCCAGATGAGGCTCTACGTGTCACTCGGACGAATAGATTGGTTGTGTCGACTTTACGGAAGCAAACATGTCATTATAGAATTGATTGTACTCGATTAAACCTCATCGAAGTTGGATGCCCATGGGCTAAGAATAGGTGACAAAGGACAACCGTATGAAAACGCACTTCACCTGTCATGGACTCACACCAGCAGGGACAGATATCGGGCATTGAAATGAATTTCTAAACAAGCAAGATTTTGGAAGGGGTATCAAGTTCGGAGCATATTGTGAAATAGATGATGTTCAAGGACAAGCGGAGCTGGGGGGAACCAAGATCACAGAACTGGGGCGCTCATAGAGAACGCCGAGTCCGTGACACGATCCTCGGGTTTCATAGTGCCGTTCAGCAAAGGACAAAGCTTCTTGTTGGTCTTGATATGTCCCACTTGGCCACAGTTGGCACATTTGCGCTGAGTACCGGCAGGCTTGCCATCTGGATCGCCGGCACGAGGAATACCCTTCTGCTTCTCTCGGGCAAAGCGGCGCTCCTTGTTGCGGTTGAGACGACTGAGTTCGGCCTCGATGAGTTTTCTGTTGCGGGCGTCGACTTCGGCGTCGCCGGTTGGCTGGAGTGATTCCAGTTTTGTGTGCATGGCTTCGTGGGTGTGTCGATGTTGGATGTATTGTCTGATGACACGGGGATCCCAGACCAGCTGTTCTTTTTCCACGATTTCGCCATTGTCGAGCTTGACTTGGCGGGTGATGCGCAATACTTTGCCGCGCTGGCTGTTGAAACTCATCTTACTGAATTGACTGGTTGTCTCGTCATCGCGACGGTATGGGCCTGGCGTGGGGGCTTCGGAACGTGGCGTCGGCTTGTTGAATTGTTCTTGGTAATCGTCTTCTTGGTCTATGTCGCTCTCCTGGTCTGAGTGCTCGATGGTAGAGGACAAGCTTTCCTTTTGGGCATCCCAGATACGGCGAATGGAGGTTTCGTAGGACTTTTGCTGTCGGGCAACGTTGTAGCTGTGGCCGCCGAGCTCTTTCAGTCGCTGTGCGTCGAGTTTATCCTCAACACTTTCACCAATAGCCTTGAATCCACCCTTCATGCTTGTCTTGATGAAATTGTAACCCTCGCCGCGGCCAGTGGGGTCTCCTTCGCCATGGAGTTTCAGCATAGCTTTTCCTTGGGATGCCAGCAGGAAATTGCGAGTTGCTTTCCAGGGGGCCATTTGCTGTTCAAAGCTCTCGAATTCTTCATCTTCATCGTTGTCACCACCAGTCTCGGCGTCATTGCCATATCCAGTGTCATGGAGGTGTTGCTGGCCAACTTGCATGGACTCGAGAAGACAAACATCCTCGGGCTGAACCCAAGACCGGATGGTATCCTGGTCTGGAAGGGTCGGGTCCAGCGGCTTCCAGTATTTAGTGTCTTTGTCGTGCTGTAGGAAATCTTTGACTTTCTGTCGGTTTTGCATATCTGTGGTGTTGGGGATATGGGCTGTAACATCACTGATTGCAAGTCGTTCGTCCGGACTCTTCTTCAACAAACGGTATACCAACATCTTCATGCGATTCTTTGCAACAGTAGTCACCTTGCGTGAATGTGGTCCAGGAATATCAACAGAGGGGAATTGCTGTCCAGCAACGAAGAAGTTCTCGATGTTGCGCAGGTAATAAGTACTGCCGCCAACACCGGTAGTGCTGCGGACCACGAGGAAGTCTGTGCTCTTGTTTTGGTGAGGATACAGCGGTGCCCGGTACATGGAGTTGGATATCGCCGGGGAGATCTCGCCAGGATCAACGTGGCCGAAAATTGAATAGGGACTCTTGTCTTGGGGCAGGAGAACCGCTGTTTCACCAATCTCTGCTCTTGGGCGAGTAGGATCGTCAATGTTCTTGCGCCTGTAGTAATTGATGAAACGGTTGCACATTCCGAAGTTTGCTAGTGTCATGGGAACCTCTTCCGAGTATTCCACTAGCAAGACATGGGAGTTGTCTCCCATCGACAGGGATTGAGTAGAGTCATAGACACTCTTGGCGTCCCGTCCGCGTAGTTGCTTGCGCTTGACATGAAGAGGATTCTTGAACCACGAAGTTTGTCCGGGGCGGAATGACATGGTGGGTCGGTGGAAAGATCTCGCTTCGGACTTGCCTAACTCGGTCTTGTAGTAAGGCCACTGAAGACGTAGAGCTGGAAGAGCGTGCTCGAGTGTCACGTTGCCAAGAGTGCTACGAATCTTGTTCTGGTGGTTCTGCTTGAGCATGTCGTATGCTTGATCGTTCGAGATGTTGTATCGCTGGGTGAGACGACGGGTCAGGTTCAGGTCCACTTCGTCCCTGGTACGAGGAGCGGCGTGTTTGGGCTTGTTGGCGATGGCATCTGCTCTTGATTCATCCACAAGAATGTTGGGGTCGTTGAGATCGATGGTGACTCTTTTAGCAATCTTCATCGTTGCTTGTTCAGGGTCATCCAATAGCGGGATATCGATATGTGACAACGCAATGACATCCATGGGGGTTGGTCCGGTCTTCCGCTTTTTATTGGGAGCCTCAGCTTCCATGAGCCAATCTTCATCATCGTCAACAGCAAGCCCGTCCTTGTTCTGCGATTGGGGCTGTTCATCGATATCCGTAACGGAAAGATCATCTTTGACGTCCCAGTTCACGCAAATGGTACGAAGATCTTGCATAGTGAAGCCACCAGGAAGTGTTTCGTCGTCATCCAGATCACCATCTCCCAATTCGGTATCCTCGTTTGTGTCCGCCTCCTCGTCCTCGCGAGGTGATTGCGAGATCATTACGATGCCGAGCGATTCGTGATCCAAGCCACGCTTGAGGGGCTGGCCGGTTCTGAACGTTCGCTCTTGATCAGGCGCAAGTTCGATGTTGACCTTTGTGGGAAGAACGGGCTTGGGCGGTTTGGTGGGTTGTTTTCCAAAGAATATGGCCCTTTTGTGCGGGATCAATTCCAACCAACGTGGAAGAGTATTGCGGTCAAACTGAGGGAACAGAGAGTGCAGTAGTTCTTCGTGGTTCTCTGGTGGCGCCGGTGGGTTTTCTGGGCCGGACATTGCGAAAAGAGCCTGTTGGAGTTTCCATGCGCGAAGTTCATTGGGGTTCATACTGTCGGACATGATACTGTCATCATCTGGGAAGTCATCCTCGTCGGCCGGTATGGGTTGTGGCTGTGGCTCAGGCGCCGGTGGAAGAAGCGGGAGGTCGACGGGTTGTTCTGTCAAAGGCATTTCTTCATCTTCGAAGAGGCCCTTGGTAGGGTCATCCTGACCAGCAGGAGGCGGCGAAAACGAGCCTTCACCGAAGAGGTCATCGAGGTTGTCGTCCTGGGGCTGAGCCGCTTCACCCTGGTCGCCGAAAAGATCATCCCCGTTTCCAAATAGTGCGGCATCGTCTGAGCCCAGGTTCGCGAAAGGGTCTTGACCGCCATCATCCACAGCAGGCAGGGCCGGAGCCGGTGCTCCCAGCATCTCTTCCTCTGGCAGGTCATCATCCTCGAAGTCCTCGTAGTCGATGGCGTCGTCCGCTTTCTCCCCGACGTCCAGGTCCCGGTCCAAGAAGTCCATGTTGGCATTGCTCTCGAAATTGTTCAGCTGGCGCATCACATCGTCAAAGTCGGTGTCAGCCTCGGCCTCCCCGGCCTTGGAGGTTGCGTGAGGCATGGTGGGCGGTTTGGATGGAGCCAGAGTGTCGGTATGCTGTGTATTACGGTGTCAGGTTATTGAGGATAAAGCGGGTTGTTTCGTGTGATGCGTGCGATGCGTGGGATGCGGTTGGAGAATGGGAAAAGTCTCGGGTTTTGGCGATAAAGGCTGAGACGCGGGCCGGGAGGGCGACGCGGGTTACCACAGGCGCATCGGTGTCAGAGAGAAAGGCGTCGCAAAGGGCTCGCGGAATGGCATGGATGTACGGAGTACGGAGTAGAGAAAACGGGTTCAAGGATAATGCGCGAGGGACGTATCGCACTAACCGGAAATGGCAATCAGCTGCCTGATCATCAATATCTATTGATTGATTGGTATGATGAATAGAGAAAAGCGAATCAATACTGAATAATAGAATGGGATTAAAGAACAATTGAATACAATTGAAAGATTATTATTGAGAGAGTCGTGCCACGTCAAAGTCCCCGTAGAATATGCACAGTGCCTTACTTGCCCCCTCCATACAATAGTGCATCACCATATTCTGTTTCCCCTCAGGAATGAGCTTGGCTATTTGCTTCAAATTTGATGTCCTGGGGATGAAGAGAACCATGTGCTGGCTGAAGACCGAGTATTCATCGTACAGTCTTTGTAGTGAGTATGGCTCCATGGTCTTCATGTTAAACACTTGATCTGAGCGATATCCTGGGCCTGAGATTGTTAGCTGAGACCTTCCAAAGAAAGGACTGGGGTGATCTCACCTCCCCAGGGTGGGCTGGAAAAAATGACACTGTAAGGTGCCAGGTCTTTTAACTCCTTTTTGAGAATCTCAAAGCAGTCGCCTTCGAACCAAGTGATCCTGTCCTGAACCCCGTAGATTTTGGCATTGTGCTTTGCGCACTTGAGCACGGCAGGATTCTTCTCAATGGCATAGATGCGCTTCCATTTGCCGGTCAATGCAAATGCGATTGTGTTCCCACCTGCGCCAGCGAACGTATCTACCAGAATCATGCGCCCAGCAGGTGCCGAATCTGCCATCTGGGCAGCGATTTTGCTAGAAATTAAATCAGCATCACGAAGGAAGCGAGAGTGTTTGCAAAGTCACATACTTGGCAACAGGCTCGGGTGTGACTCCAAACCAAGCATCATCAGTCAACCAGATACCTTGGTCATACTTGGAAAATATTTGATAGCGTTGTGCCCAGTAGCTGTCAAGGTTAGCTTTGAGCTTGCTGATAGCTTGAGACTCTTACTTCTGGATGTCCCATGGGACCTCTTGAAGGCTGCTGTAATGATGCACCTCAGGAGGCGCTTCTTCTTCTGCCATGATGCAGTTTCGCGATAAGTCGAGATGATTGATTCTCGATAAGTGATAAAGATGAGGTGTTTGCACTGTTTGCACCGCGGCCGGGCCAGCTCATGCCCCGTCAATACAACACAGCTTCTAGTGCAACTGGCTCCGACGTTCACCTCGGCTCATTCTGTGATCATATTTGAGTGTCATGTTCGGCGCATTAAATCGTTTCATCGGCCGCCTGGACGGGGAGCCAGGTCAGCAGCCTCGATCTGGTCCCAGCGACAACGCTTTTGGCTTCCAAGTCCTCCGCAATAAGGACCCCGATCTGCCTTTGGAGCCATGGTTTGACTTTATTGTGGGAATCAATGGACACACTATAGTAAGTCTTGGGTCTACATATGCTTCTTGTTTCCATAATACAGCTGACACCTGCCTACAGGAAGACCCAGATCCCAACCTCTTTGCGACAGAATGCCGCAATTGCGCTGGAGGAAGCTTGACGCTTGAAGTGTGGAGTGCGAAGGTGATACTCCCCGCGTTGTTACTGTCTTCCAGCTTGAAAGCTAATATCAACACAGGGTCAACGAACACATACTGTGACCTATGCGGTACCACCAACAAACCCCTCCCTTGGCCTCGCATTGCAGCTTGCTCCACTGGCTTCGACACAGAACATATGGCACGTCATTGCAGTACCATCACCGCTAAGCCCAGCATACCGAGCCGGTCTGCTACCATACTCAGATTATATCATTGGAACCCCCAGTGGGACATTAAGAGGGGAGGCGGCACTGGGAGAGCTGGTGGAAGATCATCTCAACCGCACGCTGGTACTGTGGGTCTACAATAGCGAATTCGACGTGGTTCGTGAGGTCGAGCTCATTCCGACCAGAGGTTGGGGCGGTGAAGGTGCCCTTGGTGCCGAACTTGGATTTGGTGCCTTGCACCGGCTGCCGCTCGGACTGGGAGAGGAGGTCGAAGGACCCGGTGAGGTGGTTTTCGAAACACGCGACAGCAACAGCCCTGCGCCGGTGAATGATACTGCAAGCTCCGTGCCAGGGGTGCCACCTCCTTCTAACAACTACTTGATCCCCGCCAATCTAACGGCGCCGCCACCTCTGGCCGCCGCTCAACGCGTTGCCTCACCGTCACAAAGTAGGTCTCCTGCGGGCCGCCGTGCAGGAAAGTCACGACCGGGTGTCTCCCCCAATCGGGCATTCGATGACTATTTTGCCGAAGGTGAAGAGAAGAGTCGGGCGCAGGATTATGCACCCTCACGACATGGCACTCCTCTGCCTCCCCCGCCAAAGGCAGGAGCAACACCAAATCACTTGGAGAGCCCTGCAACTGCACCCGAGGCACCTGAGGGATCTCCTGGGCCTACCCAAGAGGAATGATCAACATGAGTTTGGAATCAATTTAATGTAGAGTACGACGAAAGCCAAAGATACCGATCATCGCAAGCCCACAAGCTACAAACAATGTTCGGAATACCTTTTCAGCGGTAACAAAAGAAATCAATTTAACTGTAGAGTACCCCAACGTCGAACTGATACCCAGGCATTGATCATTTGGGGTCGAAACCATAGACAAGCACACGTTTCTAGGGCTTTGTGCCTAGCATTTTATGACCAAACAATGGGAAACAAAAGAAACCAATCCGGTTATGTCTTCGGATATAAGAGTTCTAGGCGTACATATGCAACAAATCAAACCCGCTCTATAGCCCAAATACGGGTCTAATTCAGTGGCCCTTGCTGACCAGCTCCTCCAGCTTCTTACGGGTGTCACCGATCTTCTCCTCCATCATCTGGCGTGCCATTGCGCTGTGCGCAAGTCCAGTGTACCAGATGTGCTCTGCGCGCTCACGGGCAGCCAAGTGCTGGTCCGCAACGGCGGGGACCTTCTTCTCGTACTCCCACACCAGGTCGCCAACGTTGCGCATCGTCACGGGCAGAAGGCTGTAGGCGGCAGCGGTACCGAATGCGAGTGGGGACGCACTGCGGAGGAAGATACCGCGGTTGCGCGAAACGATGGAGCCGGCCATGGCAGCCACAACGACGTAGACACCACCGGGGAGAAGGCGCTCACCGGATTCGGGGGAGGGTGCGAGAGACGCGACGGTGTTGGTGAAGCAGTTTTCAATGTTAAGCGCCTTGGAGAGGAACTTGTTGAAGCCCTGCTCGGCGGAAAGAGAGTGTGAGTAGAGGAAGAGGCGGGCTTTTCGGACCTGTGCGGTCAGGATGTCTGTCGGGGTGGGCGAAGAGGGGGCTTGTTGCGCGGCCGGTGCGGAGACCAGCTTGGGGGCTTCGATGGCCGCGGGAGCAGCAACGGCCGCAGCGACGGGCGCGGCAGGCTTGGAGGGTTCGGGGAGATCGGCAGGGAAGTCATCGTAGATAGGTTTGCGCTATATTAGGGAAGTAATCGTGCGTTAGATCGGGGCTGCTGGAGCTTTGATAGAGCTGGGTTCGGATTTCTTCATACGTTGTCTCGGGACCCTTCAGCAAATGCCGTCTGCTTGGGGTACAAAGCAATGCCTCCTGCGAGGAGAGTGGCTGCGATCGGAGCCACAGCCCGCTAGGAACGAGTCAGCGTAGAACGGGCATTTGATGATCAATTGCATCCAGATAAGTTGGAAGCATATTAAGGCCGGCTGCGTACCTGGTGCAACATCGGCCGGAAGGACATCCTGGGGGTGTGAGGGGGGAGGAGTGGGTGAGCTGGTAGTGAGAATGAAGCAAAGTCGTGTTGGAGCAGGACGGGAATTCTTCGGCTCGGCGGAACCTCCAGAAAACTCCGTCATTGCCCGTTCTCCTCGAACAACTGTATACTGCTTTGATCTAATGTGATCTTTTCTCATGTTCTGTATCTGTCTTTAATACGGTCCATACAATGCTTCGCCCTTCGCGACGAACGTGGGCGTGTCGCAAATGGCTGCACCCGCGATACCAGAGCCGGGCCCTCGCGAGCGCCGCATCGCCCTCACCCTCGTCGTTCGAATATATTCCCGCAAACCACAGTGCACCACGCAAAACCGACGATGATAAGACTTTGCGGAGCGTATTCGACTCACAGCCGTTTTGGAATGAGTTCTCCCAGCAGCGCTCTGCGGCCCCTAGACGGGCTGGGCTAGTCCAGAACCAATACCTGGCGAGCCCCGAAGGCTTCATGACATTTGCAAATGTCTCGCTACAAAGGTGTCAGGCTATTGTTGCCAAAGTCCTCGCTGCCTCGACGGTGGAAGAATACAGGGCCCTGGCACGGGACCTTGACCGGCTCAGCGATCTTTTGTGTCGCGTTATCGACCTATCGGACTTTATTCGAACGATTCATCCGGAGCCTCGGATACAAGAAGCAGCCACGCAGGCGTGGGCTCTCATGTTTGAGTACATGAACGTTTTGAACACGACGACAGGGCTGCATGAACAGCTCAATAAGGCCCTGAACAACCCCGATGTGACATCACACTGGACTGAGGGCGAGACAATCGTGGCTCAAATCCTCAACAAAGATTTCTCTAACTCTGCAATCCATATGCCCCCAAATGTACGACAGCGTTTCGTGAATTTGTCCAACGATGTGAGTCAGTTGGGTTCTGATTTCATGAACGGCGCGGAGCCCGCTCGGTCCCAGGTCACATTCCCTGCGAACGCTCTCCAGGGATTGGATCCGATTGTTGTCTCTAAAATCAAGAGATGGAACAAGAAAGCACCAGTCCCTACTATGGGAATCGTTCCTCGGCTCGCCCTGCGCTCAGTCCATGATGAGAACGTTCGCAAGGAAATATATCTCGCAACTCGCACCTCTGGCAAGCGCCAACTTGAAAGACTAGAAGAGCTTCTGGCTAAGAGGGCAGAGCTTGCACAGCTGACAGGCTACAGTAGCTTCGCGCACATGACACTAGGTGACAAAATGGCGAAGACACCTGAAGCAGTGTCGAACTTCTTGACCTCGCTTATCTCCAGTAACCAGGGACCAGTTCGCGAAGAATTGTCTAAGCTTCAATCTTTGAAGGGTGGTGCGGCTTTGCAGCCTTGGGATCATGCATACTACGTCCATAAACGTGTTCTGGAGTATACCCAAGCCCGGCGCTCTCGTCACTCGGGTGTTATCAATGAGTACTTCTCTTTAGGCACAGTCATGCAGGGTCTTTCTAGACTGTTTGACCGCCTCTATGGCGTCCGTCTTGTGCCACACGAAGCCTCTCCCGGCGAAACCTGGCATCCAGATGTCCGTCGATTGGACGTGGTGGACGAATCCGAAAGACACATTGCTGTCGTCTACTGTGACTTATTTACACGTCCTAGCAAGCACCCCAACCCGGCTCACTTTACTCTGCGCTGCTCCCGTGAGATCTCTGCCGAGGAGGTCGCTGAGTGCGCCTCGATGAACCAATCCGCACACCCGAACGACGGCATGGCCACCGGTGTTGATCCACAGACCAAAACCTTGCGCCAGCTGCCCACGATCGCTCTCGTGTGTGACTTCCAAGAGCCTCAGGCTAGTGGTAGTGGCCAGCCAACACTACTCAACGAGCAGAGCGTTCGCACTCTATTCCACGAGATGGGCCATGCGGTCCACTCGATTCTCGGCCAAACGCCTCTCCAGTCAATTTCTGGAACCCGGTGCGCCACGGACTTCGCCGAACTTCCTTCCGTGTTGATGGAGAGTTTCGCGACTGCGCCAGAAGTTTTATCTCTGTACGCGCGTCACTGGAGAACCGACGAGCCCCTATCAGAGAGTATGATGCGCAGCATGGAGCTTGATCGCACCGCCCACGGCTCTATCTACGGCGCTGTCGAGAACGAAGCGCAAATCCTGATGGCGCTCGTTGACCAGGCCTACCACACTATTCCTGCTGAAATCAGCTCGGCTGGGATTGACTCCACTGACATCTACCACCGAGTGTTCTCTCAGCACTCCAGTCTCCCTGATCCCGCCAATGTCCAACCTCGCACCTCGTGGCAGGGCTTTTTCGGACACCTGTACGGCTACGGTGCTACATACTACAGCTACATCTTTGACCGTGCGATTGCCAATAAACTCTGGCAGGATGTCTTCCAGTCCGGTCAGGCAGCCACTGATCGCGCCGCCGGCGAGCGATACAAGAACGAAGTCCTCCGCTGGGGTGGTGGTCGTAATGGCTGGCAGTGTGTGGCCGGAGTGCTGGGCAGCAGTAACCCCTCCAATGCCAATGGGCGTCTGGCTGAAGGCGGCGACGAAGGCATGCGGGAGGTTGGTCGCTGGGGCCTCGGGCGCGAGGGCATGTCTGGTTAATGTGACCTTGTATTTTTACTGGATGTTATTCATATTCCAAGGCCCTGTAAATAAAGACACTTTCACGATCTCACTTGATCCTCTGATCAATTTAATTAACCTTCTTGTGGCTTTGGAGCGGACTCACCGTGGACAAACGAGTCCTTAATACGTCCGTGTGCAGGGATCCTGGGGCACATGTAATTCCACATACTCGGCATGTCCAATAGGACTGTGCCTAGCCTTGTCCAGTGATCTCCGGTGCGCATTGGATGTAATGTCTGAGACTAACTGCTAAGAGGCGCCACCGGTTGATGGCGGGGTGACTAGAATGTCTCACTGCCCCTTTGTCCGTAGACTTGCCAACCCCAAAGATCATGACAGTCCAGCCATTTTTGTAGAGTTTTGTCATGACTACTGCGTGGTAATCGTATGCACTTTCAACAGGTTTACAGTCCGAACCCACTCTCTCTGCCAGACAACCCTATCACAAACTGCGGCACGACCTCTGACGTGCCTCCTACAACACCGTGCATGGTGGCTTGCTTAGCGGTACCCCGACCCCCTCCGATGAAGAGAAACAGGAATGGTGCGAACTGGTCTCAGGAGCTTGCGGAACGCCCAGGGCACATGCTCTCTTTCTTTGTGTACTTATGTACGGAGTTCTTGAGGTAGTATGCCGAAATGATAAATAAGTTGAAGAATCGGCCTGTTGATCTTCAAGAATCCGAAGCATCTAGGCCCTTATCTGGAGGGTAACAATACTTGTTTTAAGCACTGTGCTAGTTATATGTGCCGGCCCATGTGCATCTTCACGGAGATTCCATTTTCAACCGTCGACTGTTTGATCGTGAATAATTTATTGGCAACCGGCCCCCTCGACGATCGTGAATCTTTCATGCTACACTCGATCTGTGTGACATCATATCTATTGGATCCAACATGCCCAACGTCCACATCGTGAACGACGATGCTTCCTTCGCCTCGGGTGATACTTTCTCCACTCAAGACTCAGCAGAGCCAGCACCTCAGCTCTCTCGGCGAAACACCGTCTCCCAACTCACAAGGAAAGTTTCAAAAAGAATATCCCAGTCGATCTTGGGTGGGGGCCAACATCATGATCTAAGTGAGAAGAACCTGAAGGCTCTGGAGAACACGACTGTCTCAGATCGATACAATCCGCACTCGCCGGATCGCCAATTCTATGATATCAAACTACAGGACGCTATCCATGAAGATGTAGAAGAGGATTTCCCCAGCATCGACATGGAAGCACAAAGAGAAGCCCGTCTTCACGAGTCCTACGCCATCTTCTGTCAAAGCTTCACAATGTCCGGGCCAACGAGGACGAGCAGACAATTTGACCTGTCCATGGGAACAGAGACAGCCAATGGGAATGAACCCTGCGGAACAAAGCCGGCCCCTGCATACAACGCTTTCGAGCCTCTGCATTCACCTACATCCAGGTGGACCGGGCATACAACGATCTATTCAGAGCCTGGACCGACTGCGGACGCATTTCCAATATCTCCCCCTGGCAATATCCACACGCCCACTTCTCAATCAAAGGAGTACAAGAAAAATTCTCACGACTGCTCTCGACCAGATACCCCGATCTACGAGGACAACCTCAGCAGACAGCATGCCGGCCTCGACACGCCCCGCAGTGCCATCTATCCCCAGCCGCCTCCTCAGATCATCACCCCGGATGTTTATAAGGACATACAACGTGAGGAGCGAGAGCGCAAGGCAGCACGGCGCCAGAGACTTCTCAATCCCTTTCGATCGTGGTTTTTAAGTGCTCCACCTACATGGACGCGGAGGTATGAAGTTGTGGAATAACGGTCTCCGCTGTCATGCGAAGATCAAAGCAGGTCTGAGACCGTTCGGTTTGGAACTTGTCGGTGGTGGTTTAAATTCCTGAATTACATTTAATAAACAAATTTCGACTCGCTTCTTCTTGGCGTATTGCTTTTTCCGTTGAAACACTATATGCATGCTTAATATGCCTGAAGTATGCATGAACATCTACACATTTATGATAATGCGCCAATCTGCAACCAGTCATGATATTGATCCTGATCCTGCTCATTGCGTCTGATTTAGTCTATGGGCTTGGTGTGTGCTATTTCTTGGCTTTTCTCAATTTTCGTGCTCATATTTTGCTTCGATGCTGCTTTTGCTCACTAGCATAAATGCGCACTTCCCGGAAACAGAGATTATACGGGTTTCACAGAGTACACATGATGAGTTCCTCGTGTGTAGGCTTCCAGATTTACTGCGCGACTTCTGGATAATATGATAGGATCGCTTGTTTCGAATACGAGAAATCCCCATGGTTCGTATAGCACAGCTCTATTGGATGGCGGGAACGGATTCGACGGCTTTTGAATCATTGGATTCGCTATCATATCTCGTATTCTGGATTTATTGGGGGTTATCAGAGGAATCCAGTACACCATCAGTCCTAGCATGTTTCATTGGAGGCACTGGTGGGGGCCAAAACACTGTATAAGCAAGGCTGGGGCTCGCTTCTTTTCTTCTTGGCCACTTGACCACTTGACCTTTTCTTTTCCACCTACTGCACCCCCCAAAAGCAAACAATCTAGCGCAATATGTCGGATACTCCAGCCAATCCAGCCAAGATGGTATCGTATGAGGGTGGTTGCCACTGCGGGAGAGTCAGTTACACGATAAAGCTCCCAGCTCCCATACAGGAGCAGGTAGTCAACACATGCAACTGTACAGCTTTCCTCTTGGGGAGAAGGAAGACGTTTTCTGAAGATAAGACCACCAGTTACTAATGAGTTTGCCCGGACAGGTTCCATCTGTTCTATCAATGGCTATCTTCTGGTTTATACCAAGAAGCCTAATCTCATTTTCCACAACAGCCCTGATGCTGCCAAGGTAAAAGCTCTCCTGCTTCTTTTCGCCCTCGGGTGGCATTGCTAATTATCCGGAACAGGAATACCGCTTCGGAACCATGAACTATCCCCATGGCTTCTGTACCAATTGCGGTACAAGTGTGTACGCTCGCGCCGAAGAGGGCGAGCATAGCAGCATCATTGCTGTCAATGTAGGTTCATGTGTCATTCCCAGGTGGGTTCCACCTGGCATCGGCTAATGAGGTACCAGGGACGAACCTTGAAGGACGTCGACATCAACTCATTGAAGATTGAGCAGCTTAATGGAAAGAGGATCTAACCTTCCAAGGTTAAAATTTTCCAGTGTTGATTGCGGGATTGCAGGTGTGCTCTACACTTGAGGCTCATGGTTTACTTGTACCTAGGTATCCATGGATATGTTCTGAACATTCCAAGTCTGGAGGATACTTGGGTGGATTTTGTGTTCACTATCCAACCTTGCGGCATTATATATAGTTGTCCATGATGCAGCCCTGGAGATGATGCTTGCCACAGCGGAATTTGGAATTTGGAACTTGGAACCTCGGAAGTTGAATACATAGATAGTTCTGACTAGATACCAAGACTTTGAGGCCGAAGCATAACCAAAAACATGAACAAAAATCAATTGTTTGCCTCGGACGATACAAGTGAAGAGTACTATCAACCACAAACAAAAAAGAATGGACTCGCGGGGAATCGAACCCCGGACCACTCCCATGCTAAGGGAGTATTATACCACTAAACCACAAGCCCAGTTCGATGGAGACTGCGTGCCTTTATTGCTATAAGAGCAAAAAGCCAATGGACACTGCAAAACTAGGTGGCTTTAAAGGTCGTTTGCATCTTCAACTTCAATGCACACATTTGCTACACCTGTGACGCACACATTTGATATACTGGTCCGATTAGATTGGATGGGTGCACATTTAGAAGAGCACCTGGGAAACATTCCAAGGTTGTACCTAGTACCTAGTAGGTAAAACCAGAGGCCAATTGAGTTCGAGGAATATACATCTGCGCAGGATGTTGCCTCCAGCCTGGAGCACTTGAGGGCTGGGACAACAACCAATGCGCACCATCGTAACTAAGCTCTTCCAAGGTTGACCAGTTGACCACCGTTCTGATACGGTGAGCTGGCTGTTCACTTGGATTCAACTCATACTTCTAATGACTACCAAGGTACTACTTGTCTGTAACTGAAGTATTCAACATCTTGTGATGGATTCAATAAAAGGTAATACACAATACAAAATATAGAGCAATAAACAGTCACTTTTTCCATGCAGGGATACAAATTCCTCGCGATCATCTCATCCATGCCACGTGCAGTGGGGAGTGAGCAGAAAAAAGACAGCAATGGATATCACGGGAATCATGCAATAAAACCGGTATCCTCAAACACCCCGGTCAAAAAACGGAAGGTCAAGCACTTCATTTGATCTCAAGGAGCTTGACGTCGAAGATGAGCTTGGAGTTGCCGGGAATGCCGGGGAGAGCCTTCTTGCCGTATGCGAGAGCGGGAGGGATGGAGATGCGACGCTCACCACCGACAGACATGCCGGCGACACCGATGTCCCAACCCTTGATGACCTCACCCTTTCCGAGCTTGAAGGTGAAAGGCTTGCCCTTCTTGTTAGAGTCGAAGACCTTGCCGTCCTCGAGCTTGCCAATGTAGCGCATGGCAACGGTGTTACCACTCTTGGCGGCAACACCCTTACCGAGCTTCTTGTCGTCAAGCTTGACACCGCGAACCTCCTTCACGCCGAGGGTACCGGTGGGCTTGTCGCCGGAGGGGGTAGGGCCCTGCTCGAGGTTCTTGGCGAATTGGACCTTCTTGTCGGTCTTGGCCTCCTTCTTGGCCTCCTTGGGCTCAACAGCGGCGGCGTCGCCGTTGTTCTTCTTGAGCTTCTTTTGCTGGGCCTTGGTGAGAGCGGGCTCCTCAGCCTTGGTGGACTTGGCCTTGCTGGCCTTGGCCATCTGCTCGTCAAGGCTGGCCTCCTCCTCGGCAGCGCGCTTGTTCTTGCCCTTCTTGGACTCAACAAGCTTGGGGGCCTCCTCCTCGCTCTCAACCTCGGTGATTCTGGGGTCCTCCATATCATCCAGGTCGTCGCTGTCGTCATCCTCCTGCATGGCCATGAGCTCATCCATGTCGAGCTCATCCTCATCGGGGGAGAGGTCGTAGTCATCCTCGTCATCCTCCTCATCATCGTGGTCGTGATCGTGGCTCTCGTCGAGGCCGATAACGTAGTTACCGGTCAGGAAGACAGTGTGGTTACCGGTGACCTTGAAGAAGACGGGCTCACCCTCGCAGACGGTGATATCAAGAGGTTGCTGGTAGGCCTGCTTGGGGGTTAGCTATTGGTAATTCAAAGCGCTGGACGCAGATCGGAGGAAAGGGAGATCATACCTGGTTAGGGCTGAGGGTACAGATGACGTTCTCATCGAGCTCGAGACCCTCTTCGGACTCGGAGTCCTCGTCGTCCAGAGCGGGGCCCTTACCCTTGATAAGCTTGGAGATGGCAGCCTTCAGGTCAAAGTCCTCGTTATCCTCATCCTCATCATCGTCCTCCTCCATAGCATCCTCGAGGTCCTTGAGAGCAGCAGCCTCCTTGAGCTTGCGGGCCTTCTCCTTGTCGCTGGGGCCACCGTTGACATCCTCGTCATCAGAGTCCTCCTCATCCTCATCATCACTGTAGTCCTCATCATCCTCGTCAGAGTCCTCGAGGTCGAGACCGGGAGGAGCGCGGACGATCTTCAGGGTGGCGCGGGAAGGCTTGCTGGTATCCTGATCGTCCTCGTACTCGGGAGCCTCATCGGGATCAATGGCAGCCATGCTGATGCGGAACTGTAGACAAAGTTAGCTAGAAATTGATTTGCCATCTGTTGGTATAACTGACCGACGCAGCGGCATTGGGAACTGCGGCAACCATGGCACCGGGAGGAACCCGGAGCGCATAGACTGCAACTGGCTGAACAGCAGACATTGTGTATGACAAATGAGATCGAAATCAAACTTTTAGATCAAAGGAAGAAAAATCGAATCCGGAATGAACCACGAGATTAATTAAGTGGATGAGGAAAAGAAAAGGGAAGAAAAGAAAAGATACAAGACCATGCGGCAAAAAATCAGAGAAAAAAAAATCGATCAATGATATCAGCGACAGCCTCACCGCTCATGTATTGCTGCGATTGACCGCTGGACAGCTCCCCACGTGACGCAGAGCTTCACGCGGAACCGTCAACAACGGTTCTGGTGGTAACTGCAAACGTCGGTCATGGTGGTCACTGCAGCCCAACATGGGCTCACGTCATGAGATAAACTCCAGTGCTGTGCGCAAACGCATAGAAAATCGTACGTGTTGACCAAAAATGTCTCCACTTTTAATCTGACCGCGTCTAGATGACTTCAGTAATGAAGCGGGCGATGAATATGAGGCCTCCAGTTTTGGAGGCTTCGGGGACTACATGAGGCGGAAGAAACTGAAGCTGCAGAATCTGGATGCAGAGATCCGAGCTACAGCCGGTGATGTACCGCCAATATTCCGAGGAGTAGTGGCCCATGTCAACGGGTACACGCAGCCATCGCTGCAGGACCTTCATCGGATGATCGTCAGCCACGGCGGCGGGTTTCTGCAATATCTGGACGGCAAGACAGTCGCGACTCACATCATTGCCAGTGCTCTTACACCCAAGAAACGGGAAGAGTTTCGCCGGTATCGCATAGTCAAACCTGCCTGGGTGACAGACAGTATCAAAGCAGGGCGCTTATTGTCATGGGATGAATATAGAATTGTAGATGAAGGCCATGCACAAAAGGTCCTCAAGTTCGGTGACGGCCAATTCACGAGTCAGACAAACACCCCTCGTTCAGGCTACAAGGACCAATCCAGAAGCAGTTGGTATAACTCCCGACTGCGAGATATGGAGAATATGGACACAAGCCTTGGGTCCTCGCCAAACCCTGTGACGCCATCTACACACCGAAAGCCTTCACAATTGCAAGAGGACTTACCAGCCAAGCCAAGCCAGCAATCCCAGTCAGATTATGGCGATTTTCCTAGCTCCATTATCCAGGAAGTGGAGGACACTCTAGCCACGGCAAAAACCGAGACACATCCCATCAGCAATGACGCGGGGCTCAGAAAGGCATCAGAGCAACCCTTGCAGACGAGTGAAGATTTCGGACCGGCTGATGCCTCTAAGTCTTCTATGCTCAAAAATCCTAGCTCCACCAAAGAGGATTTGACATCCGAAGAATACAACGCACAGCTCCTTTCCGATCCACGAATGAAGAAGTCAAGCGTCGTGAATCCAGACTTCTTGCAGCAATATTATAAAGAATCCCGACTTCATCACCTATCCACCTGGAAGGCGGAGCTGAAAGCTCAACTGCAAGCAGCGACAACTGAAAAAACGCAGTCTCAGGCATTGAAGAGAAAGTCGATACCTGGTTCGCGAAGGTACATATTACACGTGGATTTCGACTCTTTCTTTGCTGCCGTTTCGCTTCTCAAACACCCGGAATTAAAAGACAAGCCGGTTGCTATTGCTCATGGATCGGGGTCGGGCTCTGAAATCGCCAGTTGTAACTATCCCGCTCGTGCACAGGGCGTCCGGAATGGCACCTGGATGAAAGGGGCTTTAGAGTCCTGTCCCGACCTCAAGGTTCTTCCTTACGATTTCCCAGCCTATGAGGATGCAAGTCGCAAGTTCTACAGCGCGATACTTGCCATTGATGGCACTGTGCAAAGTGTCAGTATTGATGAAGCTTTGATTGATATCACCGGCTTATGCTCGGAAGCCGGTGGCTCAGATGGAGAGGCTATATCGGAGGGCTCGATCGGCCGGGAGCAAGACAAAGCAGATCATATTGCCTTGAATTTGCGAAATTTGATTAAAGAGAAGACCGGATGTGCGGTCTCCGTTGGTATTGGGGGTAATATTCTGCTTGCAAAGGTATCTCTGAGAAAGGCAAAACCCGCTGGCCAGTTCCAGTTGAAGCCTGATGCAGTTTTGGACTTTCTTGGGGACCTCACTGTTCGTGACCTACCAGGTGTAGGCCATAGCATGGCGGCCAAGCTTGAAGAGTTGGGCGCAAAGTTTGTTAGAGACATGAGAAACCTCCCGAAAGAGAGACTCATATCTGCCTTAGGGCCCAAGACTGGAATTAAAATGTGGGAATATGCTCGTGGAATCGATCGAACGGAAGTCGGCGACCAAGTCACCAGAAAGTCGGTCTCCGCCGAGGTAAATTGGGGCATTCGATTTGTGAATCAAGACCAAGCGGACGAGTTTGTACGGTCTCTATGCTCGGAGCTGAATCGAAGGTTGATGGAAAACCTGGTCAAGGGAAAGCAACTCACCCTCAAGGTCATGCGACGATCGATGGATGCACCACTTGAAGCGGTAAAGCATCTCGGCCATGGTAAATGCGATACATTCAACAAAAGTGTTGCTCTCGGAGTCGCAACAAATGCACCAGATGTGGTGGCAAAGGAAGCGATCTCAATGCTAAGAAGCTTCAATTTTTCGCCCGGGGACTTGAGAGGCCTGGGGGTGCAGATGACGAAGCTTGAACCTCTCAAGACTGGGTCCTCTGGACTCGAGAGCAGCCAGAGACAACTCAATTTCGGCGTCTCCCCGCCTCGCAAGAAAGCCATTCCAGCTGCAGACCCCGATGAGCTGGAGAGTCCACACAAAGATGAATCCGTTCGGATCCAGGCGGATCCAGTTCTCAGCGACAGTGCCCACAAGCCTCTGAATATCTCCGGGTCCCAGTTCATTATGCCTACCCAGGCAGACCCCAAGGTGGTGGCTGAATTGCCTTCAGATATCAGGTCTAAACTTGTTGCACAGTCAAAACCGCGGCAGAATTTCCGCGCAGGATCCGCATGCCCTCCACCGCGTGAAGAACGGCCAGTTAGCCAAGTAGCCTTGCCTCCACAGTCACAACTTGACCCTGAAACATTGGCTGCCTTACCTGAGGACGTTCGTTCAGAAGTGCTGGGATATTATCAACAATCAGCACCAACTACTACGCCGACGCCTGAGCCACCTGGACCTACACCGCATCCACCAACGCTTCCAGCTTCTCTCAAATTACGAAGGCCGGTTTCTCCGCCTAAAAAGAGGCGTGGTCGCCCACCCAAGGCGGTAACACTTGCGAGACTCGCGAAGACTCAAACTCTCGATCAATCGGGGTTTGGATCCGTTCGTCCTCGGTCAGCGGTCCCATCTACCAGTACTGAGGGGAGATTGTCTAGACGGGCGTCACCACATGTCGAGGACCCGGACGAAGTCTCAGCCGATTTCCTTGACGCCTTACCTGAAGACATAAAGCAAGAGATCCTGGAAGAACAGAAGCGCAAACGCCTGCAGCAGCGCCAACGAGCCAACGCGGCAGAAAGAGCGCAAAGACTTTCGTCTCGACAACAGGAGGCTCCTCGCAGGGTTGAGAGGCGTCTTCCACTGCCACCTCTCCCCCCAAAGCCTGTGTTTACATCCCAGCGTCTGTCGCAGCTGCCCGATCTACGGGATGCCGTCAGAGCATGGCATGAAACTTTTGCAGCCGGTGGCCCGTATGAGGAAGATGTTGATTCGCTGTGTTCATATCTGACCAGTGTAACCTTCGGCGAGAAAGATGTGGACAAGGCGGTCTCAGTTGTCCGGTGGTTGATGTGGTTGGTCGAAGATCACTTGCAGGAAGAGCCTGACAATGGTCAAGGATCACCAGTGGAAGAAACTATATCGTGGCAAGCGGCGATTGAACTTATGCAAAACAGTGTACAGGCAGCTTTGGCAAAGAGAGGGCTACCGGAAGTTGAGTTCTTGTAAATAATCCATGGATCGAGGTATGTGAACTCTGGAATGTCCTATGACCGGTACATATGTCTACTGCGGAAACATGACCATATTCACTTACTTACCAAGAGTATTTTGCTGATTCCCTTTACAATCGCAACTCGCCAGATGAGATCTACACTCAACACCTAAGGCACCACACGCAGCACACCACTTTGGGCCCCGGGGCTTGGTCTCTATTACGTGGAAAACAACTGGACTTTCTCTCAAACTACCTACTGGACATTGTCTTCACAAAACACAAGACCATGACGCCTGTTACAGAGGGCCCGTTTTCATTCAACGTCGATACTTTCTACGTCTCCGCATCTGGCGGACAGATCCATCGGCGTGCAGCGCCCCCTGAAATCAAAGCTCTTTACGATACAAGCACCGACAGCCAGGGCACAAATGACCATCCTGGGCATTGGTATGAGGCCCAACTTCTTCACTATGGACTCCCACCATCCAAAGTCAAAGCAACCGCCAAGATGAAACTGTTGAAGGCCCTACAAGGTGGGGGTCTGAGTGTTCCTAAAGAAGTGAATCAGATCGAGAACAAACTGAAAAAGGCTGAAAAAGGCATGGAAAAAAAAAAAACAATCGGACGAGAAACTCACCGGCCTTGGTTACGAAGAGACCAATACCAAGACTGTCACTACCAAGACTGTCACGAAGACAACTCATACGGTGGAGTCGAGGACTACTAGTACAGCCACCAGGAAAGCGCCGATATCAAAAGCCACAGGAAAAGATACTGCTGCTAAAGCTGCTGCTCCTAAGAAGGCGACTGGAGCTAAAGCCACTCCCGCGAAGGCCCCCGCGACCAAGACCCCCGCGACCAAGACCCCCGCCACTAGGACCCCCGCCACTAGGGCCCCCGCCACTAAGGCCCCCGCCACTAAGGCCCCCGCCACTAAGGCCCCCGCCGCGAAGACCCCCAAAGAAAAGGCGGTAGCTACCAAGAAGACTCCGGCAACAAAAGCACCAGGGAAGAACCCCCCAGCGGGTAAGGCTACCACCAAGAAAGCGACGGGACCAAAAGCCCCCACCGCCAAAGCTCCGGCACCCAAGAGGAAGAGGGCGGCGAACGATGAAGGAGCTGCAAACCCCCAGACCACCAAACGCCAGGCAACTGGTGGTGTAAAGTTGCAGAACACGGGAAACAGCAATTTCATCTCCCAGGGTCACCAAAAACCCAGTGAATGGAATGGGCCTGGCTACGATGGGCCTGGCTACGATGGGCCTGGCTACAATGAGTTTGGATATGATGAGGATGGATATGATGAGAATGGCTATGATGAGAATGGCTACGACGAGGATGGCTGCGATGACGCGCCCCCCTCGTATGATTCTGTCTACGGACCGGTAAGATTCATCCCTTGCGTTTCAACAATAAATACTGACTGACCCAAACAGGGTGGTGGAATGGCCTATGGTGATGCGTACTATGGCGAGCAAACGGACTCCGATTACTACTAGAATGAGACTCATCCCTTGTAGTCATTCATTTTGAGATCTCTAAGACCTTCCAAGGTTGATAGTGTGCAATAGTATTTCGTGAAGAAACGATATCAACTCCAGCTCACCGTATTTGAGAAGTGAGCTCGGGTGGGGCACGCTAAGAATCTTCCCCTCCTCCTTCTGAGCCCGGGGGATCTTCATCTCTCCAGTTTGTTGCACCATGAGGCCAAGAGATCGTGAGTGTTCCTTTGCACACCCTTTATCTCTGCCGGTAGAGATCAACTCGATGCCAGAGAGCTAACTTTCAGGCAGCGCCATCACCCCCACCAACGGAGGTCCATAGCACCACCCTAGGTTCTATTGACGGAGTCTATCATATCACCTGCTCCGAGATTGAATACCAATGGCCCGACCAGATACCCGAGAAAGGCATGACTATGCGTCTAGTTCAAAAGGATGATGCCGTCTGGGGCTCATACGACCTGGGCGTGTGGGAGGGTGTCTTTCACATGCAACAAGGACCCACGCAGCCCTCCTTGGATAAACTCCAATTCTTTTGGCGCGGACATTCGGTTGAAGAAGGAGAAGTCGACTTCGGTCCTAACTGTGAAGGCACAATCCAGTTTTTGGGCGGGGGTGAATTGAGAGGAACAATCTGCGGCCTGGATGCAGACATGGATTTCCGAGGACGATGGATCAAAGAAAATGATACCACTGCTCCCCGGACATTAGCTCAGATTCAAAAGGAGTGGCACATGTATAAACTTAACTCCGAAGATTATGACGATGGTTTCGACGATGAGGACGACGAATACTAGAATCAGCACCGACACGAATACAACGACTCTTGAACATGCGAAGGCTACATTACGATAATTGCTCGTCAGGTCCCAACAGATGAATCAAATTATACAGCGCAACATTCGGGTCTGGTGAGATGGCTTAGATTTTGATCTATCTCTCATCCCGATGTCTCTTGTACGCACTCTATCGAGTAAACTCCACGGAGAGGCTCTGTAGACTGGCATCGGTTCCGGAACCGAAGAGACCACCCTGCCAACAACACAATACCTAGGTCTCACCAGTCATCGACTCTCCTTCCTGCGCTACCAATATACTACTTACCCGGGCACCCCCTGCGCCCTCACCAACTTCCGCCGTGGGAACGAGCCGATTTTCCGCTCACCCACCCACCGTATGGGCCAAAATTTCATCTAGAAAAGGTCCCCTGATGAATGGAACATGAGGCCTTCAAGCCCAAGCCCCAACGATACTCATGCAGAAAGCCCCCATGAAGACCAAGATACAGGCATAGACCCTTCTCTTACCCCGGAGAATGCGCCAGCTCTCATCACTGAGAAAGTCCTCTGACATGAGCTCGACGAGGGACGCGAAGATCAAAAGTCCTGCCGAGATAGCATTCATAATCCCGACCACGAGTAGGCCAACCTCGGAGTCCGGGCTGTAAAGGGTATGGGTTGCTAGGCCGATAGCTTGTCCAATTGGGGTCCTGAATGGGTTAGTATTCATGGATGCTTGAGTGAGAATCAAAGAACGCGTCGACTTACGTGCAGCCATATGCTAGTGACATGATCCATGGCTGGAGTTGTTTCTCTTTCCAGGGCAACGCGGAGATACGAGATCCTAAAGCCAGGCCTTCGAACGTTTCTATAGTTGGTTAGAATGGATGAAATGAACGGAAGAGGTGAAACACTCACGATGGAATACAATGGCAATCAGTAAGATCACAAATTCATTCCCGACTGACACGCTGAGTGACATGCCAATGAACACACTGTGGAACAAGATTCCCATCTCGAGAAGATAAACCTGCATTGTCTCTTTCTTTTGTTTCTGCTCCGGAGTCAGATCGAATGAGTCGTCGTGTCGCTCTAGGTCAGACTGAATGACACCGTTTTCTTTCTCATGATGGGTTTGAACATCTGGGACAGAAGAGACACGAACAATCTCATCGGTGCCATCACCCAGACGGTGAATGGTCCTACTTATGCTGGCAGACCTTCCAATCAACGGGCCCATGTCGCGCAGATGGGGTCGGCCCTCCAAACCCGCAGAGCGAGGGCCGCGCTCCATGCAATTTTCAGGACACCCAAGCTCATCGCATGTTGGAGCTTGAAGCTCTGTGTTCGTCGGAGACGACAAAGATGGCGAAGAGTTCGGCCTTTGAGCTGTGGGCTGGTTACCTCCCCGGCAAATACTTTGCGCAGGACTGAACACCATCTCAATGACAGTGACGAGGAAGATGCCACCTAGAGCAATGGCTCCTGGCATGGCAGGGTAATCTTTCGTCCAAAAGTTCGAAAGACATGGGTCTCCCAGTGAGGTAAATGCAGTGGGAAGGAGATGCACAAATGCGGTCGCAATCAAGACACCAGTTCCAAAGTGACTCACGAAGAACAGGAACGAGGGTGGAATATGCATACGAGGGAACCGGGTTGCGAGAACCGGGAATGCGCATGCGATTGTCGAAGTGCCTAGGATAATGAACAATGCTGCGACGTGTAACGGCAGATCGTAGGCATCGCCGCGAACACCTCCCTGGGCACAGCTCGACCGTTTCGCAGGCACGGGGTACTGTTCCAGTGGCACTTCGAGTAGAATTGGTTCTTGGGGGAGAAAGTAACCCTTCAATGTGTTGAAGGAGATGAGAGAGGAGACAAGGAGTACGGAAAGAATCCACAAGGCCCAATCCTTGATACTCTGATACGTTGGGAGAACATCGTCGGTTGAGCCCAGTCTTGTGTGAGCAAGACTAGATTTAGTATTGTGGGAAGCGAGGCGTCCTATAATGATAATGAGAAATGTCTCTCATGTGCTGCACGTGAGGCTTCATACCTGACAAAGTCAGGGACGCCTCGCGTCCCGAGGCGAGAGCATTTCCTGTATCTTTTTCTTCCAGCGAAGGCGTCTCTATCCAATTAGAGCTTCCATGTAATAGATTTGGGCCATTTCCATCGACCTCGATCTCACGGGCGTTTGCAATGCCATTGAGATCTTGACGGGTGGTCAGTTCTGGGGCGAAAAAGCGTGGGTTTTGATTCCACCCAGCATGCTTCAAAGTATCATCTGTTCGGGAGGGGCAGTTCATGATGCCAAGGTGTTAGACAGGCGATTGGGATCTGACAGTTGAAACAAGATGGTGTGGCAAGTCAAAAGAACGATGCTTTTCTCCCCAAATCAAAAGGCAGTATCGGACCTTAGGGCTTGGCATATGGTGGACTCCGGCCCGATATCTTGGCAGCGGACCCTCCAGGGCTCATATTCGGCCATGATTCGTCCATGCATCTTCCTCGGTCCGATATTCGTCGAATATTGGAGCCTGCTACCTTGGTGGATCATCGGATTATTCATTCTAATGCTCCGATGCCCAGATTGGGCTGGGATGTGGGTTGCGTGCCGCCACCGGACCATGAGCAAGACCCGACAGCTCTGGCCCTTGAAGAATCATTGAATCGCGCCATTCGGTCATGCCTCGAGAAAGGAAGTTGAATGAGCGGCAAGGAAAGTATAATAATTCCACACTAATGTGAATTGACAGAGAAATCAAATGGACTATCAGGCTTTGGTACATTTCGATCGGCGCTGCACTATTCCATCTGACAACGATTGCAGCTCTGACACAGGGTTGACCCATATTGTCTATGTGAAGTGGGACAGCGATGCCTAGAGCTTCGTGATTTCTGAGAAGAAAGCAGATCGACAGGCAACTGTGGTTGATGTCATTTTATTCATTCTATGACGACTCCATCATCTTGCCCAGGGCGCCTTAGTCTGGGAATCAGGGCTGCCTTTTTGTGAAGATGACTGAGCAGATTGATTAGATGCCCAAGGTGCTCTAGTAGGAGCCATGGCACCCGGGGGCATCCTCGACGTGTCTGGGATAATGGGTAGTGTCCTTGTGGAACTATTAGTGGACGAGCCCGGAGCGCCCGCTCTCCCCGTTCCTGCCCACGGTGCTGCTGTTGCACCCGGAAGACTTGTCTGTCCAACGGATCCAGATTTGGCCCAGGGGGCCTGAGTACCAGCCCCAGGCATCGGACGCGTGGCAGCGACAGAAGGCATACCTTGATCCGGTGCAACGGGGCGTGCCTGGGGACCAGAAGTTGTATGGACCGTGGAGGGAGGTGGAATCGCATTGGGGTCACGGTCCCAACTGAATAAAGAACCAAATGGGAAATGCTGTACCACTGGGAATTTCGAGAGAACTTCCGCATTGTACATTTTGACCATCCCCTGCTGTCTGTTAGCCCAATATCTACCATCGAGATTCAAGACACCGACTTTATTGATTTTGCCCCAACCAGCGCGAATGCCAGAAATGTCAAAAAGCATGGGGCTGTGCTCCCAGAAAGGTCCTCTTTTCACGTCATAAATGAAGCCAATGGCCGCAAAGTATAAATTAGTCTGGCGCTCTCTTTCAACGATATTTGCTTTAGCAACCCCTCCTGGATCGGGTGCATTGAGTAATGAACCTTCCTCGGGAGTAAGATCACTTTCACTGATCGCAGGGGACAATTGGGCAGATCCGAAGATGTAAGGAGCAAAGGAGTGGTCGTCGAGTCCCCAGACACCGTGAGAGCCTGCAGGTTCTAGGTTGTAAGTCTTTATGAGTTTCCGGATGAGATCCAGATATCTAGGAAAGAATGTGTCAGTGAGGAAGCTTGCGCATAGGGACATTTCGGCAGACGGACGGATGAATGACACCTATGACAATGGCTCTTTCCTCCACGCCTGGGTCAGCTTTGGGAAAGCCATTCAGCTTCCAGATTCCACCAAGGAATGCAAGAAAGCTCAGCTCATGTCCCGTGCCGTAGTCCAAGCGCTGTCCACTCCCCCAGCTGCCCATCAGGTATGCCTTCAACTCAGCCTCCGCCGTCACACCCTCCCCTTGCGACGATCCTGTTTGCAAGAGTTCCGCCGGTAGGCATTCTTTCAATAGATCAGAGGCGCGGCTATCAACAACCTCACACCATCTCCGAAAGCTTATGTTTCCGAATCTGCGGGGACCGGTATCGGGGGGCACTTCTTGTATGATATCTTCGAGTTTGAGAAGGAGTCGCTGGAGTTGACGGATGGGGGCAGAGTATTGAATAGCATCACTGTTGATGACCCAGGCTTGAGTGGTATTATCGGGCAGCTTCAATGGGAACATGGATCGATTGAGTTGTAAGATCCATGTCATGATGTCAGTGTAAGCTTTGGAGGTAAGAAACGCTGATACATCTTGCGATTCGTGAATTTTCTTGATGGGTTGCGTGAAGACATGGGCTGTAGGTGTGTCCACAGTGGACATAACACGAATAGCTAGACCATTCATGGTTGCTGGTCGAAAAGGTGGGACATAAACGGATGTGAAGGGGGGAAGGCGGTGGTTGATAAATGCGGCCCCACCCCAGCTCTTTTGTCGCGTCGAGCTTTCAGCTCGACTCCCCACGCCGTGAAAATGCCACCGAGGAGATCCAAAAGACTAAAGGGCTCCACCGAAAGAAGTGTTGACTTTTTGAATAACGCGGGCAGAACTGCACCGAGAACCCCGTCAAATACTACAGGGCGCCATGCTCCGCGCTCACGAGACGTGTACGGCCTCCCTTCCTCAGAGCCGGAGGAGGCACCCCGTCGGAATTTGAGGCGATCAGTGTCCTCGCCACGATCAAACGAATATACGAGGGAAGAGGAACGCGGTGCAGCATCGCAATCAGCCAGTGGGGCTCGTAGCCCGAGTGTCGCGCCTTCACCAATTGCGAATGAACAAGATGCCTGGGAACGGTCGGAGTCTGAAGATGATCAACAGCTATCGGAAAGTCACGATGATACAGATCCAACTTCTCAACCAGTTCAACTACCTGGCGAAAACGAAGAATCGGATGAAGATGAAGCCCCGGCCAGCGATAGAGCTGCCACTGAAGACAGATATCCCAGCGGCGAACCATTAGGCGCAGATAACCCATCCTCTGGATCAGAACAAAGCTCGGAATATGAAGTCTCTGTGAGCGATTTGCTCGAAAGAAGTTCTCTGCCACGCGCTTCATGGATTCATTCATCGCAGCCCCAGGAAATAGCAGAAACGCCAGCATCGGCAGCACACCCAAGCACTGCGAATGTAAACCGCCCGTCTCACAAAATTTTCGAATGGTTTACCGAGACCATCAAGGAATCTGGGTTCAAGGAAACCTGGCAAGTAATCCGCCGTGGAAGAGATGCGAAACGATATGCCATTCCGGCTGGGACAAAACGCTTCCGGCGCATCAAAAGGATGAGAGATTGCCTTGAAAAGCTTTATGAGAGAATTGCCGAAGAAGAAGAGGGACCATGGAAGCCAGAATATGTCTCGAGTAGTAAACTCATCGCCAACAATATCTACCAAGAGATCAAATGGGTCACCACCGAAGATTGCCAAACCAATGGAACCGATGGGGATGCTCCGGCTGAACAGCTAGAGGCCGATGCTCAGGTTGAACAGCTAGAGGCCAATGTTGTGCCTTGGCTAGTCGAGCTCGTTCTCTTCGGATTCTGGGTTTACAAGACCCGAGGGAAGCCCGCGGCAAAGTGTCTTCGCATTGTCCTCGATTTACTCTGGGGATGTGGCTTCGCGATCCAGTCTTACTTCTTCCCGGACCGTTGGGCATACTCGACAAGATTCATCATAAATCAGTTGAAGCCAGCCGTCAAATCCATCAAAGATGCTCTCGACGATGGCCGGCTGGACGAGAACAATCACAAGATTATGAGACGTGGCAAACCACCATATCGGCACTTTGCTCTGGAAGAGGTGAACAATTTGGTTTCTTGTCTTCCATGGCAACCAGCAGAGCACGAAGCCCTTAGCAGAGGGTTCTGGCTTTGGAAGTATAAGCTTGGCGATGTTGAACGTATGATCTCCCTCCTCTCCAATGAGTCTCGCTGACCATCTAGCGGAGAAAATCTTAGTTATGATCAAATGCGACCTAAGATTTGGCCCTACGCTTTCCAGGCGTATCCTGCGACACGTCCAAGAGCAGGCCATTGTGCTTGGGTTGATCGAACACCCCGGGGCCTGATTTGATCCATTACCTGATGGTTTTGTAATGGGGAGTTTGTTTTAGAGTGTACACGATACCCAATTCTGGTGCTTATTTCTGTTTGATGCTATATTATTCTGTTGTTTTTCATGTCTCATTGTTTTGTCTAAACCTGGCCCCAGCGTTACTTGAGCAGCAAAAATCCCTACGTATCGGGCCATTCTACCGCTAGAGCCATATGGCGATTGGGGCCAACAGAGACAATTAACACTGGAACTCACTTGCCGTCTCTTAGAGCCTGGACATAGCTTCAGCTCAAGCTTTGCATGGATCAAGACTGAAGGTTCGGAGTCAAGACCGAAGTATGTCGGGGATCTCAAGGGATCAAAACCCATCAATCGCAGCATGCAGTGAAGCTCAAGAATATGACAGAGACCAGAACGTGGCAGAAACATGAAGCTGAAGAGCAAAGTGAACACGGTCCCATGCAAGGGGATACCCCGGATGAGAGGGACGATCCCCCTCCTAGACACCGCTTTCTCTTTTTCCCGCTTTCCCCTTTTTCTACGTTCGTGTTTATTTGTCCATTAAGGTCCGTTGGACTTCGTTGGACTTCCTTTGTATTCTTCATTTTCTTGTTTCGAAGTTGCCGGAATCTGTCAGGCGCGTGAGTACTCGTTTTCCCTTTGTCTTTTGTTTGGACAGGTCGCGTCGCAAGCTACCGTCGCAATGCTGCGCGACTCTACAAGACCTCGGCTTGGCTTCTGATTAGCGACGAGTCTCTCTGAGGATGACCTAGAGGCAAAGCTACAGCTCGGCCTGGGGTCTGACGAGCTTGCAAACCATATGGCGAGGGCGTACGCTGAGGGAAACAAAAGCTGATCTGCATTCTCGACAGTTCACCTGCATTTTGTACAACACATTGAATCGCTAAAATCCCAACCTATCCGGGTGCTATCACCAATTAATCTCGAATAATCCTCCACAATGTCGTCCAATGACGAACCGGTCGACGTGCCTGCTCCCGCCGAGGTCCCCGTGGAGGTGGATGAAAACGAGCCCCCCGTTACTCCCATCGAGCCCGTTCTCTCCGGAGGGGAAGAGGTGGCTAAGTCTAGCCCTGAGGCTGCCAAGGAGCTATCCAAGCCTTCCCCAACCAAGGCTAGCCCTGGTGCACCCGTCACAGCGAAGCGACCAGTGTCGGGAACTACTGCCACCAAGCGGCCTACTTCCTCGTCCGCCTCCAAGCCCACAACGGGGACTTCTCGTCCGAGTACTAGCAGCAGCAGCACTTTGAACAAGCCGCCCACCCGTCCTACGACCACTCCAGCCACCCGCAAGCCGTTGAGCACCTCTACCACCTCCTCCCACCGGTCTCGCATGTCTGTGAGTAGCTCCGCAGACGAGAAGCCTCGATCCGTGGCTAGCTCTGGCGATGAGAGACGTGGTATCTCCGGTACTGCGAAGCGGATGTCCATGGCCGGTACCACGTCCACTCGCGCCCCCGTGAGACCGTCTCCTTCCGTCGACCGACGATCAAGTGTTGCTGGGCCCACCGCGGAGAGGAAGCCTGCTGTCGCAACTTCTCGCACCGCAACATCGACAAGCAAGCCAGTAGGTCGGCTGACCTCGGCAACCACTCCTGCAACTCGGACCGCCACCTCTACCTCAGCTACCCGCCCGACTACAACCCGGCCCACTCCTACCTCAAGCACGGTCAGATCCGCCACCACCGCTGACCCCAAGAAGCGTCTGAGTACGGTCTCTGGCGCGACTACCCGTGCGACCGAATCCGAGAAGCTGCAAGCTCTCCAGGCCAAGCTGTCGGAAAGCGAAGAGACCGTGGCCAGTTTGAAGACTGAGCTGGATGGTGTTAACGAGAAGCTCAGTCAGCTGTCTGTGTCAGCGGAAGAGCCCCCTGACAATGCGGGTGCCACCGAGGCCCCCAACGCAGAACATGCTGCTGAGATCGAACGATTGACCTCCGCGCATACCGAAGAGCTCCAGGCTTTGCGGACCCGGTTGGACGAAGCCGAGACTCAGCGCAAAGAGCTGGAAGAGAGCTCTCGGAAGGAACTGGAAGAGGCCAGACAATCCGCCTCTGCCCAGGGTGATGACCAGACAGTCGCCCTCCTTGATGAACTCAAGACAACTCACCAGACTCAGCTGGAGGCCATCGAGAAAGAATTGGCGGAGCACAAGTCTTCTGCCGCCCACTTCGGCGAGCAGATCGCCGCTCTTAAGAGTGAGCTTGAACTTCAGAAGACTGCTCTCGAGGAAGAGAAAACTCGGGACCTTGACCACTTTACCCGCGAGCTGAAGGGTCGTGACCAGGTGATGGAAAATCTGAACACGGAAATTGTCAAGCTGAACAAACTCAAGGAGGAGGAGATTCGTGCTGCTGAGGAACACGCTCAACAGTCCGTTTCTACTCTTCAGGAGCAAGTGTCAACCCTTGAGGCCAAACTTGCTGCGGCCGAGTCTGCTACCAAGGAGAGCTCTGAGCAGGATTCATCACTCGCCGAAAAGGACCAAGAAATTGCCGACCTCAAGCAGGCTATTGAGAAGGCTCAAAAGGAGGTCCAGGCAGCCAGCGAGGCTGCAGCTTCTCAGTTGAACTTTGAGGTCGAGCAGCTTGGAACTGCCCACGAAGCTGCAATTGCTCAGCTCAAGACTGAACATGATGCTGCTATCAGCTCCCTCTCCGCTGCCCACGCCGAGGAACTGACCGTTGCCACCAAGGCGGCTGAATCGAGTGGCACAGAGCACACAGAGCAGCTTCGTGAACTTCGTGACGCCCTCGAGGCCTCCAAAACCACTGCCGAGACTGCCCAAGAAAATGCCATAGCCGAGTTCAAGACTCTCCACGAAGCGGAGTTGAAATCTCTTCAAGACAAACTTGATGCGTCTGAAGCTGCTCTGGCTGAAACTCGCCGCGAATTAGATGAGGGCCACACTTCAACCCAGACCCTCGCCGTCCAGGAGATTGATGCTCTCCGAAGCAAGTGCGAATCGCTGGAGTCTGAATTGACCTCAGGCAAAGGTAAGATCGACGCGCTTCTCGAGGAGATGCAAAGTAAGCAAGCCGAAGCCGAAGCCATTCACCGCACTCTTCGCGATGTTGAGGACCACTCTAAGCAGGAGAGTGCTCAAAAGGATAACAAGATGAGAGCTCTCGAGGAAAAGGCCGCGGAAGCTACATTCCTTCTCGACCAGCAAACTGCACAGGCCGCCAGTGTGTCTGAGATGCACGCAAAGGAAATTGAGGAATTGAAGGCCCAGCACGCCGCCCAGCTCGCAAGTGAGCTCGAGAAGGCCAAAGAGGCATCTGGATCTCACGATACTACCTTGAGTGACCTCCAGGCGAAGCACGATGAGTTGATTGCCTCCACCAAGGAGTTGGAGTCCGTCCATGCTACACGTGTGCAATCGCTTGAGGCTGAACTCAAGGCGGCCCTTGAAAGCCACGCGAGCGAGATCGCCACTCACACCGAGGGTCACACCGAATTGCAGAAGCAATTCGAAGAAACCCAGACCAAGTTGCAAGCCGAGCTTGCTGCCTTGCAGGACTCCAGCAAGAGCGATGCCGAACTTCACACCAAGCACATCGCCGAGTTGCAAGCCGAGTTTGAAGAGACCAAGTCCAAGCTGCAAGCTGAACTCGAGGCCGCTCAAACCTCCAAGGCTGCTGACTCTGACGCTGAACACGGTAGAGAAATTGAGGAGCTTCTCACTATGTATGAGTCCAAGCTCTCTGGTCTTCGGGAAGAACTTGAGAGTTCCAACAAGTCTAAGATCGAGGAGCTCCAAAAGACTCACGATGCAGCTCTGGCCAGCGTTAACGAGCAATTGTCCCAGGCACATGCCGCCGCTCAAGATACATCTGCTTTGGAGGCTCTGAAGCATACCGTCGCGGACCTTGAAGGCAAACTCGTCGACTCCGAAAACGCTCACCTTGCCGTCCAGGAGTCTGCTACTACTGCCTCTAGGGATATTGAGGGTCGGTATGCAGCCGAGATTGCCACAATCCAAGCCGAGCATGCCGCTCTTACTGAGAAGTACCAAGCCACTGTGACTCAGCTTGGTGAGCTACAAAAGTCTGCCGTTGACTCTGACAGCCAGAAATCGCACCTCGAATCTATCATGAAGCAGCTATCCGAGTCTCGTGATCAACTCTTGAAGGTGAAGGCGGATAACGCCGCCATTTCCGACTCTCTTGTTGATTGCAAAAGCCAGAACAAGACTTTGGCAGAGAAGCAGGAGGCCGGTGAGCGTGATCTGAACGACCAAATCGACAAGAACATGGGTCTTCTCGAACAGCTGGGACAATTTGACTCCGACATTTCTGCCAGCCGACGACGAGTCCGCGAGCTTGAGACAGAGCTTGCTGTTCTCAAGGCAGACAGTGCGGACAAGAGCAGTTCCTCGGGATTGGGAGCTAGCCGGTGGGCGACGGCCGATGAGGGTAGCGAGAAAGCTGAAGATGGGGGTCCAGCCACAACGGAAGGTGAGGACCTAGGCCCATCCATTGAGGGAACGGTGGGAGATCCCCGATTGAAGAAGTCTTCCTACTCATCAGATCTTCCCGCATTCCACCCTTTTACATGAGATTGAAGACTACGTTCGTGCATACGGAAACTAACTTACGTCATAGATGGCAAGCATCCAGGAACAGCTTAAGCACGTCCGAACGGCCCACGACGATTGGTACAGCGAGCACGGCAGGTGAGTCTCGTCTTTTCCGCCGGATCGAAAGCAACCTTGGAAGGGACACACTCGCTGACCCATACAGACTCATTGGCCAGCTTGCGAACATCTCCCAGCAAGCGACGCCCGTCCGCAGCCTCTCGACAACTCCCCTCTCGGCCATTTCGGAGGTACCAACATCAGCCAAAGAGCCAGAGCCAGCCCGAACCCGCGCAGCAACAGTCTCATTCTTTGGTAAGGGCTAAGCGCGTGGATTTGAGATGTCTGAGCTCGAAGTCGTGATGCAGCATGACTTTCTTTTGTTCAGTCGTTATGCTCTTGTGATTCTACTGTATGTAATAGCTTGCAGAATGCCCCGTCTTATAAGTTCGGGGCACTCCGCTATTCTTGTTTCAATACTTTTACTCTATAAATACCTCCTTGAACATGAGCCGCTTTCATCCTGTAGCAAGTGTGAAATGTGGCAAGTGCGCGCTGTGACACGATCTAGTAACGAGGCCTATATGAAGCCTTGGAGACATCTCACTTTCGTCTGAGGAGGGTTTCAACCCTATTTCATGAAGAACGCTATATGAAAACTGCAAAATAAGTGGGTATCTCATTAACGACCAAAGTTGAAAGAACGCCTTCCCGGATCTAAGCCTCCTAACAGCCTTGGAATACACGCCATGCAGCGCAAGAACGCTTGTTGCAGACAAAAGCCTGTAGGACCATGCGATTTGAGTATGAATCACTCCGATTCGGAAGAGTAGTTGACGAGTGGAGCCTTGGGCATGGACGTTGGGGTTTGAATCGGAGGAGCGTCATCAGGCTTGGATATGGGGGCGACAGACGGAGCACTAGGTCTGATGATGGGCCTCTCACCGGCTGAAGATCTAGAGGGCTTCGAGGGCAGAGGTTTTGTCGCGGTCCAGTCTGTCATATCATCAAGATCACCGAAAGGATTCCTATCGGCACGAGCCTTGGCAAGGACGTCCTTGCGCCAGGAAGCTTTGCGGGCGGCGGCCAGGTCGGTCTTCCTAGTCACTCGATTCTTGCCATGGGCGTTGATTTTTCGCAAGGGATCATGGGCCGAAAACATGGGCTTAAGACGAATGGCCCGTTCTTCGCGTGTTTCTCTGGCTTGGGCGTCTCCGCCAAACTGGACTTGGCTCGCTTCTTGACGGTCTGCATCTGTTGTGTCGAGGATCTCGTAATCCAGACTGAACTTCTTTTGCAGAGCCGCCTTGGAAGCATCTTTCTTTTCGAGACTCTTGCGCTCCTGTCGGAAATGGTGGCGCAGCTTCTGATTCTTGGTATATGGATCCTCCCAGTCCCTGTCCCTGGCCTTCCGGAGCTCGAGAATGCGGCTGGCTTCTGTCTTGGCACGAGTCTTGTCCTCCATCTTGTCCTCAAGTTTTGAGAAAGGGTCCTTCTCTGCTGGGTCTTGATTCGAGGCAAAGGGTTTGATGGCGATCTCGCCTGGTTGTAGAGGCTTGTCTTCACCGAGATCTCGCTTGCGTCCACCTTCGGTAACAACATATGCGGTGTTTTGGGGATCGGTCTTGATTTCGATGGTGCCGCCGCACACAGTGTGCTTCATGCGAAAAGTGTAGATGGGAGTGGAGTAGTAATTCCCGACTTTGGTTTTCTCTGCATTGAAGCGCACACCTTGACCGATTATGACGGGGTGGGGTTTGCAATTGTCACACCATACTGCGAAAGGCATCTCAAATCTCACCACCAGCGCTCCGGTGGTGTGGAGGTTCCTTGCGCGCGCTCCCAGTGGATGCTTCCCAGCCAGTTGGTTCCCGGACATTACACCCTCCTGGTCGGGAGGGACATAACTGCAGCAGAGGTCAGCTGTTATCATGGGAGTTGAATTTGAGGATCGCTAACCGTCCCATATCTGGCGAGTAACATGTTAGTAGCTCGTGGGCACTCTTGGAACTAGGAAGGCTCACTGAATCCCTGCATTTTGGGCGCTTCGAACGGTCGTCAACGACTCTTCAGTGAGGAATATATCGATAGCACGCTATAAAAGCGATGCGGCACCATCTGCGAAGGGTTGGCCAGTCTTTGATGTGGTGTCGCAGGTGAAATGCACAACTTTACAGCGAAGACGCCAAACCCGCGGACGATAAGCTCCGATTGCCGGGAATAACGGAGTTAAGGGTGTCACATGACGGGCTTTGGTTCGGGGCCGATCGGCGCCGAACTCGGAAGCACTTGGGCATGTCAACATGATGCTTTCACTTCGACTGCTTTACAGAAGATTATACAGACAAACTTGAACCTGGAGGAGCCCATCTTCCTTCAAAGTATCTAGGTATATGCACCATCTTGGCAGTAAAAAAAATCGAATCGTCGCCTAATTGGTAAATATATACATGTACCTAGTCAGTAGATCGAACTGAAGTGGAAAATTCCTGTCGGGGAAACCTTGGAAGCGCCCAGGTGCCCAGGTGGTGATGGTCAGTCAAATGGGCACTTGGGTAATTCAGGATACCAGCAGAGCCTTGAAAGTGACTTTTTAAAAACATGTATGAAGTAGTAGCGAAGTAAACCCAAAGGTTCCCAGGGAACCCTTTGGTTTTATAGATACGTGCCCTAAGTTCAAATATGCCTAGTATCCATGGGTAAGTGGTTGCGCTGGGAGCACAAATCTAGTTCATCATTCTTACAGCGAGACTTGTGGTTTGATGCGACACGAATGCACACTGTACCACCTGGGGCACCTGGCACAAAACTACACATCCTTCAGATAGTGTATCGCGAGTCAAAGAATCATTGATCAAATTCACAAATAATCTGCTCAGCCCTGGAGGTGAGTTTGTCTGCTTATCTGCGTGAGTTTCTCAAGCCCCAGGACCAGGCCAAGCTGATGGTATAAAAAAGAAGCTGTTGATAGAGCCATCGTCTTCATCGTCTTCATCCTGCCACCACCCGGGCACCGGCTTTGCAGTTCCCTGAGTCCTTCGCATTCCTCCGTAAGCTGCTATCGCCCTACACTACCTCCAGGGCTTAGTTGATCAAAGACATTGGTCATTCTATATGGCGCCAAACGAACCGAGATCAAAGGAAGTTTAGGAACAAACAGCCAGCCTGGCTATCCTAAATGGGCACAGCCATGTCCATGGAGCTCGATGCTGATATGGAAGAGGCACTTTACCAATACGAGAAGGGCATATTTGCAGAATTATCCAGGCTCTCTGCTGCCATCGAAGATTTGGAAGGCCCAAACTCCACATTTCCTGAATGCACCTGCTGCCAAGAAAGATGTCCAGCAAGCAAGATGATTCGATATCCATGCTCCCATTCCTACTGCAGCGAGTGCCTGAAAGCTTTAGTCATGAAATCGCTACGCGACGATTCTCTCTGCCCTCTTCAATGCTGCGCCAATCCGGTCAAAATCGCCGACGTCGAGAAGTTGATAGGCCCAAAACTGGCTGCAAAGTATGAGAAACGAGAGACTGAGATTCTAGACCCGGACAAGACCTACTGCTCGGACCCACGGTGCTCACGGTACATTCCACCGGCTGGTGCAGGATCACACTGTGGGGTGGGTAAATGCAAGTGTGGAGTTGAAACATGTCGAAAGTGCAAGCAAAGGGCCCACGGAGACTTGGACGACTGTGCCCGATATTTTGATGGCTTGCTGGAGGAGCTGGCAAAGAGTAAAGGATGGAAAAGATGTCCAAAATGCTCGCGTTTGATTGAGCTCGAAAAGGGCTGTTATCATATAAAGTAAGCATGGTCCTGGACATTCAAGGTTGGATGTAGTTTTCCAACTTTGGAATCATCCTCTGCCTGGATACTTTACTGACGTTAAATAGATGTTTGTGTGGTACCTCATGGTGCTATCTATGCACTGGGATATACAAGCATAAGCACAAGACTTGTGCATGCCCAGCATGGGATGAAGGTCTAATCATAAATGGCGGGGAGGTATGGTAGAACAGCCCTGAAAAATCGATTATTTGGACGCATGGAAAGTTTCTTTCTTGTCGAAATGTTGGAAGAAAGTCGACTATTTGCTAAAAAGACTAATAATTATGAAACTTCATACTTCAAGAGAGAGACACACCGGATGAATCCTACCCAGCCTGGAGGCATAGACTCACTTGTAATGCCCCGTAGCACTCCTGTGGTTGTAACAAAAGTCTCAGGCGTGATATTAATATCTCGGGGATCTAAACGCTCTATCCTGCGATGATGAACACTGGGGAGAACCAAGTAATCATTATTGATTACTTTTGACATGGATATTGAGTCCAAGATAAGCAATGAACTCTGGAAAGTCCCAGTTTGAAATGAAACTGCAACCATAACGCTCTCAAACTCTCTATTTGCTACACACTCTGCATTCTACTTTAATCATTGACCATGCCCCTCACTGGCTTGATCCTCTTGCTCTTTTTCACTCCAACGATTTTTCACCAGTGATATTGAAAGAGAAAGCTCACTACAGAAAGTACCTCAAAGGCACAGATCTAATGTATGTATGAATCACCTGTATCCCCCTTTGATCGATCGAGGACAAGAGCTGATAACTGACTGAAAAGACGTACCATCAGGTAAGATGGTTGAGTGGATGGCAGGCATTTTGGCACTTCTCAGAGCCACCAGAGTGGAACAGTTGACAATATCCCACACGCCTCAAGTCGCTGACCCAGCTTTAAATGTACCTTCAGTGCAATGCAAGATGTCTTCCCAAAGAGCCCCACGAGGAACAGTCAACAGGGAACAAAATCAGAAAGGAATTGAGCCTCAACTTGAATGTGTCTCTTGCGTGACCGAGCACCAACAGTCAGATACAATCCTGCTTCCTTGCTCTCACAACTACCGCAAGGGCTGTGTAATCAAGATGTTTGAACTGTTCATCCAGGGAGCATCTAAATCGCCCCCGCATTGCTGCGGTGAGTTGTTGATCAGAAACGAAGTGGCGGATGTGCTGGGCCTTGAAATGGCAAAAAGATACGAGGACTGCAGCACCGAGTTCACGGACCCCAACAAACTGTACTGCTCGAATCCAGCCTGCGCTCGATATATACTACCTGGTAGGATAAGACATGGAGCTGGATTGTGCGAGTACTGCCTGACTCGTACGTGTGTGAGATGCGGTGTTGTGGCGCACCTTGGTCTTTGCCCGGATGAAAGAACCGAGACCACCAATATACCCAAGCGAAACAAGGCTACAAAGCGCACGAAGAGTGGTCGAAAGCCCTCGAAGACCAGCCACATCACCAAGGAAAAGAGGATCACCAAGAACAGCAAGGCCAAGAGTCACAAGGTTACCAAGAACCACAAGATTGCGGACAGCGGGAAGATCAACAGCAAGGTCACCAAGAACAAGCGTATCGAGGAACATGCGAGAGTCTTGGAGGAGGAGAATAGCAAAAACGACGCTCTGCTAGAGAGATTGATGAAGAGACGAGGATGGAAACGGTGCCGACGTTGCAAACGGGCGATAGAACGAATCGAAGGATGTCGCGAAATGATGTAAGTTGTCTTTGTCTCTGTGTCTGTATGAGATCCAGAACTGAGGTTGCTTTTTAGTTGCATCTGTAAATTTATCTTCTGTTACAAATGCACCAAGTCAAAGGATTCTCGGCAATGGAAGATCCCAAAGGCGTTGCGCAATGACATTTGTGAGTGCCCGTATTGATGCTTGAAACCTCAGACAACATCACTTGGGAAATGGATGTCCGGCGAGATATCCCAGAAATTGGAGTTGAGATGAGCCACTTGGTCTGAGGCTTGCTCTTACACTTTGCTAGTCTTTCAATATAAAGTCTATGTAAACAAATTATGGGCGAAAGTACGAGCCAGCAGTTTCGAGACAACTCATATCGTGAGTGGCATCGCCAAAGGTGAAGCCGTTGATTCTAGCTCATTCACCCAATAGCACTGTCCTCCGGCACTCCAAATCTATGAGGTCTTTTGCTTCTTCGCGGGTCGACTTCCAGAATCTCCAAACTCCGCCTTCCAAGACCCATCCTTGACTTTGGCATCGTTGCCATGTAAACCAACATCATACGCATGCTTCATACCATCTAGACAGATCTGTCGCCTTTCATCAAAATCAAACATGGGTTTCGGGTAGGTGGTCTCGGCATCATCGGAATGAGACGACGCGCCATCGCCAGTGACTCTGCATCCCCATTTCTTCTGGTCTGCAATGGGAGCCTTCCACGGCTCGTAGATGTGCTTCTTGTCAAACTTTGCAAGCTCAGGGCAATACCGTCTGATCAGGTTTCCTTCTGGATCCCACTTCTTACCAAAAGCGACGGGCGAGTAGCAGCGGTAGAACATCGCATAGAATGCAGTGCAGGAAAGCCACTGCCAGTTACCGATGTTGCATGCGGTTTCATCTGAGAAAAAGTGAGTTGAGGTCGACAAATTCCACACTGAGCACACTCACGATCAATCAAGAGCTCTTCAAAGACTTCAGCGCCCCTCTCCCACGAAACATAACAACCACCCCGAGTCAGGAAACAGGCCACACTGTGTCTACCGAGATGATGAATCCACCCTTCCTGTCTGAGCTGACGCATCAAGGCATCAATCCAAGGGAAGCCCGTCCGTCCCTCTTTCCACCGCTGGAACCATTCCTCTGCCTCCTGCGAGTCCACCTCATACGACCCGTCAACCTCCCCATCTTTGTCAGGAGGATTCGACTGCAAGTGCCAATCAATGAACCGAGCAACCTCGTTTCCGTGAGAGCGCGCAAACCGATGCCCAAGAGGTGCCTGTGCCGCGAAATACATGTCTCTGAACAACAGCTGGCCATGAAGATTAGTCGGCACAGACGCGACTGGCTTCTTAGCTTTTCGCTGTTTGTTGAAGACATCCTGGACATCCCACCAGAACTTCCGCACAGACAGGGACCCGAAGTGAAGATGCGGTGATAAGAGGGTGGTGGATTGAGGCTCAAAGGCCGCTGGAGACGTTTTGGGCTTCTCGAATTGCGCAATGTACTCCTCATTCTCGATACACTCGCTCAAGACTCGCAGTGCCTCTGGCTCACCCCCTCGGTGGGGTGTAGCCGCCTGGGATAAGTCAATGCCTATATCGTCCCACGGGACAGCGAAGTCGTTCTTAGGCCCCATGAGATTCGAATACTGCTCGTCCTTCTTTGTGCGATGCTCCGAATTCAAATCCGGGTTGTTGTCAACTGAGTCAGGATCGAGACTGCTTAGATCCATCTGCTTCTCACCCCATGGGTCTGGAATGCTATCAGGAGGATCCAGTGGTTTATCCGGATTACCGTTGTTGATCTTCACAGCAGCTTTCTCCACATGTGTGATGCTCAATGTCGGCTTCCCATTGTTTTTCTGAACAAGCTCATCGGGATCAAACAGTGTCCTACCCATTCTGACGATGACCTCCACGCCTGCCTTTTCAGCCAAGGCCACAATGGCAGTGTCCCGGTCTTTGGCGTACGCGTCCGTGTCTTTCTCAAACACAAGATGTGTCACACCCCAATGCTTCCATAGCTTGGGTAGAACTGTCTGAGGTCCTTCTCTTACAACCCAGAGCTTTTGCTTTGGATTGAGGTTCTTATAGCTTTTGGACAGCTCACTTTGACATTCCAGGAGGAATTTCCAGCGATTGGGACCCACGCGAGCTTTGTACACATAGTGGGGATCCCATGTCCAGACTGGAATGAAGACAGCGGGCTTCAGAGCAAGAGCAGCGTGCAAGGCCGGCGAGTCATGAAGTCGCAGATCCGTCCTAATGTCACAATTTCAGCAATCATCTCAATGACGGGGAGGGTTCACTGACCGGTGCCAATACAGAACAACCGGGTTTGATGCGGAGCTGGCCTTCATATTTATCGTCAAACAATGGCAAATTTCCGTCAAATGGCACGGGTGATCGAAATGAAAAATCCGGGTGAAGCCAGGGTGAAATCGAGGCTCGATTATTATACCGTGACGTCATCAATATTCGGCGATCGATCGACTTTTGGATACGTTCGAAATGCATCGGAATCTTGAAGATGGTGCTTTTTTGAAACATATTGTACATCTTGTTTTCGGTGTCAGACATGCCGAAATCGCTCATACTGTCAACCTTGCTGAACCAGAACAACAGCCATGAACACCCGTGGACCAACAGACTGGTTATCACTCTATGCAAGGATAATTCGAGCACATACGACCACAGGGTATGGAAAACAGGGCTTCCCGTCCGCTCAGCCGTACTTAAGCCACACGACGAATAGCTATGCGGGCCAATCATTTGGTCTAGCCTAGAAGGAAACAGCTGATCGCCGCTTTATACTGAGGGTGAGAAGGGTGAGTGCGTGACGAGAAATCAAGAACTTCAGTGAGAATCACCCGCGGTCGAGCGACCAAGGGGCTTGCTTTAACCGGATAATTGAATGTATAGTGATTGGCTTGTAACAAATCCGCCCAAGTGTCATGTCAAAAGCTTTCATTGCTCCAAAGATATGTAATCTCCGTGATTCTTCGCATCAGTCTACCTCCAGCCAGTGCCACCCCACACCCCACACGAGGCATCAACAGGATCAGCGCTGACAACCGCCCGGGACCCAATCCAGCCCACCCTCCGGGATGAAAAAGGTCAACCGGAGACGTTAACCGCTACCAACCGACATAGGCCGGTAACCCAATGTAGCCTCGCTTCACAGAGGACTCGAACGCGCTGCTCGGTTTCGTACAAGCCTATGGCCTCCATAGCTGCCTCCCACGAGGAACAGCAACATTGGTTTCCTACGCCACTCGGGGAGGACGTCCACAATTGATCAAACAGTAACCGATAAGCCTAACCCCCTTCCAAGGTTATCAAATGCCATCTTTTATCATGAGAACTACAGGCCAGATCACTGCCCAGGTGGGAACCCTATTTTGAACGAAACCTCGGGGCCCCTCGCAACCCCCCATCCAAAAAAAGGAAAGACCTACGACCGAGCGGACTGGGACAAGCTAGAACAATGTGGGGACGGGTAATCACATCCTACCTCGCCGTCCCCATCTCGGGGGCTGCATAAACCAATCACTGCATCATATTGATATTCCTTGCGATTTAAAACGCGGGGTAAGCGGGCGTGAGTCTTGAATTGATTGCCACAGGTCCGGGGTCGAAAAGATATGCGACAATAGTATGAGAGGCCATCTAGCAACGTCAAATACAAGCTGGCATCCCGGCACAAAAAAACAAAAATTTCCCAAGAACTCAAACGCACTCTTGTTTCCATATAGAAAATGGATTCCACGGACAAAAAGACGAATGGAGGCCAGGCGGACGATAGACACTCTATTCTAGAGGGTGATTCACAATACCAGGCTGGCCGCGGAATGTTCAATGATGTTGAGGATCTTAAGCCAACCATGCCGGCACAATTTCCCCTGGACCCCTTTATGGGGGATGAAGGCGCCGAAGTACAATATCGGAGGATGAAATGGTGGTAAGTGGATTCTCTGTGTTGTTTCTAATATTGAAGGTAGTATGAAGCTAAGACATCTTTGTTTGCAGGCACTGTGCTATCTGTGAGCAACCCTTGTCCGAGCCTTTTCACGACTATTGTGGGAGAACTTGATCTAATGAAACATTCTAGTAATGATTGCCCAATCAATATCACTGGGTGTTCTTTCATTGCCCTCTTCTATGGCTACATTGGGCTTTGTACCGTTCGTATATTTCAATCCCCATGAATCCATCATTGCACGGCTAAATTGGCGTTCATATCAGCGGTTGTATCTTGATTGTTAGCATCGGAGCGCTAACTACATACACGGGCTACGTTCTTGGCCAATTCAAAATTCGTTATCCACAAGTCCATAATATGTCTGACGCAGCAGAGATTCTGTTCGGTCCAGTGGGCCGTGAAGTCGCCGCGGCCGCTCAACTCCTCTTCTTTATCTTCCTGATGGGGGCTCATATATTGACATTCTCAATTATGATGAATACGTTAACCGACCACGGGGCATGCACTATTATCTTCTCCACCGCCGGAGCGATTTTGTGCTTTATTTTGACACTTCCTCGACGTCTACAAGATGTTTCTTATCTTGGTATTATATGTATGAGAGTATTCAAATATTCTCTTTGGAACCCTAGTCAACGGAAACTAACTATTTCAATTTCGATAGCTTCGCTTTCCATCTTCATCTCTGTGATGATTACAGTCATTGCGATTGGCATTGAAGCCCCCGATCCTGTTGCTCACGCCATCAACCACCCAACCCTCCTATCTGGTTTCTCGGCCACTCTGAATATAATTATATCATTCGCTGGCCACCTAGCATTCTTCAGCTTCCAATCAGAGCTTGCCGAACCAAAAGATTTTTCAAAAGCATTGGTCGCTCTCCAGGTTACTGATACTTCTCTTTATCTTGTTACCGCCGTTGTCGTCTACCGATATGCAGGTGACGGTGTTCAAAGTCCAGCGCTACTAAGCACCAGTCCTATGGTTTCAAAAGTTGCATTTGGCATTGCTATCGGTACGATCGTCATTGCGGGAGTGGTTATTGCCCATGTGGGAGCCAAAACGATCTATGTTCGCATGTTTCGTGGCACTAATCGAATGAATGAGAGATCTCTGGTATCATATGGGACCTGGGTCCTCATCGTCTTGGTTCTTTGGGTTATTGCTTGGGTCATTGCGAATGCAATCCCTGTATTCAATGATCTTCTCAATCTCCTAGCTGCTGCTTTTGCAAGTTGGTTCTCCTTTGGATTGGAGGGTCTTTTTTGGCTGCACATGAACAAAGCACAGATAACCTCCGGCCGGAATATCCCTCTCGCGGGTTTAAACATACTGATTGTGCTAATGTGCTGCATCATGGTGAGAGAACCTCATTCATTAAGACAATTATATTGGGCTAACAAAGATCTATAGTGTGGAATGGGGCTCTGGGTTTCAGGAAAAGGCATCGCAGCTAGCGCAAAAACCGCATCTGCAGCATTTTCCTGTGCGGATAACAGATGAAATTCCATGATTACAGATTTAAAGTCAAGAGGACTGGAACTTAGCTATTGAATCAATATTGAAGTTTAAGTCTGTACAAAGAGGACCAGCAGGGAACAAAATAATTGGATTCATCACACCTATATCTTTTCAAGGTACCCTATTTTTGTGTTCTTTCTTTGGATCCGGGATATAACCCGTGGACCTATCCGCAACAGGCACTTTTTTCTCTCTCTCTTTTTGGAAAAGAACCCATGGTTACTCTTAACCCCTTAAAGGAAAATTGTACAAATTTGAGCAGGAAATCTTAAGTGCAGGTTCATTATGCGGATGATTGACAGACTAGTGGGAAGATTGCTACGCAATAGGCTTTCTTGGACGAGAGAAAAAACTTTGAAAACTGTGTAAATTTCAAGTAAAGGCCCTATAGGCGAGCCTGTTCTTCCCTCTTCAGGCTTCGCCGAGGAGGACCACCTCTGCTGCCGTCACCGCGGGAAATTGGAACAGAGGTTTGCTTCCATGCCCATTTCTCTCGCTGGTAGTCGCTGGCCTTCCCTTCAAAAATGTCTGCAACATAACGTCCTAGAACTGGTAAAAACTTGAATGCGCTACTCCGGGGTTAGAGGCATGTCTTTCATGGAATTAGACGAGGAACACTCACTGTCCGCTATCTCCGGAAGCAACAAACAAATTTTTCAATGAGGGGTGATAGTCAACCAGAAAGTCACCCTTGGGGGTATCTGAGTACCAACAAAGCCGACGGTTGGAAAATTCTTTCCCCTGGAATTGTGGAAAGAGAGTAGACAAGCCATCTCTCAAAGCCGCCTCGGCATCCATTGGGATAAAATGAGATGCCGTATTGCTCGCATTGAGAATTGGAGCTGAAACTAGCTTCTTGTCGTGTTGAACTTGTCGAGAGGTTTCATATCCATAACCGTGTCTGGCCATCTTCAAAATATTCGACCCAGGTGTTGGAGGGAAGACGAACCAGCCAGTGGAAAGATTAATCACCACAGGGAAATCCTTCAGCTGGTCGGCTTCTTCTTGGGTTAACTGCATGAAACCGACAGGCTGTCCAGTTGAGATAGAGAGATTATTCGTATCAAGAAGATGGGGTGTCCAGGCTCCTGTCGCTAAGATGACATGCTCCGTCTTCAGCAAAAATCCCGATTGAGTATTTAATGCCACAACTCTACCGCCATCTTTCACGAGCGAAATGACCGTTCCACTTGCCCCGGAAAGGAACGACACGCCAGCTTTCACACATTGGCGTGACAAATACTGAATGCTGTTTTGTGCATCAGCCCAGCCACAGATAGGATTGAAATAACCTTTCGAATCCGAAAGTTTTCCCTGAATAGCAGGGCAATAGTCGCGAAGTCTTTCTCCGTCCAAGGCCTCAACCTGGAGTCCCATTTTCTCCACGTTTTGTCGCGAAGATTCCAAATACGCGTGGGTGCTACCTTGGGCGATGCATAGAAGACCGCTGCGATAGAAAAATGGGGCATATTCGCCTTCCCAGCCTTGCATGGCTTCTAGCCCGATTTTGGCGTAAAATTCATCTGCGTAATCCGGTCTGATTACCCTCGAAATATCCACGCTGGATCCATCGGGAACAGGAGGGCAATCACGGTCAAGAACCAAGACTTTGTATCCTCGTTTGGCCAACTCCAAGGAGGTAGTTAGACCGAATAAACCGGCACCGACAACTGTGACTCGCTTGATCTCTGTAGACGAAGACATGGTAAGGGGAGGTGATCAAGTTCCAAGGATGCTATGATGAAAGAGGGATGCGAACCTTGAAATTCAAGGGATGTAGTCAAATTTAAGAACGGAGTCTTGAAAACCAATTGCAAAAGCCGCGAAGAGAAGATGCCCTGCAGAGCCGAGCTGGTTGGGAAGCAAATCAAGGCTGTCAACAGTGGGGACGGAGTCTTGGCTCTTGGGAGCGGAGACGGAGTTGGGTGGGGACGGAGTCTTGGGAGGATCTTCACTCCGCGCGGAGAACAGGAATACTAGACCCCGTCTCTCCCCGTTATCATTCAAATTTGAGATAGCAAAGAGCAGGATTAAATTGCATCGAATTACCTAAACTGCCTGCGAGAAGAACAGTTGAATTCAGACGCGCTGATTTATCAGTATGCCATTTGTCACTCTCTCCAGCTCCGCCCTACAGCGTATTCCTCATCTTGAGGGAGCGCCTTCTTATGTGCATTTTGGTAAGTTGCAACTCTTTGGTGTAAAGGTTGCTCATAATGACCATTGAATAGTCGATACGTTTGGAACTCCCAAGACAAGCGGAATGCAGGACCCTTTAACAGGGTCCTTATTCTACATCGAGTCAACCGATGAGGATCAACAGTTACGTCCTTATAGTTATGATGAGACCGGGGTGGTATTGAAAGGTTGGTCTCATTTGCTTTGGCCTTAAATGGGCAGACTTGAACGTCCTATACTAAGGGTGCTGATCGATCAAGGCACACTCATGCTCGAGGATGAAACTGGGCAAACTGCCACTTTAGAGAAGGGTGATACATTTTTCATTCACCGGGGAAGTAAAATAAGATTCACTACACTCAACTTTGGCATTGCGTTCAAAGGTGCGTCACGTTGGAAAAACGTGAGCAAGCTGTGATTAAGGAATCCATGATTTCCACACGGTGGTGACACGGCACTGATAATGGCGGGGTGAAATAGAACTTGAATGACTATTCAGTGTACTGGAAAATCGAATTAGTAACTGATTTTAGTCATCCCCGCGGAGCTTTAGCTTCCTGGGTACATTTGGATAGTTAATAAACAGATCAGGAGTAGCTACGGTGGACCTACGCCGAGTGCCATATGACATACATCAATTGATAGTACATAGTATGTACATAGGTCCAAAATGGGTCATATTTTCAATATTATATCTCAATGTACTATAGCCACGTAGTATGATGAAGAAGTGAGCTTGGACAGTGTCAATTGATGCACTGGCACATGTGGATGTTAAAATCTAAAGATCGCCAAATGGTCCCTGGCCAGACATATATCGTAGATCCAATGACTCTGAAATAAAGTCGGATGGAAGAAATCCTTCATCCATGCATATACCTGGGAATTGCATGAATGGGGCGCTATATGAGTCTTGCTCGATTCCAAATTGGTTCAATTGATACTCGTCGCTCCTCGAAATCGGTGATTCATGAAGTCGAGCAAGGTGTTCAGTTGGAACACGCTGCCCAACGGTCGCAAACGTTGAAAATGCCGTCATTTCCGACCTCATTGAGAATGGATCAATCAGATCCCACAGGAGAGGAGTAGTGAACCCTGGAAGGCCACGATCACCCAATGGGCCGTCAGATTGTCTCAGGGAATTTTGGAGTTGATGAAACACGTCGGCCTAGCATTTCGAGTCAGTGAATCCCCAATAGAATAGCGGGGTGGATGAGAAGTACTTTTTTCCCAAACTGTGGCCAACAAGACGCAATTTCTGCGATAAATCGCTGACATTTCTCAAACTCCGATATAGCCCGCTCAGCAACAGCAGCGTTATTTGCAAATGAAAATATCCAGTGAACAGTAGCACAAACAATAACCTGATGACCGATGACTGGATCATTGATTTCGATATTGAGATCATTTGCGAGGCTAATCAACTGTGATGTCCAGCCGGCATGCAAAATGGCCTGGTCAATCGTGTTTTGGACAAAGGACGGCGGTCGGAAGTTGGATCGTTTGTCCCCCGAGCGTTCATATTCGAGGACATGGAATATTGGGTGGTTCAAAAGAGCATGCGTGGTGTGGAAGGTAGTCTGTAAAAGTAGCCAGGATGCCCAGTATTCTCTGTCTTGAGCAATATCACCAGGCGATCTGCTGCTCAGCCCCAAAACCTTGAATCGATGGATCTGGGGTAGGCTTCTCTCAAATCCATAGATCTGTTCGACCAATTGTGAGTACGTGGAAGTAGATATCCAAGCATCCTTCGATTGTCCTAAACGCATGCTCTCTCCGTATTCCATCGTCTTGCCCCATATCGAAAGAAGATCAATACAATAGGAGAAAATTCCAGAGCCCTGAGAACCATCACTATCCATTGATGAGGAAGCATGATTTGGTAGATTCGGTAGAGGTGGTGGCTGGCCGAAGCTCGGGATCTTTGGGGCGTGTTGCAATAGTGATTTGTCCAGCAAACGTGTCGGATCTTTCGTAAATGAGGTTTCGAGAATGAACACCGTCCAGAAGCACCTGGCCTCGTCGTCCCTCCTTGTTGGGGTTGCGGGGGTCCTCTGGGAAGCAGCTTTGGAATTAAGCACCAAGTCCCTAGCCAGTCTCGAAGCTATGGTAATGTTCATAGAAGCCCTTGTGTATTGGCCAGCTAGGATTCAGTTAGATAATTGCGCCAAGTATGATAAGAACGTCCACTGGCTGACAGAGTATTGAAAACTAACCTGCAACATCACACAGCGTCAAGAGACATAACGCCTGCAGAACTTCAAGTGAAGCTACACCCTCAGCTGCTAGGGGGATGGTCGTTTCCCGGGACCATTGAACGTAGTAATTGTGTGCACTCCACTTGTGGGGCCGGTAAAAGGGGTGATCTCCGAAAACCAAGCATATCGCCAGGAAGCTCTGCAACAAATAAGGTGGCCAATGGGGAATTTGAGACGTCGATCTGGCATGATCGAATAGTGGGAATGGCTGAAAATATACTTTTGCTTTATAAATCTCCATAAAGTGTGGCCAGGCTTGCGAAGGCGGGTATGGGCTAGAGATATTAGTTCCACAATGACAGAACATTGAATGTAGTATCTGGGGAGACCTACAACGATGAAGGGTGGAATTTTGCTTGTGAGGACCCTGCTGGTATTGTGGAATTTTCGGGCCCCCGGTTGTTTGTCGTTTCTTCCAGTATTACTTCGCTCTCTTGCATGGTAGCTGGTAGGTTTGGTCTGGACGGGTCTGTGAGGGCTCTAGCAAGCAAATCGTCAGCATTCAAGAGACAAGTCAAATTGGGATTCTAGCCCAGTTTTACTTAAGGGTACTATTGATACGATCAATCTGAGCTTCAAGCCTGGTAATCTGTTCTTCAGAGCCGAGGCGGGACTAAAGCCACATGCGGTTCAGAAGAAATTCTACAATGCGCGGAGAAAAGCCAAACGAACCTTGTGAACTCTCCCAGAAGAAACCTTTTGCGTGTATGTGCATTTTTGATTCAATCTCATGCAGAACGAACAGGACGGCTTCTCTCCCGGACATTTGGTCTTTTTTTTCCTACAGGACAAGAGTTGGAACATGACATTAGTGGTATCCGGGATTGCATGAATTGGGTCAACCTACCGACAGGGCTCACAGGAATTCCGTGGCCGCGTTGGTTCTTTTTCTGTGGAATCTCTGTTCATCTTGATTTGGTAGTCCGATCACGTTTCACAAAATCGCACGATTCGCAAGACAGTAACGTAACGACTCTCCATAAAACTATGAAGCGGATCTCAGGGTCTCGATCGGGTGGGCGGTGTAATTCTGCCTCCCGCATCGGGATCCTTGACCCGCTTCTTCGACCTACTCTTTCCTTCTCTCTGCACGCGTTTTTCCCCTCGGCTGTTCCTCCATTTTTAAATCGCCAATTCTTTGAACTAATTGAAGGGGAAGGGTTATTTTCCAGTGCAATATGGATTCCAAGGCTCAATTAACCTGATTTTACCGTTTATTAGACAAATATCATATGAAGTCAGATGGCCGTATATCCGAAGAGGCCCGGCTTTATACGCCCATCAAACAGTAAACGACTATACATACTACTAATATACTACATTTATGGCGATGTGGCAGTAAGTTTCCAAGAGACAACCCAAATTCAATATATCTACCCCAAATCTATAGTACTGCATTGCATTATTCTATCAACGAGCTTGTTAGTACTACTACGGTGACCGGTCTAAATTGTACAGGCAGGCAGCTCATAATGAATAATAGCTTTCTCTCTCAAAAAGTACGATGAAAGTCATATTCACCCCATCAATGCATTAATATTACTCCAGTGTCGAGACTGCCAACATTCTTCAGAAGAACAGCAGTTTGTCATGCCTCACGTGAGCGGAATCCCAGGACCCGATTGCCGCTTTTTAAATAGGGCTGATCCCCACGACGCCATCATCATCATCATGTTAGACAGAAGTACAGAGTATTATTAAAAGAAAGAGTTCGTGCAGGTAACTATATTCATGGAACGGTAAACTACCCGGGAGGCTCTTGGAGAATTTACTATCTCTGCGGCTGAGAATCTTGGAAGTTTTGGTTTTGTTAAGTATACCAACAGTTCCGGGCCCACATCAAGGACAATATCCTCTCTTTTTTGGGGGGTGGGAACGGATGATATCTAGGCATCTATGAAATTTTCGCTCACTGAGAAAATATTTAAATAGAGGTACGGTCCGGTATTACTCCCGGTTGACACAAGTACCAAGTCACTCAAGTGCTCGTTATACTAGAAGGCAAACCGAACCTTAAAAAATGGCCATGATGGATATGGTTAAGTTTGGTATCCACGCCGTCCAGTCAATCATCGCCCTGGTGGTCATTGGTTGTTCAGCAGCGAGGGTTTCGGAGCATACTTCAAACGGATATGCATTGGCTATTTTTACAGTGAGTCTCGCCGCACACTGCAGCCCTGGAGCCATACCGGCTTATTTTACCAAACATGATGTCTGACAACTTCAAGGGAGTCGCTACTATCCTCTGTGCGATATACATTGTAACAA